GGGGGGGGCAGGACTGTGTGGAAATGGTCTGAGAAGACCAACTTGCAAATCTAAAACATGTGTGTCCCTCAGCTGGGGGCACTCATGGAGCCAGTGCTACTGGAGGATCACAGGACACCGTGTGCAGGCCAAGAGAAGCCACTGAGCTACAGGAGCTGGGACACTAGCAGACAGGCACTGCCCTGTGGCAGGTTTTCAGGAGAAATCTGCATGGAAGAAATGAGATGGAATAAAATTATTGCATAGTTCACTCAACATTTCACAGTGGGATCTTCCAAAACATTCTTCTGAAGAAAAATTAACAAATAGATAAAACCCTTATGTGAAGGGAGTCACAGGCTGGAATGCAGCAGAGTCCCCATGATGGCACATGGGGACATCCAGCTGTGCACTGACCAAAACTGGAACCATTCTACAGCACTCAGGCCAGGTGCCATGGAGCAATTCACATCCTTGACACTAAATCCACACACCAAAAAGGGAGGTGGGGTGAGGGGAGCCACTGTCTCTAAAACAGCTATTAGCACAAGATGAAGACTGGTCCCAGTTCCCAAGCTGTGCCCAGGAACTGCATGTGAAGACAAGAAAGACCAAAGTCACACCAGAAAACTTTCCAAGACTGGAAAGGTTTCTGGTGTGATTTTGGCCTGAATCAATAGCTTAATGCTATAGATGGAACTGAGTACCAATGCTTGGGCATTGTATGAGTACTGCCATGCTACAGTTCATCTACATACTAAGCTGTATGCAAAGACCATATAAACTTTTACTGGTAGGTCCTATATGGAGACCAAAATGTTCCTTGGGGTTAATACCCAACTCCAGCCATTGCTATAAAATAGTGACAGTAACAGAAACATATGAAGAGGCAAACTCAGTGTTATTTTTTCTTTTTTTTCTTTAAGAGCTCTCTGTAACTTGGATAGTTAGCTTGCTAACCAATAAATTTCACTTCTGGACTTGAGGAATCAGTAGAAACTGTAGCAAAAAATGTAAACAGCAGACAGACCAATGTGATAGCCTGAGAAGGAGTGTTCCCAGAAAACAAGGGAGTTATGTCTCAGCACACTACCAGAGTCACTGCAAGGGCAACATACCTGGAATAATTTTCTTGGATTTCCAGAAAAAGTGGAACAAGGTCTCTCCCAAAGACCCACAATAAACAAAGGCTGGTGTCAAGGAAAAGGGAACATCCTTTACAGAATTATGTTTTTAATGGTTGGAGGATAAAATGTAGAAATAAAGCAAATACCAGCTTTCATATGGAGGTTATGTTAGGAAGTTGAAATGTTTCAATGTAGTCATAAATTGTTTAGAAAAAGAGGCAGCTTAGCACAAGTGAAAACTTGGTGATGAGCCAGTACAAGGAAAGATGATGTTCAGCACTGAAGAGCCAGAGGATGTCAGGGGGACACAACTTCCCCTGACACAAAAACCTTCCAATCAGCAAGTAATGTTAAGCAGTATAATGAGACTGGTAAAAGGAGCAGGTAAGCATTCATCTCATTTTGACCATTTCTGAGGGTACAGCAGAAGAGAGCAGCAGAGCAGGTCACAGCCATGCTCTCAAATCAACAACACTCTTCTGGGTAACTAAGAATATGGCTGGAAAAAAATTGAAGTTATAAATCTGGCAACATAACAAATCTTATTTATAGACAAAATACAGCTCTTAAAAACATCAGTGGTAATGGAAATTTCTTTATGAGACCCACCTCTGCCCTTATTTATTAGTATGTCAGTGGCTAGAATAAAACAGTATTTCATGGGTTTATTCTATTCAATTGACCTAGACTAGGGTGATTTTAATCTCTTCGTCTCTGGTATCATCTACAGTGCATCACATGATCTTATCTCCTTATCTCCAATTATGCTCTTGATCCTACTTTTCTAAACAGCAGTTTCATTTGCCCTCTGTTTCCTGGAACAGCCAAGATTACTGCTCCTTCTGCAACATTTCTACATGGGAAGGATCCGTATTCACAGATAATACTGCTTCCTGATGGAAAATTATTTTGCAAGACATGCTTAGGTAATTGAGGTGCAGCACAGCACCGGGCAAAATATGATCTCTCCAATGATCTTCAGTCTAAGCAGATATGTAAGAAAGTACTAAACATATAGGATCTAAACACAGGAGTTCTGTTCCTCTCACTTTTATTCCTGAACTCTGTTAAAATTCAGAGCTCTCTTGCTAGAAATTACCATTGCTCACATTTTAACAGCAGAATTGGAGCAGCCCAAGTTGCAGATAAAAAAATCCCCACACTTTTGCAAACAGATGGACCCTTGTACCCCTTGAACTCTGCAGGCTTAAGCTACATCTAAGAAATATGCTTAATATAAAGACTGCATAACCTGGCAGAGATACAAAATGCCACCTGCAGCATTTACACAATTTGCTTTAATCCCGTATTACTCAGTACAAGAACAGACACGTTAGTTATCCACGATATGTTCTGGTATCAGAAAACAAAAGGATGTACACAGCTCACAGGAGGGGGATGGGTAGAATGAACATTTTCCATTAGCAAATATGAAAACAAGTGCATCTTTTGTCTTCTGTTGGAAGAGGATCTGGACTGGGCTAGTTCATATGACATTCCTGGAGAGAGCATGCTCTTGTGCCATGCCATATCAGATCTAGGCATGAACCCCTGAAACTAGCGCTTGCTCCAAGTACTACAAATTCTTTGTTTTCTGTATTCCAAGGGATTTCTTTCTATTTTGCTGATCAATAGTATCTGGCAACATCTGAAATCTAACATTCTCTGCTTGGAGAGGGATGCCACCAGGGGTGGCTACATCAGGCTGGGCAATGTGGGAACCTCCTCCCGTCCACAGCTGAGTGCTGTGCCCGGCTGGCTCCCGTCCTGGCAGCTGACCAGACTGCTGAGCAGCACTAATAGACATTTTGGGTTTTGTCCTGCAAGATCTCTGCACGAAGACTATTCAGCACAGAGGCACTGCCCCAGTAAACACCCCCTCTAGTCTGCATTGAAACCATTCCACACAAGTTGAAATACACATTAATCAGGATCTGCTTCCAGAGAAATCCTGTTAGCTTAATTAAGTCTTCATCATCCCAAGAAAAACAGTTGGAAGGAGAGCAATCCTGCAAGCTGGGAGAAGAACCATCTTTTCCCAGTCTGCACCTCCAAAGGAACTGATCTAGGATTACAAAATGCCTCTGCATGCAGCAGCAAGACGTGAGAAGTGTGTCAAGCATAAGAAAAATTATTATAAAAATTTGACATGACAGATAAACATAGGAGACATTAACAATAGCCAGTTTTTCATAGCCTGCTTAGATCCCTTGGATAAGAGTAGGCACATGATTAACCAAAAATTCTAGCCAATAGCTGATGTTATTTCAGCATTTTTCAAATGCTTCAACTAGAGCCTTGTCAAAATAAACGGTGGATTTGTGCTGTATGTGCTTATATGGCAAGGTCGGTCCACAATGATACTATTACAGTGTTGTAAAGCATAACATCTAGTTAATGGTTTCTGCCAAACCATGAATCAGTTACAAAATAGAGACCCAAAGTATGTTCTTTTTTTCCATTCTCTAATATTTCTTCACAGCACAACCCAAACAATTGCTCATAATTAAACTGATTGGAGGAGCAGACACTGGCAGGAAATACACTGCTGGCACTGCTCCAATAGCACTTCATTGTATTGGAGTTAGAACAATTACATCAGTTCCTTTCATTTTGCAGAAAAAGAGGAGGGGGACTGTTTTTTATCTCTTGCTCTCGATAAGCAAAATCAATGTTTATCAAACCTCCTAAAGCAGATTCACATATTTTTAATGAACAGCATTAAGTGCATCCCCAAAGACCCTGCTACCTTTGCCCATCCTCTTCATCTTCTTTATGGATGCACTATATTATTAGTCAGTATCCATCAGGGTATTTTTCAAGGAAAATGTAAGTACATCAGCTTTTAATAATGGAAGGACAGAAAATGAAACATATAATATACAACAAGCAAGCAAATGTAGAGTGAAACTGGAGTCCACATTTAAAAATAACATGACAGTAGTTTTGTACCCCAGACCAGATTTAACACACAGCATTTCCTACACCAACCTGAAAGCATTCAGCTCCAGTCAGTGTACCTACAGCTCACAGCTCTGTACACAGACAGAAGCCATATTTAGGAGGTCCTTCAGCCAAATGAACCATCTTTATTGCAAGAAGCCTTGTTTTAAGTTCCCATGGCCAGCTTGACAGATTGTCCTTATTCCACAGTGCCTGGTGTGCTGGGCAGCTCAGAGTAAGAGGATGGCTTGTCTCTACAGCAGTTTCTTGCTCCCAGCAGGACATGTGCAACTTTGGGCCTGCACAGAGGCCAGTCACAATCTGGCAGTCAGTTAGATCCTCATGCATTCAATTAAAGTGCTTTTTCTCTCACACATGCCCAGCAATGTAGCACTTCCCATGAATGGTTGTGAATGGACCTTTGAAGAGGTTCTCACAGAATGAATGTACCTCTGTTTCCCCCCAAATGCTGAATAGAGGGCAAACTTGTTTCAGAAATGTAATCTATATTAGTAAATTCATAAGTGAGATCTGTGCATTCATATCATTCTTTACAAAATCCAGAGTGTTTTTGTAGGGGGAGGAGGGAATAAAACCTGCTTGTGAATAGAGTACTGAAGCAGGAGTGAGGAAGATAAGGCTTCCAGCTTGCCTTCAAACAAATCCCTTTGTTTCTTTGTCCTTCTTTTTCTTGGTCCTAAGTCTTGTGTACCTGTATAAACAGCTCCCTGGGAACCATGGCTGTGGCTGATGCTCCTCAATATTTCTTTAGTGGTAAATCCTATAAATATCAAGTATCATTAAAAATAAGAATTTATATATTGTAAGATGAGCTTACAAGTCACAGGATCAGAGAAGTGCTGAGGTTGGAAGTGACCTCTACCCAGAGGATGGCCAGCTACAAAATGCCACTCAGGACTATATCCAGTCAGGTTTTTAATGTCTCCACATCTTGTCTAGGCAATCTCTTCAGCATTCAGCCATCTTCACAGCAAAACCTCCAAGCGTTCTTCCTGCAGTCCAACTTGAGCACATTGCCTTTCCTCTTTTCACAGGATACCACTGAGCACAATCAGTTCCCAACTTTACTCCTATCTCTGACCCATTCAGGTAACATCTCCCTCTCATTTTTATGCTGCAATCCTTTCATCATGTGGTTATTTGCTGGCCTCCCTCTACTACCCCAATGTCTTGTAGTGGGAAGCCCAGAAGTGGGCACAGCCCCCACTGGCCCCACCAGGACTGGGCAGAGCAGAAGGCTCCCCCTCCCTCTACCCACTGGCACAGCTTTTACTGGTGCAGCTCAAGAGGCCACTGGGCACCTGTGCCCAAGGACACACTGCTGGCTCACATCAACTTCGATTGATCACAACACCAGGAGCCCCAGCTTTCTTCCTGCAAAACTGCTTCCCATCTGGTCAGACTCCAGCATATTCTAGTGCTTGGATTTACCTCTTCCCAGGTGGAGGACTTCATACTTACTCCCTTTGGTGAGCATTGTGTGGTTCCTGGTCACCATTTCTCCAGTTTCCCAAGACCCTCTGAATGGCAGCACAACACTCTGGAATATCAGCCACCCCTCCCAGCTTTATATAATTGACAAAGCAAGTTCCAGACCCAAACAAACATAAAGTGGATTGAACCAGAAGAAGTTTGGATGGAAAACTCTCTTCACAAAAAATTTTTGTCAAGCACTGGGCCAGACTGCCCAGGTAAGTAGTCACCATTCCTAGAGATATTTCTAAGTTGTAGGTGGGGCACTTATGGACTTGGTTTAGTGATGGACTTGGAAGTTTTGGGTTAATGGTGTGACAATTATCTTAGAGGGCTTTTCCAGCATAAATGGTTCTGCAAGTCTAAAACAGGAACAGTACATTCTGACCTATGCCACTAATGGATTCTGGTTGCACAGTTTACACAGTCCCAAAGTTACTTGAGGCCATCTAGACTTGAGAATTACCATCAGCTCACCTGTCAGAGGCACAGAGGGGCCACTGTGCAGAAAGACTATTTGTCTTGTTTGTGCTGCATCATGCCATTCTCTGTTATGAGAATAAATCAATTACATGGGAAAATGAAGAAGAAATAGCAGCTGCTTGTTGCAGAAGTGCAGCAGCTCTGAGACACAAGTAAAGCATCAGCATTTTAAACTGGATGTTTTTTCATTTTGTGAACAATCTCCTTTTGCACTTGATCTTTCTGTATAAGAAGGAGGGTGCCTACTTTCTATATATAACTTTGATGGGAAAGAGTCAATGTTTTGGTTATGTTAGAACACTGTTAGAACAGAAACATTCCAGAGCCCCAAACTAAAAGACAAATTCATATTCATGTTTGTGTTTCCCTTGAGCCTCTGCTCCCTAGCAGAAACACTTGATGGGCACAGTGTAGTGTGCAGCTGCTTGATTTGTACATTTGTGACTAGCATATCCAATGCCTTTTCTAGCAGATAACACTGTATGAGTAAACACTGACTTGTAGCTATTTTTAAATCATAATTTAAATTTCCAGATGAGCCAGGATGTCTTTTCAGACAAGGAGGATTAAATTTAGTTCCCTAAACAGACATAATTAAATAATAATGTTCTTGAAAGAGAGGGATGTTCTACTCAGGCCAAAGGATGAAGATTAGCATGTGCCAAACCAGTTTCCTGATTTGCCAGCAAATTTCCTAAACATTCCGAGCCAATAGGCTTAATCTGCTTCTCTGTTTCCAATCTGCAAAGGTGGCATATTCCTGCTTCCCTTCTTCGTACTCGTCAGATGTAAAATGATAAGAGCAGAGCAGCACTGCAGAGATTAGAGACACCAGAATGAGGGACCAGCAGTGACATAGTAACCCTAATTTGTATTTAGGACACTCCCTATGAGGCCTGAACACTTCTGTCCTGCAGAAGTTTAGTTTGTACTGCATTTATAAGCAAGATCCATTTGAATGTTTGCTCTTTGAGCTACCTTGTTCAGAACTATTCTAACTCCACCAAGAGGTGTTTTTTTGCTCTCCCATCTCATCTGCTTTTTAATTTTAAACATCTCTTTGGAACTTTGACTTGTCTTTGAAACAGGACAAGATAACATGATATCTCAAACATAAGAGAAAGTTTGGAAGTACACAGAATAATTATCCCATTCTAAATCAACCACCTGTTAGCCTCAAAAAAAAAAAAGTGTTTCAGTACTTTTGAATTCCATTCTCCAGGTGAACTGATCTGCTAGGGAGAGATGTGTATGAACAGGAAAATTCATCCTAAGGCAAACCATTAAAGATTAAAGTTAGGCTTGCATTTATTTTGGATTTTTCGAAGTACTCACATCTACTGATTTTTGCATTCTTACATTGCTTTTTGTACCTTGGTTTCGTTCACCACAGGCAAAAGAAGTACCAAATAGTCATCATTATTTTTCCACCCAGAACTATGAAGTCCAAGAAAAAAGCCCCAGACTGTGAGCAAGAAATGCCATCTCAGCTAGTCGTCACTGTCGATACAGCTTTAGGGACAGAGGAATAGTGCTGCAGAGTGCTGTAACCACTTCACCAAACCAGACAACAAAGAGTCAGATTTGAGACGAGAGTCTCCATCAGAAGTGCTGGAAACAGAATGTGTTTTGTTATACTAATGTTTATTGGAAGCACAGCATCACCAAAGCATTTCTGAGGCAAACCAAGACTAGCCAGGAAACTATCACTTATGGTATTTTTCATATTTCCAGTAACTTAACCTCTTTCTTTTTTTTTTTTTTTTTTAACTATAGAACAATCCCCAACACAAGTGCTTTATACTGATTTCTTACAGAAATACCAGCCAAAGAAATGCCCCAGTATCATTCAGCCTGATACTCTGGCTTGTTTCTTTACACCCTCTTGCAACATCTCCTTGAGAAAAGACTCTCCCAATGATATTAGCTTGAAGAATCACTGTCCATCTCCTGCTTTACTGCCAGAACAGAGCCCTGCCAAAGAATATCTCTTGCAAGATATGACATTGAATGTGAAACTCCTTGTTTTCTTTTGGCCTGTTTCCCCTCCTGAAAGACTAACTGAAGAATAACCTTGACAGAATACACAATTTAACACCGACTTAAAAAAAATTAAATGGAACTTGATTTTTAGCCATCTTTCTCCTGGCATGATCAAGTCGGTCCCAAACTCACCCCAAACCCCCAGTACTGAGAGCCAGGAAAAATGTTTGTTCTGCAGGGCTTGCTGCTCTCACTTTAATTGACAAGTCTATACTTCCTTGAATTAAACACGCATTTTAGAGTTTGATTAAGAACTGTGCTTTAATTTGCTTTTTTCTTTGCCATGGCATTTTATCACTCTTGTAGACCATCCTTGGACAGGATTGGAACTAGTACAAAACCTTTTGTTTTCAGGCACATGGATTTCAGCCTTATTTCTGTTACTCTGAGAGGTATGAATAAATTAGGCTATAATTTTTTCTGACATGCATTGTTAGCTAGATCTCTCCAGAGATAGACACAGCTGGTGCTCCAGTCTGAGACTACACATGTGAGTTTACAGAAAAAAATATTTCCTTGCAAGTTAATATCACAACAACCCAATGATGTCTTTCTCTTCTTGTACTTTATTCCAACAGATTTTATCTCCAACTCTACCTTCCAAGCCATGCATACATCCAAATGACCTCAGTTTGGTAAACTCATGCACAGGCATTTAATTGCAACAAACCCAGCCCCAAGACTCAAGACTTAATTCTCCAAACCATCAATTGATGTTCATGCAGCTGCCTAAAATATTGCCCATCCAGCAGGTTCTTCTGAGAATTTTTGGTACTTTAACAATCACAGCATAATCTTTGCACATTTAAATAGTTTTTTCTCAGAGTTTTTATTTAATTTTTTAACAGCCAAATTAGATCACTGCTTGAACTCCAACTCCCTCAATATCATTTGACTACTCAACTGAAAAGATTTGCTTTTATTTATGTAGTACTGGAGACTGTATCTTATACCCTAGAGTTCAATAACACAGCATTCATGGCCAGAGACTGACTTATATAAAGACCATATGAAAAGACATACTGGACACAGTAGGCCATATATCTAAGACAAGGAAAAGATTCCTTAATCTCTGCCATTTTGATAGAAAAACTCCAGCTGGTAATCCCCCTTTTTAGTTTGTATTGCTATTTAGGAAACTCCTGAATAACTGTCTACTTCTCCTAGTGTTTGACTAGAGCATAGGGGATAAACTCTCTTGCTGCTAGGGGTGAGTGGTGGCAGCTATGACAAACATCTTGTTCTCACAGACCCCTTGTGTCACCCTCTGCCTCCAAGAGGGCCTCAGGGCATCTCTCCTGCAGTGGGGGAAAGGGTGGTGGCAGCCCAGTGGAGGATTTGGGCTAGTACTGACCAGGGTTATTTTACCAGATGAGATCACTGCAACATTTTTGGAGAGGCCTGCAGACATTATTTGAAACAGAGTGGGAGCTTGGAGGGGAAGAAGAGCTCTCTCACATGGAAAGCTTTAAAGCTACCAAATATTAAGTTCTCACTCAGGGGCTGAAGTTTCCAATGGCATTTAAGAAGAGCTTTTCTTTTAGCAAGTGCTACATTAAAATTCTTTTGCATCATTAAGAATAAAATCCTCCTCAGAAATCTGGTAAGATTTAATAAATCCTGATAAGGTAGAGGGGTTGGAGGGGCAGGGAAAGAAAAAAAAAACAGAGAGAGAAATGAATGCCCTGAACTGTGTGGAGATAACAAATTATTAAAGATTATTTCTTCATCAGTATCTCCACTAGGTAAAGACAGCATATATAAAAAAAGAAGTCAGATGCAGAAGTCTGTGTTGACCAAGTGACCTAATCAGTGGACTTACAGAAGTTTTTCTAGTGCCTGAAAGCTCTGTGATCATGCTCTTGCTCTTCCCAAACACCAGCAGGCATCACCTCCCAAGAGACTGCCAGGATTCTTGGGAGAAGAGACAGCTCTGCCTATGTGGGGACATAACCAGGAGCTCCAGCCTAGCTCAGGAGCTGGGGCTCACACACCTTCCTCACCCTCTGGCCACAGGAAGCATCACTTCAGCACTTGTTACAGAGCTGTACACATGGGCTGGGAATTTCAGTTTGCTCATTGCTGAGCTCTTCTACAGTTCAGAACAACTATATCTGCAAATACATTCTGTGGGGAAAAAAACCAATAGCAATGCATAGAAACAGCCTCCACTGTGGGCATCTTGCCTTCCTCTAGGCTTGCCTAATTTATTTGTGCTTTGTTTACTACATCTCATTAGATTTTTACAAAAGAAATTACATTTGCTTCATTCGACTTCAACTTTGCCCTTAAGTTCAAATATAATAAACTGTTGCTCTGGATTCATTTCCCACTGAATAACTATTCAAAGTTATTTACTTGTTTTCCTTCATTCCAGAAGGAGCTATTCATGCATGGCCATGCTCAATTATGTTTATTTAGAAGGCAAATAGGAAGAAACAAAACAAAACCAAAAGCCACAAACAAACAGAAAACAACAAAGACAATCACATCATACTAATGAATAGCTCATGTCTTTTGGAAAAAGCCACTTCCTCAGATCCATAGGACACTTGAAAGGAAGAGAAACATGTCAAGATGGTATCCTTTTCAATTACTTAAGTTTTTTAATGGTTTAGATTTTGAGGTTTTGCATGATCTGCCACTATTCTCCAAAAGATGTGTTTGTTTCCCTCATGCCAGTAGATCCCAGGAGAATTAACAATTGGTAAAACTCAAAGGAAAAAAGCAAAATTATATGATGATCCAAACTTTACATACCCTAAAGTACCTTTAGTGCACCAAAAAGGTGTGAAGGTAATAAGAGCTAGAAATGGAATTTCCAAACCACTCAGGAAAATCCCACCCAGTGTTTCTTAGCTTGAAATAAACTCATTAATTTGGGATGGGATTAATTCTACTTAAATTAGCCATCTGAAGATAAGTTGGCTAGGGCTGAGCTAGTCTGCAGGATCGCCAGCATCAGTGGAAAGCAATGCACACCCCCAGGAGATGTGATGAATCACAGAAATGCAGCGATGCTTTTTTCCAGAGCACTGTCCAACAATGTGCACTTCAGAAACCTCTGAGCCAGCGTTTGCAGCTTTATGTTAAAGCCTGTCAAGGGCTCCATTGCAAAACTCCTTCCTCTGTTAAAACTGAGCACGTTCTCCTGCACTGTCTTTGCTCGCTTTCAATGTGCTATTTACCTTCAGTAAGCCCTTTCTTGCGATCCCTTAAGTGCTCACTTTGAGAATCACTGATTTCTTTTGCAAAGCCACGTGGTCAATCTCAACCTTTGCCCGCATTAACTGATCCTTCCAAGGACTTTCAGGCAGCTTCCAAGGCATGACATCCCTCCAAAAGCTAAGCCATATACTAGCCATAGTATATTTATTCAGGCTTCCACTACTATCTCGCTTATTACAGCATCTGTAATTTTTCCAAGTCTAATCTGATCAGCACTTTTCTTGAGTTTACCACTATATTTCTGGAAAATACATCCATTACATATTTGTTTATATATAATATATATATATATATATTTGTTTTTAGTCCTCTCATGCTCACACAAGACAAGAGGACTCCAAATAGCAGCTTAGCTATTTCAGTTTTTGGTGGACATTACCTAGTCTGAATTACCTTATTTTGTTGGTTTGGTCTATAAAGCTTCAAATCAGTGTTGTTTAAATTCACACCCCCTCTTCTGATAAGAAAATGTGAAATTCCTCAATGTTTCGTATTTACAAGCCTGTTTGCCTCATCCCCACTTGTGTCTTTTCATATACTTTGATATTTTACATTGTTTATAAATTTTAGAGATATTTCTTTATTATGTGAAATCACTGTCTTTAAAAATAGTCCAGCCACTGCAAACTTTTTCATAGATCCCTAGGTTCCCATTGCTCTGCCTAAAGAACAGAAAGATCTTAGAGGTCTTTTCCAACTTAAATTATTCTATGACTCTAATATTTGGAAGAGCCAGGATCAAGCCCCAAAAAGAGGGGAAAAAAAAAATGAATGGTACTGGGTAAGTTTCCAGTTATTGTAAAGATCATCATGACCCCTACAAAAAGCTCCACATCAGCTTTCCCTAAGGACAAAGCTATCACCACTCCATCTGCCTCCTCTCAGAAGAACAAATAGTATTGTAAATGCTGACAGGGCCTGATTAATAGGCTGGGGGTTTTACTCATATTCAACTATCCAAGTGCTAATAACACATGTATTAACACTCTCATACTTACTCTGCCAGGATTCCAGCTAAGTTACACAATTCACCTTCATCACACTTTCCTTCACCCTTCCAATAGAGAAACACAGTATGAGCATCCCAAGGTGCAATTCAGACTATTTAAGTAATTTCAGCTCATCAGAACAACTAATAAATCATGAAAAAACAACCCCCCATATTCCTTTAGCTTCGGGTCAGATACCACTTCATTTGCAACAGCAGAACTCTGAACAATTCTTTACCAGAGGATTTAAAAATACCTCAGTACTATCAACCACCCAGCATTTTTATGCAAGCTATGTAGAATTTACGGTACTGAGAAGCTCCCTTTTCCCTCTGCAATGTTCCTGTTTTTAGGAAGTTTAAGTTGTTTGCTTTTTTTTCCACAGAGATGAGTAACCTACCTGCACTGTTAAAAAAGCAAGCAAACAAGTCAACCATCTCTTCCACCTCCATGTCTGCAAACAGGATATTCAAATTCAGTACAGAAAACAAGTTTCATTAGGGAAGCACATTTTCTTTCCTCTGTAAAAACCTACTCACCTTGCACAAGTGTATAAACCTCCCAGCATCACCACTTCCTCCTATAACCCCCAGTCAGAACAAACATCTAGCTAAATACCTCTTCTCCAGGGTGAGCTCAGGTGCTACCAAACAGCCTAAGAATGGGAAACACCTGGAAGAAATTAGGGAAGCTCCTCTGCAGCAAATGAGGGACTGCTTATCTTCCATCCCTGTGGTTATTTACAGAGCATAAAGAGCAAGTGCTCAGCAATGTATCTTCTTGCCACATACTCTGAGGAACACACCTAATGCTAGAGCCCCCAGCTTGTGTGCAAGCTGTGGGGGGCTGCTAGCCCTGTCAGAGCTATGGCAACCACGGGTCCAAACCCTGCTGCTGCTCACTATGGTATGGCACAGCTGCTTCAGTTTATTTTTATGAAATGCATTAGTTTTTAAATGAAAATTAAATATAACCTCATTCCTCTGCTTTTGTAAAGACGTGCTGGAGGCAAAGCCTGAATTACTGTCATCTAATGCAATAGCATGTAAGAAGCTCACAATATACCTTCAGTGAAGCTGGGGATGCCTAGGCCAGGAGGTATCACTAGATCACTACAGATTTCACCTGCAGATTGCAGAAAAAAATTGTGGAAACGGTCTCATTTTGAAAGCAGCAAAACAGAAAGCTGAAAGTGAAAAAGTAAAAGAGCCTAGAACTGAGCCAGCTTTTCCAAGTGCTAAATATACATTATTCACTTAATATGGTTCCCATAGCCATAGGCTGTCCAGCCCTTCTTCCTGGCCCACCACCTCTGCTCCTTCACCGTGCAGAACAATCACAGAATAAACAGGTACAAGAGCCTAGGCCACACTAAGTTGTAATCGACTCATGGTCACCTAGCAGGCTGATGAATTTATGATCAGCTCCTATTGTTAAAAGGAAGGTAATAAAACGGCAAAAAATACATCTCCAATTATGAGATTAGGTAAAAACTCATGCAACTGAATAAGGTGGGGATGTACTTGTAGGGTTGATTCTTCATGTCCCTTTTATGCTGGTACCAAAGAAGAAACACTTTTTAATTACAGAAAGATGGAAATAGAATACCACTACTTTCTTTATAAAAATAGTTCACCAAGACTGACCTACCTATCACTTATCTGCATGTTCAAAATACGTCTTTTCCATGAAATTTTGCAGATTCATCCTTGGGTCACAGGAGTATAGAACATCCATTGTTTATTTTCAGACTTCTGTCAGTATGGACTTTGTATCACAGGCAACAGAATTTTTTGAAAAGTCTCTTAGTATCGACTTAAAGCAGTTAATTTTTGGAAGAAGTTAATAAAGGTTTAACATCTGGTAGCAGATTTAGGCTTTTTAACTGAATTCTCAATTCTAATTTACTGTTAATTTGGTTTCTGACACTGGATGATTCTCTCCAGCCAATAAATGAACTTTCCCACTTTACCAGTCCCATCCTCACCCATTTTGCAATCACTATCAAGTCACAATAATCAACTTTGTCTTTGGGTGTTAGCTGGCATTAGATTTCTCAGAGGCTGGTCACCCCTCTAATATTCCTGTAAGGTTACAATGTAGTCATACAAAAATTCCGTAAAATTGCGTAATTAGTGAAGCATTAAAAACATATTTGAGCTAAGACTGCAATATAAAAGGTGCTTTAAGTAGATGCCAAGACTACCTCCTGTGTAGGTAGGTTGCTCTTGGGATACAAGGTACTGAGCCATGTATGTACCCTTGCAAGGGAGTTAGATTTGTCCTCCCCACATCCTTGAACATCACTCTAGTGGTTAAAAAAATTCACCAAGAATATCTCACTGGGTACCACCACTTCTTTCAGTCAAATCATCCATGCAAGTGCCTAAATTCTATCCTTTTCCCTTCTGCTTACAAGTAGAGATATTTCAGCTGTCATCTGTAAATACTGAAAACTATCCAAGGGTGTTAGGGGTTTGAAAAAGCACCAAAGTAATTCTGATCTGTTTTAATGTTCTAGGGAAGCAATCCCTGGAAGAATAGAAGCAACAGGGGAGGTGAAAAATGGAAAGACAAAATAGTGCAGCAGAGACTGATGCTTCAGTAATCAGTAAACACTTGTGCTGATTGCCAAGCCAGGCAGGACTGGTTGATCATCACTTTCTATAAACCTTTATAAAACTCTGTGTTGAAGGAAATCCTGATACAAGTGGACTTTGATTGATTCAATTATCTTTTGAGTATTATTTTATTTATCTGGCCAAATCCCACCCAAAGGGCATTTCAAAGTTCTAGGCATTCTATCACTATTTACCACAGTGTCTATCCAGCCATGCTACAGCACTCCCATTTGAAGCTGCACCATTTTTCCAATGAAATTGACCCACTAGCTATCCTTTCAATGAATCCATGAATGGCTAGAATGTTTCACTGATAGAGCAAGTGAATTACTCTCTATGCCTTTCATACATGGTATATAAATGACACAGTTTAATATGGAGAAAATAATTGTCGACACACAATAATTACATATAATTCATATGCTCTGATATGTGCAATTTAGTGTTTTATTAAACAAATACAGTAGCTAACCAAAATCAGATAGCTGGTAATGGGAAATAACATTAAAGCCTGTGTTCCTATGGTAATTATTGGTCATCTGAAATGGCATATGCTCTAAAACATAACGCTGAAAATTACCTTCCTGTGAAATAAGAAATACAATAGAAATAAAGTTAAGGGACATGTTTATTTCTGAGCTTTCTGCAAGCAAAATTGCTTTGATACAAAATGAGTTCAATGATACAGTGCTACCATCCACTCAAGCGAAAGAAAACCTCACATTTACATGAATGCACTTTATATTGATATTCTTACAGAATAATAGTTCAGATATCCAGAATGTGTCTGGCCTCATTGAAAGCAATGGCACAGAAATGCTGCAAGGTATTGGAATATCATATTATTGGCAAGTGCTTAATTAACTCTGTGAGTTCTCTGAGAGATGCTGTATAAATAAGGGTACTGTGAATGTGTGTTTGTATTCCTTAGAAGTTTTAACATACATCGTTTAGTGTTTGTTTAGTTAGCTCAAAATGTGTAATTGTGTCTTTTGGCTTTCAGTATTCTCTTTTTCTTTTTTAAAGAAAAATCATGAGGTATCCTTTACTGTTAACTAATGACATAGTGATAGGCCTTTTTTATTGAGGTTGCAGAGACTTACTGTACATTCAGTACACTGTACATTCGGCAATTATTTTTAGTGTACTTTCTACATGTTACTGTGTACAACTGTTAGTTTACATTAGAACTCTTCCCCTTCTCACGGGATATGGCAAAACGAAAAAGAATCTGACAAAAATTATACACATAAAATAAGAAGACAAATACACAAATAAGGCCATCTGCAGAATTAAAAACCCACCTCTTGCGATATTTCACAGTAATTTCTACATAATATTTTACATCTTATGAACTTAAATATTTAATGTAAAAGGAAAAGACCTTCATGGAGCCAATCATATTATCTCTTCAAGGACTTGTCCGATTTGCTGGCTAGTGGCCTTCTCTGGGGAGTTGGAATTTTAGAAGGCTTGGTGGATCCTGGCCGAGAACCTGCTCGGGGTGTCGGCCTGCTTGTAGCAGGAACAGTCTCTGACATATCTGAGCACACAGACTGGATTTCCGAAATGTCAAAGTCAGACGCGTCGCTGCCTCGGCGGCTGCTTGACCTGCTGCCAGCCTTGCTACCTGCTCGGCTGCCAGGTCTGCTTGGAGTTCTTCGGGTTTCTAGGGAGAGAGAACATAACCATCAGGATTAAAGGTAAGGATGGAAAACCTGTGCAGATCTTTCCTAGGTCTTTGGCAACTTCAAAAATCCCTCATTTCACAAACTAAACTTTAGACCTCTGCCAGGCAAGCTAAATGATGCTGTGTCTCACACTAAAGAAAAGGAAATGCAAGATCAAATGCTGGCACATAGTTATTTCAACACTAGCACATCTCATTAAAAATGCATTATCCTGGCAGCTTTTCTTGACTTCCTAGGCATGCATTGTACCTTCACTCATCAGCCAGAGCCTTTCTTTCCCCTGCCATTTTCTCAGCTATTAATTGAAAAAATTAAACAAAAAAATTCAATATCTGGTGTCTTCATGTATTTATGATTTCTAAGTATATGATTTCCTGGAGATACAAATGGACATCCCAAAATTTAAGTATGTACCCCTCTTTTTAAAAAGAAATTAAAATCCATACAGATGAAAGCTGCAACTAAACAAGGGCAAAGTATACATCCTGCCCAACAAAGGGCTGAGAAGATGAGTTCTCAGCAAGCCTGTTAAGTAAAAGCCTGCCCAGACAATGTGCCATGAAGAAAAAAACACAACAAGGAATCTTAAACAGAAAACAATGTGGTTTTTCAAAAATTTCCAATTACTTAAGTATTTTTGATCTTCACAAATCTGGTTCCCTGTATGTATGAAGAACGCTGTGTTGAAGGGCGCAGCTTCACTGCTTTCTATTTTTGTATACTACTTAAAAAATCTCTGTGGGATATTCCATTACTAAGGTAATCGACAGCTGTTCCCTGCAGGTCTTCCAAAGGAAATGGACAGGTCATGACTAAGTGTCCCCTTTGCTCCATCACAATTGAGAATAACTTGAATACTGTGAAGAACTGGATCCTTTGAGTAAATGTCTTCCCTAGTTCCTTGGGCAGATACGTTGGAGGTACCACTGTCATGAAGATTGCGGTCATGAATTTGCACATCCAGAGCTGAACATGTGAATGGAGGGCCTGATGATGTGCACCCTCAGCAATGGGCAGAGTTTTACTCCTTCCCACTCTTCTGACATCTCCCCTGAACCCTAACGTGACCCTAAGTATTCAGGTGGAAAACAAAGCAAGGATCAACCTCTGAAGTCAGAACACTCACCTGCAAACTGAGCTCTGACTCTGGTGGCTGCTGTTGACAGGATGCCACTGTCTTCTCCTGAGTGGAAACCCTTCCCTGATAGGTACCCTGGCAGTCTGAGTTTACTTCCTTGAATTGGTGTTCCCTGTGCAAACCAAAACACAGCAAACAAATGATTTTTTAACTGAAGATAAGGACTGGTATTAGGGGCCACATAGTTTAGAATATGATCATCATAACAACATTCACTGTGAATCTGAAATACTGGTTTGAGCCACATTATTCATAATGTGAAGTTTAGAATGTTCCTTTAGAAGTTTGCATTTGAAGTAGTCCAAATGTAAAACAACAACAATAAAGAAATAATTTTAACAGTCTGCTTAACATTTCAGCATCTTTGTGTGTATTTCAATGCACATTAAGAAAGGAAAAAACTACCTTCTTATAATTAGTCAAGCAGGTAAGATTAGTTGATGGTAGATACTGAGATTTTGTGTCTGCATAACTTGACTTTACATCATCCTGGCTGTAGTTAGAGGTGATGAAAATATTTTTAAAATTGAAACAAGGCTACCAAATTTCAGAAACTTTTTGCTAGGAGGAAAAAAACCGAGCCAAAACAAGAAAAAACCAAAAAAAGGGCATAGAACTAATTTTAAAAGTCCCACTTGTCTCTATATTGCCTTACAGTGTCTGTACTACACAGTCCTACCGTGCCTGCTTCCTTATTTCTGAAATGAGTCCTGATTTACAGTCTGCCCAAAATAAGAAAATTTCTTTCACAGCCACAAAAACTGAATCATCAGATCTCAAAATTAATATTACTCACTAAATAAGAGGTGTATGCAAGTAAGAGGAAAACTTCAGTGTTCACAGTAATTTAATTAACACAAAAATACTACATAAATATCCAAAAATAAGAACAAACAGTGCAGTGATAAATGAAGTTTGTGGAGTGGCCTGGATCCCAGGATCCTGCACTCTGTGCCTTTGATCCCCATGTAATTGTAGGTAGAATTAGGTACTGAAAACCAGGATCCAGAAGTGTGTTGGAAGCTGCTCTGAGCTAAGAGCAGAGCAGAAGCCTGGCAGGAGCTTGCCTGGCAGCTGCCAGTTCAGACCACTTCTGGCACTTCTGAACAAAAGAGTGCTGAGATGCTACTGAGCAATCTGCTGGCTCTGACAGGGCAGGTCACAGTATTAAACTCTGTTAAAGTCAAGTGCAGTGCTTGACATACAGCCAGCCACACCCTGGGAATCTCTGCTATACAGACACTGCTTGGGAGGGGAAGGAGAAAGGGAGCACTGTTACCTCAACTGGAGCTGCTGCATTCTGGGCAAGGCATTGGGAGAGAAGCACCAGTGCAAAAAATAAAATTAGTCTGCTCTTCAGTTTTGCCCTAAGCCCAAATGCAGTTTACATATCCAATGAATAACTGCTCTCTTGGGCAGTAAATTCTGCACAACGTCTTAGAAATTCACTGAACCTACCCCACCCTAACCATTCCATTATAATCTTAAACCACACTGGTTTACATGAAAGAAACTCACTGAAACTACAGGCAGTTGGAAGAGCAGATAAGAAATACAGTGCCCCTACATGAAATCAGGCCAGCTGCTTTCCTGTCATTGTAATTCAATGAAAACACCACCTTTCCATGTCTATAAACCCTTTAATGTACCATCAATTAATCTTTCACTGCAGTTACCAGCTACGAGATGAAAGAAAATACACAAATATATTAGAAACTGACAACTGACTAAACTGTGCTGTAAATCATTCTAAGCCACAGCCCTGTGTGCTCGCAGTGCTGTACCCACAGACACACCTGCAGTGTGCACAACAACATGCACAGAAGGAGGGAGGAAGAAGTTTGTTGAGCATCTTTGAGCAAAGCCATGCTGAGGTTATGGAAACTTTACACCAGAAGGTGTCACATGAACAGCAATAGGCATCAAAGTGCAGATTGTGAAAAGCAGATACAATAGAGGGGGTGGTAGCACAAGCTTCTCCTACCCAAGCCCTCCATCCAACCCAGGGCAAGCGTAACTCCCACAAATGACACATCAGTGTGCAGCCTGATCCAGCTGCAACCTTTTCACCAACTGTAATGACCTTAGAGTAAACACTTAGGCTCCAAGGCCCTTTGAATTTTGGTCATACAGCCTAATTGCTGGCACAGTCCCAATTGCTATACTAGCAATTTCCATGTAAGCCATGCTAGTTTCCTGTTAAGTCATCAAATAGCTATCCTATGAGAGAAATGATTGGTCACTACCCCCCTAAACAAAACTTTTAGTTGCTGTAAAGATTTATGTATCACAGACAGACTTTTGTGCCATCTTCTTCACAGTGATTGCGTATTTCTTTATTTAGTGGTTTTGCACTAGAGATCATGATTTATTAATCCCATGTCTGCAGTTCAGAAACATTGGAGTACCTCATGAATTCAAAGTAAACAATTTTATGAAAGAAACCTGCAAAGTATATTGAATGTTTCATATATTTTTTTTAAAAAAGTACTTTTCCACATTTACTTGACCATTTCATTTCATACTTTTATGATTTATTAACCATTTGAGCTTTAAACATTAGCTCATTGTGGCTATATTTTCCAAAAATTAAAAAACTGTGAAAAATAGAACATAAAAAAAAAATAAATCAACAAACTTGGGAGGAAAAAAAAAGTAAGAAATAATTTGACAAAGGTCTAAAATAAAGACAATGCATTAATATACACAGGATGTTGCAGCTCAGAAGCACTGAAACTCTAGTGGCTGTTAGTGAAGTGACAGTTTTAGTGAAGGAAGTCATTAGACTAGAATTTCTGTCCTTACTGTACCTCTGCAGATGACCCTTGATAGTCTGAGGATTCTGGTGGTTTAGAAGGAGTTGATGTTTTGCTGTTTGTCAACCATGGTTTACCATAGTTGCGTGTTAAATGATGTGGTGTCTGTATGAAACAATGGTAAATCAAAATATGAAGGACAGTACAGGAAAACAACGGCATGGATAAGGATACCCGGGCTTTCAAAATCTCAGCGGAAATAAAATCTAAGCAGAAAGAGTTAATGACAAATGTTCTAAACTGAAGAGATGACAGTTTATTTTTCAAATGAAATGGAGAGCTTTGGTGATCTTTCGGGGCAGTTCCCAAACTGCCGGTTAGTTCATGTGGCACCTTAAATGTAGAAATTCTTCTACTGCCATGTTGCAAGCAAACAGTAGAGAAAACACATTGAAAACACTTCTCAGATCCCCCAGACTAGGAAATACTTTTTCTCCATCAGCTAGAGAGAGCATCAATATTACTGGAGCAAGGAAAAACCCTCAAATTCACTCTATATCCCATTTGTTAACCAGTGCAGTTTTGTACGTTTCTCCTTACCTTCGGTGTACTTGTTGTAACAGCTTGTGGGGCAGCTGCCTGGCCAGCTTGACTTGACAGAGAAGTGGATCTGTTGGGAGAAGCACCTCTTGAAGAGGGTCGTGATCTACGGCCCCTTGGTCGGAAAGCTGCCATGCTCTGACTGGCACCATCTGCCAAAATGAATTTTTCACGCAGCTCCACATTTGTCCTCCCTTTAGCTGCAAAGAGAGGTGTTCATTGACTCAGGTATGAAAGCTGTCACAAGGCTGTTTATTGCCATTTTTGCCATGCCAACTCCAACACATTTTAACAATAAATAAAATGCATTACTGTGTAATGCATTTATTTTGGACACAGAAGAGTTATGTGCAGGACTCGCTTATTCTAATACTTTATGCCAGCAGGAATGAACCACTGTCAAAGGAAGTCAGCGTGATAATGGAATGCTCAACGTGCTAAATCATTGTTAATCAATCAACTATTAATACATAGACACAACCTGATGGGCAGTTTTGCTAACTCTACAGCTATTCATAATAAATAATACTTGCTTGGATGTTCTAGAAGAAATAGCTAAATACAAATTACAGGAAAGCAGCAAATATATTTATTCAAAACTATGAAGTTATGTAGTTTGGCAACATGCAATGATGAACATAAAACCCAAACTATGATGAGGTAATTGGTGGCTAAGCACTCATACACACATACAAACACATATATGAGGGAATGTTCTGCATGAATAAATGCAAGACATGTTAGCATTTAACTGTGTCAGTGTGAATGACAATTGTTTTTGAAACACTCTTCAAGCGTGTCAAAAAAATTAGCTTGCAAAGCACCAGCCCATGTAGGAACACGTTAAGCTAAATATGATGGGTGAAGCATATAGTTAAAAGTATATATATATTAAAAAAGCAGGAAGGAAATGAAGAGAGAGAAGAAGAGGAGGAGGAGACAAAGAGAGGGGTTTGCCAACCTATAGTAGGCTGAGTGGTAATTGAAGAGTTTGATTCCGAACGTAACATTTTACTCCCGTGATGATGAACTAGAAAAAATGACACAGGACATGGGTCACATTAAAGAAAATCGTTAGCAGGAGAAGAAATCAAGTACAGCAGCTGCATATGCAAGAGACTTGGAGCACCAGGCCAAAAGACAGGACTTGAGCAAAAGCTGTCCCTAAGTGCTCTGAGGTGAGTTCTCAAAGGTCTCCTAGGCTAAAAGGAAATGGCATTTTGACAGACTCAGCTACAGTCCCAAGTACATTTGTGAAGCAGCGGTATTTGTCTGCTGACATAAAGAAGTAATACAAGCTAAAGTGATTTTATATGACGAGGTGCAGTACTTTTAAAGTTGTTTATGACAACAGTTTTTTGCAATGTGATTCATCTGAATACACGAGGAGCACTTGGCGGAAATACAGACTTGCTAGGTGAAGTGGGCTGGGAAAAGTTTCAACCTACATCACTGACTTCAACCAGAGGAGTATTAGGTACCGATGCACAACGTCCAGTGATGTTGGTTTTACAGAGTATTCTTACAGGTATTCTTTCGATCCACTGTGCTGACATCTGCTCACACGTACCCAAGAAAAAGGGTCCTTCTTTTATTCCTTTCTACTTCTATTCCTCAAAACTGCAGAGTAGTAGAAAATAAAATGTGCCTCAGAAGATCTGGCTTCGTTGAAGGGTTAACTTGGTTAGTTCTGTTGTACCCCAAATATTTTTCTCAGGCCTACTGTAGACTGTTACAATTACTCCTATATTGACACTGAAAGATACAATACTTAATAAATATCCAATTAATTTACTGGAATCCCTTATTACAGTCATCAGTATTGTCAACAGTGTACTGAGAAAACAGCTCATCTGATGCAATGCCCTGAGAGCTGAGTGACAGAGCAATCCCTGCTCCTCCAGAGCACAATGTCCTCTGGACCAGAACATTTCCACTCGCTTTGTATAAGGCTCAGGGCTCTACAAAGTGCTTCTGGGGAAGATGCCAAGGAAAAGACAAGGTCACAAAGGTAGAGACTGAAAGACTGGGAACAGTCACTGGCCAAAGGTTTTTGTGGTGGTGGTGGTGGTGTTACTCATCAATTCAACTGCCTTATTTTGACTTATTGTGAAGCTGAGACTGTTTTATTGGACATTTCTGTGTGCTATTTCTGCCAAGTCATACAAGCCACTTCTTTGCCATAAAGTCTATCTGGGCTAAGATGATTTTTTACTTACACCACTATAACACTGAAGGAACTGTGCAGAAGACACACCAGAGTTTTTCCAGACACACATCAGTGCAACTGAAGAGGATCTCAACCATGTGATTTAAAGTTCACAAAAACGTGACATTTAGTGAGATGAAGTATACAACAACTGGCATTTTATACAAGTCCATCTCCATCTTGAGACAATGAATGGTGACTGCATCCAAATAATATGCTGCAAGTTTTTAACAGTTCTGCTACATACCACGGCAAGGATCATTTTTCACTAAGAACTCATCAAGTGCCATCCAGCCACCTCCAACACGGACCATGACCGTACTTCTTAGGATACGAACAAGGCGCAGTTGCTGAGAGTCACCAAACTGCAATAAAAATCAAATGACAGTCTGAGGTTCTCAGGCATTCAGATGCAGATAACACTGACAGGTTAAAAAAATCAGTTTATTTTGATATTTAATTATTAGTAAATGCTTAAAAAAATAATTTGTTTATGCAGATTATTAAAGCTGTTAAGATTTCATATCAGATGACACTGCATTAATCAAAAGAAGATGGCAGGATGGTAAGAAAGAAGCTCAGGTTTAATTTTATGCTTGATTTTCAAATGTCTGAGGTCATAAAAGAAGCAAAATTAGTTGTACATTATTTAATTGGTTACAGTCTGCTTTTGTGCAAATTAATGAAGACCTATTTGCTTTATTTCTCTGGTAAAATCTTAAGTGAGCACTCTTCTGCAAGTCTTGATTTTTAATGTTTTCAGCTGAAAGGAAGGCAGCATCACTTCGAACAATCAGTATATAATCTGGAAATTCAATGTGTTATGTGTGTTGCACAGTTCTATTAATTGATTCATCTATGGGAATATTTTCAGGTATAGCACTACAGTGCTGACACTGCTTATGTATAGCATGTGGGGAAGGGAACATTAAAGAAGCAATAAATGAGTAATAACTGTCATTATGTTTGTCATTCCGCTGTCTACACATCAAGGTTTTTCACAATTCAGAGATACACAACAATCTGTTTCATAGTAAGTTCCTGTATGAGTCCATTCTTCCTTTGGGCTGATGGCCAGGCCTAATGCATGTTTTGCTCTTGAAACCTGTGTAACAAAACCTGTACGCAGTACCTTCACTCAAATTCAGATCAAAGAAAGCATGACCAATATGTTGACCTCACAATCTCAAGGTAACTAACCAAAAGAATTCAGTACTTTTAAGCCAGCACTACTAAAGGATTTTGATATCAGACCACCAGGCTAAGTGCAGTGCACTCTCACACAAACATGCAGAGCACTCACTAAAACCAATGGGAGTTGAATGCCCTTCTTTGGGACAAACTCTGACCCTTGGAGAAGGCTGGCCATAATTCAGCTGTACCTACTTGCTCCAGTGAGGGGACTGAACAAACCACACAACAAACGTGCTCCCTACTTGTTAGATGACTTTAGTTGTTTGGTACTACTCAAGCCAAGAAGAGAGAAAAAGTTTAAAGGAATATTACTTTTAGGAACCAAATAAAAGCAAAGCTTGCTTCTTAATTCAATAATAAATTGTATTTGTTAGAAGTAAGAACATTCACATGAGCATTATTTGTAAGAGTTTTTTAATAATGGATTCAATATGTGCCAAACAAAGAACCATTTTGTATACGTAGATCAAAGTTGTTTTTTTTTAAAAAAGGCATCCAAATTAATGCTGTTTATTTTCATTGGCGTGTTCCTACCAAAATTCTTTTCTAGTGATTCTGAAGATAGTATCTTTCTTCTTTTCTTTATTTTTTTCCCCCATCACAGCCTCATTAGGCAGACCCTATCAGGCAACTACACCAAGGGTCAAAAACAGTGTGCTTTAGAAACTGCCCACCTAGCTGAGGTTAATTCAGAAAGTGGGGCTGGAAAGTACCACAGTAATACAATAATATCTATCGCTGCATTTATTCTTATGGTAATTCAGTTGATTTCCTTCCTAAAATAGCCTGGATACCAACTTTCTTTAAACAGTATTGAACATTATTTCAAATAACCAGAGGTAAAAACATAAAAGAGTTTAAGCCACAAAAAGGCCTGATCTTGACAATAGCCTGTAGGTGCCGTTCTGCATCAGTAAGAGTTTCTCAAGAAATGCTCTATGTTTTGCAGATGACAGATAACAGAATTAACATAATTTCAAAAAGTTCCTTCAAAAGAGACTTGTTCTTTATGTGGAAAATATTTAAATTATTGCTTACATGTATTGCTTGAGGCATGTGGCAAGACTATCCACTGCTCTATGCTTTCTTCTACATTTCAACAGGCTGTGCTAGTAAACAAGAGTGCACCCACATTTTCAACATCTTGAGATTTAAAATGGCTATTGCTGTTGATGCTAGCATGTCCAGAATGGATTAAACCTGCTATTGCCTATTCAAAAGCTAAGACTAACAGTATCTGATACCTGGTTTGCATAAGGTGTTTCCATTCTTACTGGGCAGATGTGATTTAGCACTTCAGGAAGATGGGTATGAGTGTGTAGCACAGGAGTAAGTGCTGGGTAGTGTTTACTCCAGAGAAAGGACCCACCAGTGACCCAGATAACACAAAGTATTCTTAAACACAGTTCCAGTGCACTATAAACTTGCCACAGCTCCTTGAAAACACTTTGGGAGAGGGATTAGTCTAAATGGGAACAGCAATTTTATTTTGCCTATTTCCAAAATATCTATTTAAAGATTCAGTGTTAGCACATAAAATAATAACTATCAGCCAGGTTCTTAATCAGTCTGCTTATTATGTAGAGACTGTACCATTTTTTTGCAAAGATGAAAGTATTTTTTGTGCAATTTGCAATAAATAAATGATAAGGCACTGAGATATCTGTTTGCTATGATTAGCCTTTAATCAAATAGTCTAAAAGAGACATTACAGAGTTTTGAAGGATTCAACTATAAAACTGATTAGGTAATTGTAATCTCTACAATTGCAGTTCAAATGCTCAAGATTTTTTAGTTATGGGAATTGCTGCTGACTATTATCTGGTTCCTTTAAAAGTAATCTCCTTAATGAGGAAAATGACCAAAGAAAGCAGGTGAGGGATTGTAGAGGAGGGACCCTGAGACAAGGAATTCTCCATAGCACTTAAAGAAATACCACAGCTGACCAGCAATGAATTAGCTGAAAATTAAAGGATGGCAAGAAGACTGATCATTGCAAGCTTAAATCACTATGCGTTAGGGAAAAAAAAAAAAAAGTAAAAAAAAAAAATATAAAAAAAGAAACTTCATAACACATTCCACTGGTTTATACCTGATTTCCCAGGAAGAACTGATAAGAAATGAAAAATGGAAGAAAGACACGATTAGTTTACAGGAAATTCTCTACATGACCTAGAACACATGCAAACTAACACATTAGACATTCTAAATAAAGTATCTACTAGAGAGATGAGCAGGTAGCTAGCCATCCAGAGACTGAATATTGGAAAATATTCAAGGCCTTCATTTCCTTCCCATTGCTGTTTCTGTGGTCTTTTAAAATTTACACATACTTATTAAAATCTCTTAGCCAAATACTGCGCATTTTACCTCAATTGTTCTGGTTATTTGATCTAGGGGTAGCAGATCTTCTCTTCTGTGTGATATTTACTTTTCTGTGATCTAAAAGAATTCTGCAGGTATCTAATGCTTTGCTTATACTTCAGAAATATGTGTGTTCCAATAAAATGACAAAAGAGTGTAAAAATGATTGAATACACTTAGGTAAAAGATTTTTGAAGTACAACACAACAAGAAAATATCAGTCACTGTTTTTATGAAACTAATAGAAAATCAGCTACAGTTTAAACTCTTGAGGTACCCAGGCAGAAAGACCAGCTTTTGAGGATATGCTGCTCGTATGCATGCATGTGTACTGATGTGTGCAGCTCTTAAAAATTCCTATGAATGAAAACAGCTTCAGTAGTTTAAGTGAAAATAAATACAAGCCAATTCCATATTTTTAGTCTGTATGTTCTAACAAGAAAAAGAAATTTACACAATCTTAAAGATAATGTAGTGTCATACAAGATTCCTGTGAATTCATATAGCCTAATTCCTGGCATAAACCATGTCATATGAAGAAAGCTGAAAGAACCGAGGACCGTAAAAGACTTACCCTGTACTTGTTATCCCCAATCTGTTCCACTTGAAACCGCTTCGCACATTTACATTTCGCTACCTGCCTTGTAACCTGCAAAAAAAACCACAAGATAATTACTTTAAATACCACATTTCTAAAGGTTTGTGTACCTAGTAAACTTCAAATTAAATAGGAGTGAAAATAAAGTGAATTATTATAGAATGTAAGTCCAGCAGAACAGAATGCAACCTAAGAAAGCATAGAACGTACCTCATCTTCAATTTTGTCAGCATCTGTGAGAGGCTTGTATGCATCCTTGTTCGGATGAAGAGCTGCTACAAATTCATAATAGTCAATATATCCATCACCATCTCTATCAAAAATGTCTGCAACAGCACTCATTTCAAGTCGGCTTGTAGGGAATTCTGAAGGAAAAAGACAACAACACATTTTTTTTCGCTTTTCAATCCCATTACAATGAGAGGCTCTATCACAAATATTAGAAGGTGAATATTAGGTATTTGGTGACAGATAGTGCTTATCAAAAAAAAAAAAAAAAAAGGATATTTGGACAAGTGAAGGAATGTTTCCTGAAAAATTCCAATCTGAATCTCCAGTGTTACCCAGATATTGGATTAAAATGAGTACCATAATGTGGTTTGAAGACAGAGACAAAAGCAAGGACACAGATTAAACTGGAAAATATATAGGGGGGTGGTGGATGGTGGGTGGGTGTTAACATTTTGACCTTCAAATGCATAAAATACCAGAAATTAAGGAGATAAATGGTTAGTGAGGGGAGGTCAAGCAAGCATTTCAGTGCTGATTAAATCTGGAATGTGAAGCCTTCTCAATGCAGATCCATGCATGGTGTTTCATGAAGTCCTTCTTTAGATCAAGTTCAGAGCAGCACTGTATTAACCCACACAGAGATTCTCAATGAAATGGTCAAAGAAAATTTCAAGGTGAGGAACAGGGATTATATTAGGAGTGTTTGGTGGTCATAATAAATTGATAGCAACTGAGTTAAAAGCATAAACTATTTAACCTGTTGGTGGTATTATATCTTTTTCATGAACTGTTATTAATTCAAGCAAAACAGAAATATCCACATATAGTGATCTTACACTGCATTTCCTAAGGCAGGGGGAAAATATACAGAGTACAGTATTTTCCTACTGAGTAACACTAAAATGCAATTCTAGAAGCAGCCCAATTCCGAGTCATTACTGTTCAATGCAAAAGTCTCCATTATCTGAAGATAAAGGATTATTTTAAATATTAGGTCATTATCTGTTATGAGTCTGTTCCTAAAAGGAAATACGATTACATGTATGATGTGGAAGACTTGCATTACCACCATACCTAAGGAATACCAATCCAACAGGAAAGCTAGGAAAATTGCTTTCTAATTTGATTGCTTGGCATTTTAAGCCCTATTATATAGGTATATGAATATTGTCATGGCTCATGAAAACACTGGTCTCAAAAGTTAGAGTTTTCTTCTATAATTGAAACTATTCCATGTAAGTTCTTCAATAAAAATCATATGATCCTATGAACAGATTTTGATAGGTTAGGTTACATAATGTGCTTTTTACTATTAGAGTAATCAATCAAAAAGTAATTGTTGAAGTAGATAGTGTACTATAGGATTGACAATCTGAGTTCAGTAAACCAACAAACTACTAATTAGACAATAATATGAATATGACCTTTGTATCCTGATTCAGAATGTAAAATAACTAGAGTTTCTAGAATCTAAAAATATTTTCAAGTAAAGTAATAATGAAGCAATAATAATGAATACATTCAAAATAAAATCCGTGACCTTCTAACACAATAGAATGCATAGATCACTCTATCTAGACAATAAGACTTCATGAGATGTTTGTTCCAAGTTCAACAGTACGTTAATTTTAAAACTTACTTGAAGAAAGAATTCCATCGATAAATTCCTGTCTTGTAATCTTTCCATCCTGATCTTTATCAATCCTCCTAAAGAAGTCCATCACGCGAGACTTCTTGTGGTTCATCCATCGCATGTATTTTTTCCTCCAAATATCAAAATCAAAGTTGGCAAATTCTCTCAGCTTAATAAAAAACAGAAAGAACTTTTTTCAGCTGAAATCCATCAATCTAGAACATCAATGAGATAGATACCATCTGCGTTTTGTTGAACACTTGATTCTTGGAGGACCTACGCAAACATTTTAAGTATCTCAACTCTCCTCATTTAAAATGACGATGACAGCTTTTAAAGCACATTAAAGCACATGGATCACAATGTTTTCAGCTAGATGTGTCATACCATACAATACAAGTATGGAAGTTGTTTACAGTATTGGAATTTAATCCAGGGTAAAGAAAATTGTGCAAAAAGTACATATATTCTGTACAGTGCTTTTCTAACCTCTTCAAGTCTGTCCAGAGCATCGTTAAGTTTTCTTCTTCTTTCCAAGGCCAGAAGCCAAACTTGCTGCCATTTGCTGACTAAAAGGTTTACCCGTGGATTCTTGGTTTCAATTTGTGCCTGGGCTGCTGATGGATAAATGCCTGGTGTTGGGGAACGCTTTCCTGTTAAAACATGATAAAATGCGTAGGGCTCACCCAGCTCAAACAAAACAAATGTTCACATGAAATGCACTTGACCTTCCTAAAATTATTCCTTCCTGTCCCAAATAAGGAGGTCATGCCCCAAGATGATTCCATATAGTGGGATTTCTTTTTCTTTTTTTTCCTATTCCAGCAACCCAGTGATAGTTACAGCCTCTTTTATTTAGCCAGAAGCAGCTAGTGAGTCAAGCTAGTCAAGCTGCACAGTTTAAATAAATCTTAGTAAATCTCTCAGAGTTGCAAAGTAAACAACCTCATTTTAGAAGCAGGTTCCATGTATGGGTAAGTATAAAATACAATGGGTAAGTATATCTAAAAATACAAAAATCAATTTCCTCACTTGATGATTCACTTTCCATTCAACTTCACTGAATACACTTCTAACTGGATTAATATAATTCTATAGACAGTAAGAGCATAATTTTGTCTCTAAATCTCTCTGTGAAGTTGTCTGTACTTTCAGATAATGGAAGATTTAAAAGTATCAGCATGTACTGGTTCTTGGAAGTTTAAAGGCACAGGAAAGGCTGCACACTTTAAAAATAGATATTCATGAAGATTAGGACAAAATGTAAAAATACATGTCTGCTCTGAGAAATTTCCTCACAATTTATAAAAAATGAGAGATAATTAAAAAAGTCAGCCAAGAGAATTTTACCTTCTTTCACCAGAAGTTAATCAAGCCTATTAGATTATTAGCAATCTGTAAACTTTATAGTGCAGTGGTATGTGTGACACACCCCAAAATACACTGTTACTTACTTCCTGCTCTCCCCTTATCAAGGACAGGAATATGCGATTGTACTGGAGAGGGTTCAAGTGCTTTCCTTTTATAGGTCTTTGTAACTTTATCCACATCAGGCTGTTTTCTGGTCATTTCTTCCATGAATGTCTGCAATCAGATAGAGGGGATCTTAATTAAAAATACACAAAAGTAACCAGAGGAATGAAAAACATACACAATAGCAAAACACCCAAGTTAAAAACAAACACACAGCAAGACACTTATAATGCCAGCCTCACAATACAGACTTAGAGAAATGTTTTGTAGATAAGAAAAATCAGCAATATAAGCTTTTAAGGGTACTATGGCCTGGCTGTTAAAAGAAGGCTAAATCTAAAAACCAATCTGTCAAACTCCTTTATTAACTATATATGGGGTGAGGTGATATAGAACAGAATTTTGCCTCCAAGATCCTCCTGTTCAGACTGCAGTTCACAGAAGTGAGACAGCTCTGGTGTGTAAGCTGGGGGCATTCACAACACCAGCAGCTCCTTCTGGCACTTCATAAACTGATTTTTGTTATCTAATCAATAATGACACACTGCACCACTAGATCTAAGGTGGCAGCACTATACATTTCATGTGGGTTTTCTTTTATTCATAATATTATCCTTGCTTGTATTCAGTTATTATAAGAAAAAAATATCAAAAATATCATGCAGCCCAGCCCCACATGGAGATGCAAGCCCCATGTGAGTGACACATGTCACTTGATAATCCTTACCTGATGTTCAGCTATAAGCGCTTTAACTTCCTCAATCTCCTGGGGGATAACCTCTTTATCTTTTTCAGTTAGTGTAGTCTCTGCCCACTGCAACCAGGACAGCAAGGCTTCCAGCAGCTCCTGGTTAGCAATAAGTCCAGCCAGAGCTCCTGCTAGTCTCTGTTGATGTTGTTTAGCCCATGCCAAGACCTTGAAAAAGGAACCAATACATGAGTATGTGCATCTGAAACTCTTCACATTGTACATAAAATTGCTCTGCAAACTGTAAACCCAGAGCTACTTCTTAGGCCTGCTGATGTTTGGATATCAAGGGTGTTAAATGTAGTGGCTGATCACTAACAGTAGCTAGGTAACTAGAATTCCCAGTCCAACACATTTCTTCCACAGATATACAGGATTAGGTGCTGCTAAACACAGTAACTAGCACCTTCAAGCAACATATTAATAATTTTAAATACATGTGTAAGTTAATGAATCACACAGGATTTGGTGTCAGTTTTTCTCCTGGGCACTCCTGAAGCCATACTTTGCTATCACCAGTATTTATATTTTCTTTAAGCTTAATATAAAACAAAAGATATCACCTTAACAGCTGAGAGTACAACCTACCTGTAGCCACTTAAATAATTCAGCTATTTTCTAGATTACAAATGTGTTGGACTGAAATCCTCTCTAATGCAATCAGAAAATCCTTCACACTTGCCCTGCATTTTCTTTCCTTTGTAACTTTTCAATTTCCCTCTAGAAACTATTGGTTTTCCTCACTTGGGAAGCATCAGACCATATTTCCTTTAATGCATACAAACAAAGAAGCTTGACCATCTGCTTTAGCTCTTAAAGCCCTGGAAGTTTTGAAAGAAAGCTTAGGGAAGCACGGTATTCACATCCATCACCATGGGTATTTTAAATGTTTAGTTCTCAACAGCTGGATCGTTTCCTCACAGTGTAACTACCATGTTAGTTGTCAGCTGTGTCCTAATGGAAGATGGACTGCTGCAACGAAGATGGTTCAACATATACTGACCTCTTCAAACCTGGCTCTGATGATTGTTATCCAGTGCTTAATGGTGGTGATGGAGTCTGGGTGGCAGATAGCCAGAATAGCTTCTCCCATACCTGTTGCTTTATTCAGTTCTGCCTTTTTCTCTTCCAGTTTCTTCATAAATTCCTAAAACAGAGATAGTAATTTTAATTGGATGCTGACAAAATTTGCAAGAGAAACCTGAGTGTAAGATCTGCAAGGATCTGAGTGCAAAATTTGCAAGAGAAATTTGTAAGGTGATGGGCCTCTTTACTGCTCAAGCAGATTCAGATTGCAAGGGGCAAGTTTCATTTGTACGAGAAAAGCTTAAACTGTTTAAAAAGCATATTCCACCTAAATCCTTGAAAGATGCATACCCTTAATAAAAAAACGAAAGAAAATCACAGCATTTAGGAGTGCTCTAAACCAGCTATATGATGGTTAGAATCACTGTTGGCAACATTTCAATGACTTGGTTTGTCAGTTACAGTAACTCTTCACAATAAACTGTCAAGCTCCTACCAGAGGCTGGATATGTCCAACTATAATTGCATGCTCAGACAAGATGACAGAGTTCAGGAGCAGCTATACTAAGCTAACACAAATGTGACAACTCAGCAGCTGAGGGGGAGAGACACAGCATGTGGGAAAAATCTCGTAAAAGCAAAAGGAAGTTTACAGCCTTAGGCATCCAAGCTCATAGTTATTGGTATTCCTGTGACAGCAGGACCAGAAATGGATGTGGGGGAGAAACAACAATAAGAAAAAGCAAGTGAAAAGAGGATTTTTCCCATCCTTTCTATAGCTTGCCTTTCCTTCTTTTTGTTTTTTTCTTTTCCCCTTTCAATTTTATTTTTGGTTAATCATTACTACTAAAATGGTTTTACTTTTCTGCCTAAATATTATGCAAGTCTGTGTGTCTTTGTGAGCATCCTTAACTGGAACTGCTAATATCTCTCAGTGCCTAGTGGAAATTTTTTATATCCTTTAACATCTTTAATTAGGCTACAAAAAAGGAATCGTGTCTCTGAAAGCTTAACTCTTCCTCTCTCCAGCCATAAATCCATTTATTTTGGATTAAAGGTGAAATTAAAGATGAGCCAAGTCAGAGCCTAGACAATTCAAAATCACCTAAACATTCTAAAAACAGGCTCTTCAGCAACTCATAATGACATTATCCTGTGCCTTTACAAAATAAGTATGAAGTTACAAATAAAAATTCAAAATGTCAAAGACATAATCTCTTCTACCTTGTTCTAGAAGCCTGGAATATGTAGGCTCTATATTTAAATGCATTTGTTGCCAACTGGTTTTGATTTAAGCTTTAATTGCTGCCAGAGTTTAAGACCCAAATCATAATAACAAACCTTCTTTCACAAAAATGCATGCATCCTTACAATATTGCAGTTCAACATGGTTTTTTAAAAATTGAATTGGATTATAATGAGAAATTACCAAAATAAGCCAGAGACAGGTGAAAAATGGGAAAAAAAACCCCACTGTGTTCCCCTGCTTGGCTGTACTGGAGTCTTTCAAGAATTAAATCAATGATGCACAACTTGCAGTGTATTAAACTCCCTAATTGTATTGAACTCTGGCAAACCAGTGACACAGACACATTTACAAAAGAGGAAATGGGATGCTTCTCATTGAGCAGTGCAGTGCATTAGCCCACTACAGCTCTCAGTCCCTAGAGAGGTGGACAACTGACAGATACCTCTCTGACTGAGACAGCAGAATTCACAAAATCATGTACAGTACTCAAGATGAGAAAAATCAGAAATGGGCATAAAGATGGACCATTTGGATAAAATATTGTCCTAAAGAAAACATTTCTACATTTGCAATTGAATACAAATGTACTAAAACTATTTTACAAAAATCACAGCGACAAAAGGATGACACATTTCATATTTATGCAATAATTTCACTCATACATTTTTATTATAGTATGCAGCATTATCATGCATACATGGTATTTATAAGTAATATATATTATCTCTTCCCTTATTTTGTTTTTGTCTTCTTGAAAGCTAATGGTATACACTTAAAAGGAGAGATGACCTATTTGAGAAAGACTGTGAGTGGCAGATTGGTAGTGCCATAATATTTCTTAGCTTGTCAATTTCTCTATCTCTATTGCTTGCCCTTTAAGAGGAAAATGGGGTTGGGAGAATGCCTTCTAAAGCCTACCAAAAAAAATTAAGTACAACATGGCCACATCTAACACTGAGATTGGTTGTGTTGTGCTAGCTATCATCCTTTCCCAGCTGGACAAGGTTTTCTCAGAGACAAACTTTGCTTTGAGGTTCCAAGTTATGCTTTAGCTTTGGCAGCACAAATTTTGAACTTAGTACAGAAACATTTTGCTAATCCATCTACAGTGTGGAGGAAGACATTTAAAATTCTACTTTCCAATTATTTCAGTGGACCTAAGATTTCACTCCGTTCTCTTCTCTGTAGTCAGAAGATTTAAAAACTCAAATTAAAGGGAACTGGTGAAGCACATGCAGAGGAAAGGCAACTAAAAGACATTTCATTGAACAGAGACATTAGGTTGCTGCTGCCAACATTAGCCAACACACTGTGAGGTTGTTACATCAGCACACACTGATGTATATACACATTTGATGCATATATACATTTGCCAGCTTATGACTAGCACTCAGTTTCCAGGACCCTAAATTAAAACTGAAAACTTTTTCAAAACATTGCATTTTAACTACATTGAAAATCCCTCAGTTAAGTACCATTTAATTGTCCTATCTTGCATGTACTCCTCTGCATAATAATATAATCAAACTCAAATTTAAACAGGATGCTTTTCCAATCTCCATTTCATGAATTTTGCTTTAACTTCTTCCTTAATTTCTTCAGAGCAATGATGAAGATATCCACAACTTATAATTTGTTCTGTAACACTGTGGGCAGCACACCCTTGGTACTATTTTGTGTGAAAATTTGACCTCTAAGTTCCTTACTTAGCCAATTTCCCATTTCATTACTGCAAAGTTAGTTTGATGGCCTATAATCTACAACCTGCAGCACCTATGCCACTGCAATATTACAGTAGCCAATGCATGTGAGATATGACAGCATGCTGTTTCACCATGACAAAAGGTTCATGGATGATAACATCATCCTGCTGACATTTACAAATAACCTTGCAAGAGAAGTCCATGTCCTTTAGGTCAATGCTGCCAAAGAGACACTTTTGCTACTGTACCAGTTTGTGTGGTAATTACAGGCCTGGTATACTCCAGACAGGGGCTTGCATCTGTCTCTAAATGTTTATTTAACTTTCTAGAAGCCCGTTTTTTCTTTAATAAGCCAAGATGACTCGAGCAACAGCCCAACACCAGTCTGGACATCAAACTCTTAACTTAAATTTCTAGTTTCTCTACAGAAAGAATTGCACCAACACTGGACGCTGGATAGAACTATCTGGGATAGACTCTGCCTTCTTTCCTCTATTTTACCATCTATCAGAGCAATTAGAATGAAGAAGATCCTCTTTGTTTTCTTGCTTACCCTGTGCTGCTCTATCAGTGTTCGCAAGGCCTCTTCATCGTCTGGAAGGATGCCGTGGAAACGAAGAGCCTGCTCTGCCTCTGCCAGCCACTCCAAAAGGACATGGACAACTGAGTGGAATTCTTCTGCCTGTTAAGATACAAGAAGTTGTGGTCACTCATGAGGTGACCTGACAGACACACTGCAGCTTACACAGGGAGACTGAGCCCATTAATCATGATCATTAATCATCCAGCAGTACCGGCACATTATCTTTCCATTAAAAAGTCAATGATGCACAGCACTACATTTTCATAACTGTAAAAAAACAGCTCATGCTTCCCAAAAAAATTATAGGAAGCCTAAAAGCCTGCTCATGCTTTTAGCCATCTGATTTATAGTGTATTTGCAGCTCAGTTGAGAATGTCATGCCTTTACACTGACAAACTACACAGAAGGTGCTTTCAGGGACCAGCTGGAGAGATGAGAACTATTGTCTGCACAGCCTAAAGCACCAGTTAAGCAAAATGAATTGACAGCCTGTTGGATAGTGACTCTTCTGTGTCTAGAGAAAACAAGAAAGATTCACCTTTGGGTACAGCCATATTCAGACACAATGAGTGTTTGAGGTAAGTTCAGGATTGTGTCTGCTGAGCAAAGCAGAGCAGGAATATTGTACACAGCAGATGACTACTAGCTACTCCAGGAGTCCCATCCTAGCATAAGTCCAAGCTAGTATATCTTCAGAGAGCTGTACATCCATTTTATCTCAGGTTTGGAAACAATACAGATATATCTATTTATTGGAATTGGTACCAGATAATGCTGACATACATAGACAATTCTAGGTCATGACTGCATTCAGCACAAAAAAATATATTTTTTCTCTGAAGTACCTCACCATACATTGTAATTGTGCCAATGTAAACAATTTTTCAATACACAAATTTACTTCTTTCCAATAAGGCACAAAAAGCAAAAATATGATTGCAACCTTCTGCTTCTTGTGAATGGGGCATAGTTCTTTGTCATCCTTCATGTTTGACTGTAACTTCAGTGATTTCCTTAGATGGTAAGGTCTTTGAAACATTTGTTTTGCATTTGTGGCAGAGACTAATAATAACAGGAATAATAAATACTAAGAGGCACTATTTATGTGCTGTGGTAAAAGGATAGATAAGGTAAGCAATGCATTAGCAAGTAAATGAGTATTTTCAAATGAAATGAGAGTGAATGGCACCAAGTGAAATGAAATTAAATTTTTGGCAACTAAACTGCAAGATATTTTTCACTGACTCTGTACATGTAGCAACATTATTGTTCCTCTACCTGCCGGAGGGCCTGTTCCAGTCGTGTTTGCTTGGATACTGACAGGGCACAAACTGTCTCCCAGCGAGTGCTTAGCTCCTGCATTTGCACTTTGACCCAGGAAGAGTCATCACGACTGCCTTCTATCAGCTCCCTTGCAGAGCGCTTCAGAGCCTGGACACTGCTTGTTCTTTTTCCCAGCTCCTTCTGGAAAACCTAGAAACCATCAAATACATTTGAAATGTTTAGCTTATTAAGACACGCTTATGTAAAAAACAAGAAAAAACTACTGGTTACGAAAAGAAATGAAAATATGGATTTATTTCTGTCAAGAGTAACTCCATTTAAGTGATGCAAAACACCTAAGTTCTATTTATTATATCCCACAGGAAGATATTAATACTCTCTTCTAACATAATAAAACTGGAATATGGTAGGAAAAGGTCAGGCAGATCCCAAGAATCCATTCTGGTGCAATGCATGGGAAATTTTGTCTCCTTACCTCTGCTGGCTTTCCATTCTTTACCAAAGCAATGGATCTGACATGGATTAAAGCATAAGACTGCTGTGGCAGGAAAAGATCAGATAAAAAGCTAGCTATCAAGGAGAGGGTTTAAAATCATCCAAACAGAAATAAATCCCCATTTGGGGGTCTAACTGTAAGATTGTGGAACTTGCTGCTTATTCATATATTTATGTGGGAGTATGTTCATATTATTAAATTGAACAAGCTCCAGTTACTTAAAAGAAGCTCTTAAAAGTAGATAATTAGAGTGTACTGTGCCACTGACTGCAACTTACTTGTGATGGACAGCAGGATTTCAGAAGCAATTGAAGCATAGTGCAGGCTTATTTTTATAGAAAACCCATGTTTTCAAACACATTTTTTTGAGGCCCAAAATCTCCTCCTCAGTGCAGATGAGATACTGAAAGTGACAGGTGGATGAACAGAGGGACCTTCACCTCATAATCTTCCCAGGCTGCAGAGCTCTGCCTATGTGTCGCCCTTGCAATACAAGTAACTCCAGCAGCCACTTCTTCTGGCACACTGAACTGCAAAACTGGGATCCAGAGGCAGAGTCCAGCATCTCCTACTTCTGCCCACATCCAAAACCACTTCAGTAACAAAATACTGCAGGCTTCCGACATAAGCTCCCTGGGCCATGGTCTAGTTGAAATCTGTGTATAACTTTAGCATTGTAATTACTCTTCTCAGTAAATATACAGCAGCCCCACAGGTCTGAACGGCTGCTGAAGTCATGGCAAGTACACTGCACATTTAGTTAGCAGATAGACTAAAAAAGACCTGTCTGCTCCAGAGTTTTCTGGTAAAATTTTTGCCATCTCTTGCCCCTTAACACACATTTGCAAATGCATATTTGTGATTTATGACATGATGTTAATAAATGCACAGCACAATAAAACAGAATATCTCATGCTAACTGGTATTAATGAGTCACTAAGAGTTGTCCTCCTTCATGTATGTTTTTTTAGCATTTTCTATTGTTGACTATGTGCTACAAAACTATTTAATATTTCTAAAAATTACAGAATAGTGAAAGATAAAGATGGTATTAAAATGTTGCAATTATGAACAGTCCGGTAACTAAAAACCAGAATTTTTGGAACTACCTTGTGGTTGTCAATCAGATTCATTACTAAATCAATGTCTCCATGCACTGGTTGGTCTTCTGCTAGCTGAGGTTCAATTTTGTATAACCAATCAATGAGAGCTTGCAGAGCATCAGTGAACTGTCCTGAAAATAGCAGGGCTTCCTCCAGTTTATTTTGTCTGTGAGGGGAAAAAAAGCCAAACACATGCACAAAATAATCATTTATACACTTCAGGAAAATATTTTCAGCTTAAAGTAACAGAATCATGTAAGTGCTAAGGTTGGAAAAGACTGGTAAAATCATTGAGCCCAACCACTGTCTCAGCACCAGTACATTCACCACCACATCATGTCCCCAGATGCTTCTAGGGATGGTGATTCAACTACTTCCTTGGGCAGTCTGTTTCAATGCCTCACAACCCTCTCACGGAAGAAATTTTTCATAAAATCCAACCTAAACCTCACTTGGTGCAATTTGAGGCAGTTTCCTCTCATGCTGACATTTGCTGCCTGGGAGAAGAGATCAATCTCACCTGGATGCAGCCTCCTTTCAGGCACTTGTAGAAAGCAGTAAGGTCCCCTGAGCTTCCTTTTCTCCAGGCTAAACACCCTCAACTCCCTCAGCTGCTCCTCACAGGACTCGTGCCCCAGACCCTTCCCCAGCTCCGCTGCCCTTCCCTGGACTCGCTCCAGCCCCTCAGTGTCTCTCACAGTGAGGGGCCCAGAACTGGACACAGCACTCCAGGTGTGGCCTCAGCAGTGCCCAGTACAGGGGGACAATCCCTGCCCTGCTCCTGCTGGCCACACTACTGCTGACACAGGCCAGGGTGCCACTGCCTTCCTGGCCACACCTTGGCTCATGTTCAGCTACTGTTGACCAGCACCTCCAGAGAAGTGCAAATCAAGTTTCCCTTTTTTAAAGGGCTCTTCCTTCCACTTCCTCCCCAGCTCTTCGACCATACCATTAGAAAAATAAGCATTTGCAGTATTTTACTGCTTTGGCATTCTTAATTATCAAACAAGCTAGCCACTCTGGTTCTACTTCTACACAACAAATTCCAAAAATAGAAGCCTTTTTCTTATTTGATGAGTAATTAGTTGAGTTTCATTTACCTTTCCACTGATTTTCCACAAATTGTATCCCATTTATCTCTTAGTTCACTCAGCATGTCATCAAGTTTCAAATTGTCGTCAGCCAAGGTGGTTTTCTCTTTCAAGGAACGTCCAGTCCTATTTGTGGTATCATACACAGAATGTTTGGCACCAAGAGATTTCTGGAATTCCTATATATATATGGGAAAAAAAAGAAATATCCATGTATTATTAACTGGCCATTGTTAATTAGTTTTTTACACACTATTTTAACATAAATTGTAAATGTTGCTGCAAGAATAATTTAAACTTACTGCAAAATTTCTATGCTAGTGCCACAGTGCACCTGGGGCTTGACACTAGCAGACCCCTGCCTTTTGTCCTCTTCTGGAACTGTAGCTCTATGCTTACTGGAACAACTTCAGGAAAATCCCTCCTTCATTGAGGGCAATGATTCCTGTCTTACCATAATATTCCCAAATTTCAGCCTAGTAGTCAGAAGGATGTGAAAAACTGCCACTTTGGGGGCCATTAACTGAGCATTCTTTGCAATACACTCGTACAAACTAAGATATCAAGCCACTTGTGGAGCTCCCCAAGAACTACAAAGGTTATTCTGGTTTAGCTCAACATGGACAAGCTGGGAAACCTTTGAGCAGCAGCAGCAGTCAGGTAACATCCCAATAACTCCATCTGTGCTAGAAGTAAAGATCCCAAGCAGGTTTCTGTGCCCCAGAACTTTGGACAATGACAGCGACAGAGTCTGCCTGCCAGCTCCTTTTGCACAGACCCTCTGGAAGCTTTTCACAGGCCCAGAAGAGCACAAGAAACACAGTTCATCTGATACCACACAGGAATTAACTGACTGAGTAAATAATTGAATAAAGAAATCCATGAATTGCTAGCAGGGAATCAGTTGAAAAAAAGCAAATCACAAGTTTGCTTTAGAAAACTCTTATATATAACATCAAATGTTTTCTTTTGTTTTTTTTTTTAGTTACCAAAAAAGCAATATTTGTTTTGTAATTTACTATTTCCTTACTATTTTTTGATTTTCTTCATATAAAACAAGAAAACAAACTTTAAGAAAAAATTTAATTGTCAAGCTAGGATTACAGTAAAAATAAATACAATTGTTAAAACAACCAGTTTTTTATAACAGTACCTTCAATACAAAAAAATATGTCTATGCTTCTTTTATTTGATGGGTATTTTTAACTACTGACACTACACAATGATACTAGGTTTGCACAAGGAAACACAATTAAATTGATGCCACAGGAAAATCAAAGAGGAAAAACAGATTTAAAGATGGCAAAGGGTTGCAGTTAGTTCATTCCCTGAGACTAAACCATATCTACTTTCATTTGACTTCAGGTATAACTGAGAGTAGATTTTGGTTTAAGCTGCCAGGAACAGATAGGTAAGTTAATTACTGAGATTTTGTTCAGCTAGATACCTTCCTTCTAAAGAAGATGGGCACATACTGATAAAATTAGCCAGGTTCATGTAAATGTACTGTAAGAACTCTAGCACAGGAATGGATTGGGTGACCTAGTTCGGGTTTTTCCATTCCTGATTCCTAAAAATGAGAAAAAAATCCCAATAAACAGACCATGAATAACCCCCAAAAGTCCCTGGCAACATGATAGATATGAGTGAGAGAGAAAACATATTATCTTGGCTTTTCTTTTTCAGGGACTTTTTTTTTGGCAGTAACAACTGGCAAAGAACGGGTCCAAATTATTTCTTACAGCACACATTTGTTGGGATAGCAAAATTCTTAACTAAAAGGAGCAAGGAAACCTTCAAGGCTGGACAGAAAAGACAAAGACAGACACAGGGTATATGTGGGAGTGGAAGGAAAAGACTCAAAATACAAGGAAGGACATTGCAGTGTTGGGAGGTTTAAGAACTCATTAAAAAACAATTGAGTTGATTTCTTGAGAGGGTGGTGTTTGAAGTTTAAAGTTACAAAGTTCACCACATTTATCTTTTTTCTCCAGATCACCAGTTTCAATCCTTATGTGCCTGTACCAGTTTCATCCCATTCCTTAATGAGATACAAGCAACTCAAGCAGTAATGCTCTGCAGGCTTTTTACTTTAGAGAAGCTGCAGAAAAGGCATCAGTGACAGAAGTGATGAGTCTGCCAGTCCATTTGAGGAAGCTTGGTCTCATAAAACGCACTGCTGCACATATAAAGTGCATATCAGGTTTAACATTTCTGAAGATGGGATGAGAATACAGGTAGGGAGTCCTGAAAACCTCAAAGCAAAGTCACAGTGTTGACCATACTGCTGAGGAATTTGAATATGTAAAGAAAAGAGAGGAGTGAAAGGATTAGAAGATTAGCAAAACTCAGATTATCGTAACAGCAAGATCTCCTCCTGCCAGTTCAGATCACTGATTTAAAATTCTGGCAACAGCAGCAATCCCAAAACAAACTGAAATTGCAGAGTTGGCGTATCAGAATGTTAACGTAGGTTTTATCTAAAGGTTTTAACAGCAGACACAGGTAAAACTATTTTTTCTTTACCAACTGCCAGCTCTCTCTGTATTAAAGGAGAATGTTTTCCTGGTTGATAAACAACATGTCATGCAACCTGAGAGATGATAAAAAAATAAACCAGACTAAAGAAGTCATTAACAGACATGACAAAATTTGTCAGTGGTAAAAGCAATCACCAGAAGCTGCAGTGAAAAGAAAAAATTAGGCAAACGCCTCAGGATATTGTGAAAGATGAAAAAAATAGGAGTAAATGGAGAACAACAGAACTGACATAAAACTGACATAAAAAGTAAATATGTGTCAAAATAGACACATATTTACTGATATACATATATACATATTTACTGATATAGAAAACTGAATGATCTTTCAATATTCTAGTGTTTGATGAAACTGCCCCAAGAGAAATCTTAAGACACAATCATATCTCTGAAAATTCTACCACTCATCCACTTGATCCTCAATAATATATTATTCTAGGCATTTTACAGAAGTCAAAATGAAGTAAAGACTACTTCTGTCTTTGCTTTTGCTCTGTGTCAGATGGAATTACAGAGCTTTACATTATCATTACAAGTTTGAAAAGCCAAGTGAACGAGAGAGATTTTTACATATTCACAGCTGAATTTCTGAAAAAATGGTTTCAAAATTTTGAATCCAATAAAGAGAAATATGGGAGCAGTATTTTCTCTAATACTGTCAACAGTGTTTTCTAGGGGATTTCATTAATATTTCCACTTGATATAAAAAGCAACTGCCAATCAAAACACTTGATTAAGATTTGATCTTGATTAAGATTTTTCACTTTTTCACTATTTTTCACTTTTGAAGATGTTCTGTAGTATTGAAAGAAAAATCTCAACCCAAGTAAGTGGATAGTAAATTTTTGGTTTAAGAACTTAAAGAAATCCTCTTCAGAGATCATTTTCAACTTTCCATGGTGCTGTATTATTCTTTCCTCTTCATTTTTAACCATTCCCCCACATATCAGGTACTGAGAAAAATTCTTTTCATTCACACCCTGTTAAAACACCACCATTTAATTTGATGTGAACAAACACCCCTACAAACACAAATCTACTTTCACTGCTGATTGAACAGTACAAGTCTGAACGACTTACATACGTTTCACTGGGAATTTTGTGTATAATGACTCACCTTATGCTGTGCAAGCTGCATCTTTATTTTGTCAGGGTCATTTGCAATTTCAAGATCTGAGTCCAAAGATTTCTCTGATTCTTCCAGCCATTCCATAAGTTTATGCCAGGCTTCATGGAACTAAAGGGAAGTCAGATTTGTATGAACTTTAAAATTCACTTGCTGATTAAACAGTCTAAAAGCATTAAACCCCATGCAAACTTTGACAAAATTTGATGCTTTTCTCCTTGGTCTCTTAAACAGAACAGGTCTAGCCATGTGCTCGCTCTATCTAGTCTCCCTTCCCCAAGCGAGTGCACACATCATATGTATCTGTCAGAGACATATTGGTAACATCTGTCGATGTGTTGGTCATTCAGATTCCTACAGTTTAAGTAATGGATAGTAAATACAGAAAGAACAGGGCTTAGCTATTGCTTATATGGGACCATGGCAGTAAATCACTGGGGAAAACTTCCATCTGGATGACTGCCCAAGATGTTCCCTGTAACACTCATAAAAGCTCTCATTATATCAAACGCTATCTTGATGAGCAAGGAACAGATTTTTGATCTTCCTTCCTGTTTCAAAGAAAAGAACACTTCAGGGAAGGAAGCAGGGAAAAAGTAAAGATTCAATCAGCTTTCACACAGTGTGTCATCCGTTTGGGTTCTGATTTTTCGAAGCTGGTCATTTCCCTCCCTCTTGAAAATTCTTCTTGCCTGGGCTGCCTACACATGGAAGCACAAGAAACTATTTCAGAAACCTTGCAAGGCATCTAACACAATTGTTTAGGGCTTTTGCTTAGGCAAAAAGGCACCAGTAGCCTTGAGTATTCCTTCCACGCTACATACACACAGTTACCATCTTGTAACACTGTAATGAGCTTTTAAATGCATATTGAGATGAAACCCATCTCATTGCAGAACTGCTGTGTGTGTGAATGCACATGAGAAACTGCTGGAAAATAAGAAACATGGGATTGGCTTATGGGCTAATTAACTGGCCAGAGAACTTCTTGCTCTATGAGCTGAGTGGTGGTATTGGTGAACAGTGGAACATGGTTTAGCTGTGAACATCACCGAATCTTGAATGACCATGTTCCCTTGAACAGAAAGGAGCTAGAACTTCCTCTTCATATTTAAACAGGTTACATTCCTCTCACACATTTTGCATCTCATATTTATATTCCTCGTTGAGAGAAACATGTACCTAAGAAAAAATCCACAGATGCTTCCAACTAAAGAAAACTTTGCAAACAGCCCTGCTCCCCACAAAAAACAACCTCTCCAGGTTTATAAGGAAATAAATGGAGATCTCTTACCACACAGAAGGTACTGGTCTAGTAACTAATAGAAGAGATTGAGTGGCAAGTGTTGAGTATAATCAGGACACAACAGAGACCCAAGAAGAAAATACTAAAGGATACTCCCACAGATTAGTGAAAAGGGTTCATCACATTCTTTAAAATATACAAAGTTGATTATGAAACTTCTTTTTGAAGACAGATGGCACTAATACACATCTGGAATCCATACTGTAACTTTCTTTTTTCAGACTATCCTATACTGCAGACAGAAGTCACTGCTTGGGTTGAAAATGATGCTTTCACCTTCCAAATGAAGTGCTCTGGGATTGAATCACAGAAATCACTCCACTAACTCAACACTGTCTTGTACACTAAACCTAGGCTTGCTTTTTAAAGCATCATATTCTTCAGCAATCTGGATGCAATTACAACTAAGTTCAAAGAGCTGTATAACAGCTGTTGTCCCATTACCTGTTTGGCTCTTTTCCTTGCATCATCCAAAGCTCTTCCCCTTTCAACTAAGCGTTGGACTACTTTTTCCCATCGACTCTGTACACTAATCAACAGATTCTTAATAAGGACAACGTCCTGTTTCTGGCTGAAATATTTCAGATGGGTTCCAGTTTTGTCCAGCTCTATGATCTGATCTCGATGAGAGTTCACTTCTGTGGCAAAAACCTTGGGAAAAAAGGGTGAAAATTACTGAATGCTGTGTTGGGTAAACACTGAAAAAACCCAGTCTGATAAAGAATGATGTAGTGAGAAAGACAATAAAATACAATTTTAAAACAAATGAAATGTTTCTCTGAGTGCCAGCATTATAGGGTTCATTTGGACATTGTTACAGTATCTCCACAGAGTGGGAGAAAAACATTACACATCTGTTTCTTTACATACCTTGTGTTCATCAATTTGAAATAAGACAGTGTCCAAGATAAGACTTGGCCGAGAAGCTGCAGTTAGAGTCTGCTCAGCCTGAGTAAGCCAGTTGATGAAATCTTGAAGTGAGTTGTGGAACTCCATTGCTAAATTGAGGGCTTCTTCCAGTTTGGTCTGTAAAGACAGGTCATACTTTATTAGCAGCTGATACTGTGCAGGGGCTCCAGCCAAGGAAACCATTTTAATTCAGCACTTTGGAGTAAACCATTTTAGTTTAGCATTTTTAAACACTTTTCCAATTCAAAGTTTCTGACTTCTAAAATAACAGCCTATATTTGAGCATGTTCAAGGAGATGGATACAGGTGTTAAAGCAAAATTATGTATAATAGATGAATAGAAAATACAGCGCCTAGTATCAAGGTAAATTTTACCACATTAAAACAAATTTCCTACTACTTAATCCAAATGGGACATTTGGATTTATCAAGTTCAATGCAAAATGAGTAGAATTTCAAAAACTTAAGGTGGTAGTGCACTTGGAAGAGCCTCAAGTACATCATCAAATTTATACTCTTACATTTAATGAATAATATGTTTTCCTAGAGCACTTCTTTTTAATAATGCCCAATTATCATTTTGGTTGCCTGAACAGAAACTAATTTGGGATACAAAACTTTGTTGATCATGAGACAGCAGTCAGAGATTTTCAAACATTTACACTGCTGACCTCACTGAGCACTCCAACCTTACAGCTTCCTGCAAGAAGGTGCTCGCATTGGGCATTAATTAGTTTGTAATTTTGACTTTATTAGTACCTTAAGAGATATCAGCATTATAACTTTAAAATACAGCTAAGTTGTGAGTTAAATATTTGTGCTTTATACTTATCAGGGCTGTACAGAGAGTTTCTCTGTTTGCAATCAAGGGTATCCTTTTTGTTTGATTGAGTTAGAACAAGTGGACTGTATTTCGTGAAGGAATGAAAGCCACATGAAATTAATAACAAGAAAACGTATGTTACATATCAGCAAAATCATGCTATTGATCTGTTAGAACAGAAGGTAATCACTTGAAATAAATGGCAAAAGGCCAAGTGTTTGGGAATTTTAAGAAAAAATGGCTGAAAACTAGGAAAAATAACACACCGATACTTTACTGAGGAGGAGATAAACTTGAAGGATCATTTGGTCTCTCATGTCTATGATTATTGCAATAAAATCTAGAAAACTCCTAGTCCTACCAAATGAGCACAGTATCAGTTAATATATTATCAGTTAATATTATCATATTAACAGTATCAGTTAATATATTTCTATGGAACAGACTTGTGCCATTCTCACCATACTCCTGCCCAGTTATGGACAATTAACTTCTTGAATCTTATTTTCCCCAGTACTTTCTAAACATATTACTGAATTACACCAGTCTCTTCAACTGATTTTAAATGTAAAAAAACAGGCAAGTATGCATCCATAAAAGCATTGATTATTAGCACACTTAAATGCATGATTTACACTTCAATTTTTATGTAAAAACACATACTTTTCTTTCACTGAGTTTTGTTTGCACGGACTCCCATTTTTCTTTTAAGTTATTTATGTCCTGCTCAACATTTGTTTCAGCAGATTCTGGGCATCTTGCAAGCATCTGCTGGCCTTTCTGCATTAGACACTTGTATGTCTCTTCTTTGGCCTCAAAGGCAGCACAAAGTTCCTAAATAAAGAAAGAACCAGAAGTAATAAGGTAGAAAGTCAATACTCTTTATAAATACCAGTATAATATTTATTCGTCTCCCAAAATTTAGCAGGTATAAGTAAGACTAATAAAGGAAATACATATAATATGTAAAAAGCCAAATGATAAAATGAGGGGCCCAGTTCCTCAAGAAATGGAAACTTGTATTGCCTGTCAATGTCTTTTCCAAGATTCAAAGACTGGCAAAGTAAGTACTATGCATTTATTGAAAAAGAGTTGCTAGAATTTGATTGGTTTAAAGTCCATCAGTAGCCAAAACACAAAAAGTGTCAGCATTACACAGCCTGCAGAAAGCCCAGACCTATCCAATACCCTTCAAAAGTGGGTGGGATAGCCTGGGAGGGCTGGTTTATTGTACATTTCTCTATCTTCCTTCACTTGCTAAACATGAGCACTGAAGACATTTCAGACATTTAAAGAAATAATAATAATGTAATGATAATAATGTAATAATAATGATAACAACCTCTTAACTATTCTAATAATGATGTTTTCTAAATCATGTTAAAGGCAAGCTGTCAAAAGTCTGGGAGCTCCCATGCATCCCTCTGACTCAAAAAGTCATGTTCAGTATTGGTAACAGAGAAATCAAAATGAAACAACAAAGCTGCAGAAGATTCACAAATTAGGAACAACTTCACAAGGAGATGAGAAATAAGTGGCTTGCAAATAAGCAGAAAAATATTTTTTTCCCCTGATTCTCAGGACAAGAGCCCAAACAAGACATTTTTTTTAGAGTTAGGGGATACTGGTCTCAGGGCTGTACCTGACCACAGGGGCAAAGCAAGAAGCAGGTTTATTCATTAATTCATTATTCATTAAGATTTTGACACAACAAAAAGCTGCTTGGTTTTCTTTCTGAGGACTATGGAAAGTGATGTCACCTGGTCTGCTTCCTCTTACTACTTCAGGAAGAAACTGGAAACAATGATTGTTTTAAGAAAAGGAGAGGGATGGTCTGAGCAGCACTGGGAGAGCTAAAAAGGTGTCTTTTAAAGCCCCTTTCCTACTCATATCCTGTAATGTCTCTTCATATCTTTTGTTTTCCTGGAGCTGCTTTAACTGGAAATGCAGCCCAATCTCAATACTCATTAGTGAACCAATTGTGGTTGAGGTTCATTTATTCATATCTTTTACTCATACCTGCAGAAACAGGCCGTATACTCAAGAACATAGTTCATAACATTGTTTCCAAATAGGAACAAATCAAAATGTAGTGCAAAACTATCTCCTTCAGTTTCACATCAGTAACTAACATAGTTGGTATCACTTAGAGACAAGTTTGAATTTGGAAAGTAGTAGACAACATGACAAGTGCCCTCAACATTTCAGAGGAAAATAAATACATAAAACGAGGGAGAAAATTAGTACATATCTGCACATGTTCATTAAGGTTTAACCAAAAGGAAATCAAGTTCTGTGCTTTAAGGGTTGATAGTAAGTCAATGCCTGCAGATGCCCACCAGGATAGGAACATCTTGTTAAAATGTACATGTACAGGAGGGATTGTACATCTAGGGTGCATATTACTGGGGACAGTCAGACTTGTTCAAAAGGCCTTTTAACTAATCAATCTGTAAACATTGTAAGTGCAGAAAAATTGTATAGCAGGGAATATACTAAAAGAAAATCCTGAAGCTTTCCATGGAAAACTTTTGCATCTTGATCTAAGTGAAGGATTAAAAAGTAAAGACCACCACTGACTTTCAGGGAATCATGATTACAGTCCACTGACACAAAGGGAGAAAAAACCCACCACCTATTTTTCCCCCCCTTTTTTCCTTTATGACAAAAAGAAAGGATTACAGGGATTCAAAAGCACAAGATTATTTCTGTTTGGATCTAATTTCCTGTCTTAACTGATTTTAAAAATGTAAATTAGTTTCCCTATCAATTATATATACTGGCAAATTTTTGAGGACAAAGAAGAAGGAAAAAAAATGTGCCTCATGTTGGTAAGCAATGATCTTTAGCACCAAAAAAAAAATCTGATTTTTTAACATTATGACAATGAAGCAGTCTAATTGGTAGTATCAGATCAGGTGTATTCCTGTTCAAGGACAGTTCAGTATCACTGTTACATCTGAGCCAGGAATTTAGAGGTTCAGTCACCAGGTTTGGGCTTCTATCCTGGACCTAATAGCACATCATGATTTTACACAAATGGAGCAGTAAGAACCACCTTCCTTAGAGGTAAGAGATCAAGTTTAAGTGTCTTTTTTAAACACTATGGTTCTGTGGGAGCAGAGAAATCCACAGATCATTTCTTAAAGAGAAAGAAAGGGAATAATTCAGGCATCCTGCTCAGCTTGCCATTTCTAATTAAAGCACAGCCTCTATGAGCCAGTAGTCCTTCTTACTTCTATGCTAATGATGACTTTACTGTCAGCTTCAGTTAGATAAGGAATAAAGGATCAAGTCTCTTAAGTCAAGGTTCAGTGAATGTGGGCCATTTTTAGATTAATCTTCAAACTTTAGAAATATCATAAATTTAGTTCTGGGATCAGAAGGGGAAAGAAGAATAGGAATCACTGAAAAATCTGCAAACGCCTTTTGTAAAGATGCAAAAGTTGTTTTATTTGTCTCAAGACTAATAATGTTTCAGCTTTGGGCATGTCCCAACAGGCTACTAAACTACACTGTAAATAACAGTGCTGTTTTGAAAGCTATTCAAGTTCTTTAAGACACTGTACAGACATTGTGGTATATAGAACACACAACATATTTACCAAAAACACTCTTAAAAGGTAGTTAGTCCTGAAATGCAATTTGCAAAGCATTCTAACACTGATACTTACCATATGTGCATTAAGCTGCTCTCTTGCTGTTTCTGGTAAGCCTCCAACAGGTTTTGATGCCAACAGCTGACGTTCAGTGTCTGTCAGCCATTGCTGCAGATCCTCAACTTCACCATGGAAACCTTGAGCCTAAATTATACCATATCATTTTAGAGATAACTTAAATGTTCTCCATTCCAATACCAGCTCAGATGCAGAAGCACATTGGCAACTGGTTTATTCAGATATTTGAAAAAGAAAAAGAAAAAGCAAACACACAAACTGGCTCAATTCAATTCAAAGGATAAGAACAAAAACCATAGAAATCATGAAAGCAGTCAAAATAACTACTGGGAGACAAATGTTTCCCCTGAATAATACACCTATACAGAAATTTCATCCTTTACAAAAATTTTCAGGCCAAAAGCTGAAGTCTTTCATCAGCACTGTAAAGGACAGTGTCCAGCCATGAAAGATACAGCTGGATTCAAACTTTCTCCAAATTCACAAGTGTCTGTATCATAGTTTTGATTTAGGCCAACTTCTAATAGATGTATCTGTGCATTTCATGTAAAAAGACACTTTTTCTGAGTTATGTCTATATTTGATCATTTCCTGTTCACCTGGATCAAGGCACTATCCAGCTGCTGTTTCCTTTGTTCTGTTTTTTCCAACAACTTTTGCCAGCGCTGATTCAGGAGTTCCAACTTGCTCCGTAAATTACTTGCTTCTTCAACAGCACTTGATTCAATCAGGTCATTTCCTGCTTTTTTAACAGCTTCCACCGTAGACTGATGGGCGAAAACATCATTTTGTAGCACCTACAATTGTAACACAGCATGGCCATATTGGTAAGTTACTGAATGAAGGCACTCACAGGGATTGAGCCAGGTGTAGACCAAAGACAAGGCAATAGTTTAACATCAGCACAGATATCAGAAATTAAAGTTAATAACTAAGACCTCTTCATTCAAAAGCAGTAAAATACCATCCTGACAAAATACTGAATTTTGGGGTTTTTTTTTAATCTCAGAAAAAAATAATATATTCCTTCTGAAAGCATGTATTTCTGAAATTATTAAAGGTTTTTACTAGTGCTAGGGAATAATTATTCCTCCACTTTTTAAATTAATTATATACTTTCCTTTAACAGGATTTTTCTTTGAATACTATGTGCTTGCTGTGCTATACAACAACCCAGCTGCCACAATGTCATCTTGTGCATTTCACGGCTGCAACTCTTTTCTTGTTATGTCAGGCTACCAAGACACTTGACCTATGCAAAGAACTACAACAAAGGATGGTTGTAGTACTAAGGCCAAAAGACCTCCTCCTTCTGCTGGAAAACCTCTTATCACCAACCACAGTAAAAACCATAAAAGGCAAAATGTACATTTGGGAAAAAAAATGCTGTTTTCAGAAGGATGGGGGACAGGGCAAGAAAAGCTTTAATATAGAACAGAAGAAGAAATACACAAAATGGTTGGGAAGAGAAGAGTAAACCCTGTCTAAGAAATTCAAGTTTATGATTGCTGTCTTCCTGGGGTCTGACTCAAACTCACCTCCATCAAAGTGCTGGGTGAAAAAAGGTATTCACAGAAGCAGATGCATCTTATCCCTTCCTTCCTGCTGAGACTCACTAAGAACAAGGTCTATTCTTTCCAAAGTTATTCAAGAGGTGGATGTTTTTACAGGCTACCACAGGATGCACTACTGTGTGAACTTTCTAACCTATAAACTCTGTATTATGAAAAGGAAGTAGATTCATTCATGTGTTTGCTGAACTCCTTCAGTACAGACACAAATGATGCCTCTATGCCTCTTCACTAGTAAAACACTTCCGTTTGATAAGAATATAAAAGGTTCATGGAGCAGAACCTATTTTTGTAATTTTATTTACTGTTTTAAAAGGGTCTGTTTATAACAATAGGGTATGCACATAAGGTATGCAGATACTGTATTCTGTTCAAGTTCCAACTGACCACCCAAAAGCCTTCAGAAGCTGCATAGCTGCATTAACACAGACAATGAAAATACCTTAATTATCTGTGTACTGTCAATTTCAATCAATTCTCTCAAAATCCAAAATGGACTCTGAGTACTTTTTACATCATATGCAGGCCAAAAATTAAATGTCAGTTTTAAAGGGAGGGGAGTTACATGGTTAGATTGAATTCTTCAAGTCTAGAAAGAACATGTTGTTATGAAGAGCACAGTTACACACAGAGGCAGAGAAAATCTCTTACTCCTAGGAGATGTTCTAAAAATAAAGGCATGGCAGAAGCATTCTTCCATGGGCTCCAAAATAACAATGATCAGTAAAAATACTAAAACAAACAAACAAAAACCCTTTAAACCTACACTGTAAGTAACACTGAGAAAAAGATGGGAGTCTGTACAGATTTTCAGAGAAGCATCTTCCATCTTAGCAGAACCCAACTGACACACAATTTTACAGAATTCAGAATAAATCACTATTTTCTGAGAGGGAAGAAAGAAGCAAAGATATGCAAGAGTTGTACTGTTTCTGAGACCTGACTTAAACAGAACTAATCAAGGAGTTTATTGCTTCAGGGAGAGTAGCAGGTTCAGTAACTTTTGAATTTCCTAGGTCAAAGAAAGGTGATTAGAGGTGGAGACTAGGGTAAGCTGTTTATTTTTGGCTAAAACCATACCATATGCAAGAAAGGTAGGAATGTGGAGGACTAAGAGGAAAGATATTTATTCCAAGCCCTCATTTCAGCTATAATCTGCATCTTGAAACTATACGTAGGGAATTATTTATCAAATGTGAAGTTTTGCTAATAAAAGACTCATCCCTAAGATAAATATCGAAAGAACATTCTGGTTAATATTGATTCTAATTACATACATGATGTTTGGCAAGTTCAATTTCAATAGCCTTGGGGTCTCCACCCACGGGTTTCTGTTCATTCAGCAAGTCTTCTGTGTGCGTCAGCCATGCCAGTAACTCATCCAGGGCATGCTGGAACTGCCCCAAGGCTAACAAGGCACCTTCCAGCTTGTGCTACAGTAAAAATAAAGTTAACAATAAAATCATTTCACAGTGCAATTGAATTGTCTTACATTACCATTAGTCACCATAATCCAGAGCAGAGTCCATGCATAAAACAGAATAAAAACCAGGGAGACAGAGCTACCCAATACAGGCAATGCTTTATAACTACAGCTGAGTTAGCAATTCCCTTGAAAAGCCTTGCATTCCAGGCTCAAATTCCTGGCCTTGGAAGAGGCCATACAACCAGAATAGAGTTAAGGTTGAAGGGTCTTTCATCAGATGTATCAGTAGCTTTTTATCACTTAAAACATATTTTCAATATAAATGCAATTCGGTTCGTGATCCTTTTAAAACGTTTTCTTTGTCATGAAATCATTCTGTTGAGAAAAAATGGCACACTTCAAAGGATTCTTTCACATCTCTCAGCTTGATAATTAAAGGAAATAACACTGAAATAGTTTAATATTAATGGGGTTTTATTCAATTGTTCAGTTCAGCAGCTACTATTACCTTTGCACATATAAACATGTTTCCAACTGCTACTTAAGACATCATCAAATAACCAAAATTAAATCACAGTCATTCAACACAGCACTACTGGCAGAAAATTTCAAAAGGTTTCAAAATGTTTCAAAAACTCAACTAATTGAACAATTCCAATCCTATTATATATAGTTTTTCTAGCTTCCAAATTAAAAGGAATGTGTAAATTAATATAAGCATTATACATAACAAAGAATTTCTCACAAAAATCTAAGTCATTAATAAAGCCCCCACCTCCAAGCTTATTTACCTGTCTACTTATAATTTTGTCTTCTAGGCTGTCCCACAATAGTCTGAGCTCTGAGAGAGGGTCTTGAACAGTGTGCTTGTCACTCTCTTGTGTTGCCTTCTTGAGCAATAGTTCTGCCTGATGGTTCAGTCTTTCCATTTCTATCTGCTGCTGATAAGCTTCTGTCTTAAATTGCTATGGTAAATAGAAAAAGAATAGAAATAAATGAAACACAAGTAATGAGTACAGAATCATAGAATGATTCTGTGTTCTAGCTCTTGTGATGGCGATAATGCTTTAAACTTCAAATGGAATTATTCTTGAAAGGAAGTGAAAGCAAATCATCTTTAGTAGAACACCCTCTTTAACACACAGTTGGTGCAACAGTCTGGACGCATCTTGTGTACACATGGTCTGAACTATGTAAGGTCATGATTCGTTTGAAGTTACATCATAAAATATATAAAACAACCTGCCCACAGCCAACAAAATCTACAAGTGAGCAACAAAACCAAGAACCTTCTCTGATCATCACAAATCTCTGCTTTTTAAACATAGCACAACAGGATTCAAACATCAGGAGCATATTCAGTCACAAGTAAAGATCCATGCAGAAGGGTTTCTAAGTTAGACTGGAATTTTGATTTCCACCATACTCGGGTATTAGTAATGTGATGATCTGAAATGCATGAGCATTTACATAAAAGCTCTAATGGCAGAAGCAAAGCTTTGGAGGCCTTCTCTCAGAGCCTCAAAGCAACTGTTCATGTTAGAAACCAGAAAATGAAAAGTCATAGCAGAAGAATCCTGTACATAGTAATTTCATAGCTTTTGAAAGAGAATGAACGATACTACAACTGTTTTTGAGGTATCAGAAAAAAATAAAAAGTAGCCTTGCCAAAGTTTGCAATAGATTTTTAAATTAAGTGCATTTTAAAATGAAAAGTTTGCAGTTAAATATTTTATAATTTTCATGCGAATTCTTCTTTACTAAAAATTGAAAACTAAAATTGCATTTGACTCTCAAAAGATACTGAATAACACAGAGAAACACAGACAAATAGAAATATAAAGGAAATAAATTGCTAGTTCATACCTTAAGTTCCTCCGTTTGCTGCTTCACTGTCTCCAGATCTGTTCCAACTGGGGACATAGATGCTAACTTGCTGCCAGCAATGTCTACCCAGTCAAATAATGCCTGAAAATCACAGTATGATATTTAAGTGTGAGTAGACAAATGCTGTTATTTTTAAAAGCTGTATTAAGTAAAATATCAGGGCTTTTCTTTTTTCCAGAGAAGGTATTGCTGTGCTCTTTTAAAGAAAATAACTTTCCCAGCAAAACCTAGGTTTCTTTGTAATGCAATAGAATAACTATGCATGTAACAGTTATAGGAGTGTAAATTCTGCAAGACTGGACTTCTATTAGCAGCAAGATTCTACCAGAATTATTCATGCTGAGTAGCAATCTACTACTTGTGTAAAACCTGCATTTTTTTTTTTACCCTGAAAGGTAAATACAAGACAAACTTTGTTCTACAGTTGTTCGGAGTGAACATGGAAGGTGGTAGATAACACACCTTAAGTGAGGATTACAAACAAAATTATTTTGAAGAAAGCTATTTGTGCAAGGAACATGGAACTATCCATTCAGTACAAACTAGACAGTGAAGGACTGAGCTAGAATGATTTTCTATAGGACAATGCAGTGACTTCAAAAAAAAAAAAAAAAAAATTATGTCTCCCCAGTTCTGATGTTTGTAGGTATTTCTTTTGCTCCCAATACAATGCAGAACCCCAAGAATACTCTACACAGATTAAGAACACCTGCATCAATCTGAATAATTGCACAAGGGGAAAAACACCTCAAACTAGGCCCCTTTTCCACCTGCCTGTTATCTGTGGAGATACCATTATAGAGAAATGCTTAGGACAACTCTTTGGAGCTGCCCACTGGTACATGGCTCCCTGAGAAAAGGGAACCATGCCCAGTGTGCTCAAGAGGGTGAGGCAGCTGCAGGTAACGATCTGTCCATAATACTTTTCATATTGTCTACTGAAATGAGGGTAAGACAGCACTCAAATACAGTTCTTTCACAAAGCACCCAGAGAAAAATCCAAAAATTATGATGCACTGCAAAACAGATGTTGCATTATTATTAAGGAGTGGTCTGCTTGTTGATCTGCACCAAATGCAGAAGCAACCACCCTCAGTGTCATGTGAAATTCCAGTTTTAAAGATTTAATGAACCAGACAAGACAGAAATTCAATCAAGAAAAAACAAACACACCCAAAACAAACAAAAAAGCTACAAAAAATCCAACAGCACATACAGGAAAAACATCATCATTTCAAAGGATAGGTTGTGTTGGAAGAGACCTTTAAAGGTCATCTAAAGTACAACCCCTCTATTTTTTTTAAACTTCATCAGTTCTAGGAAGCACAATGTACAAGATATCTTAAAACTGCTGGAATATTTGCCTACAGATTTAAAAAGGAAATCATCTTCTAAAGTATTGTGATATGATAAATTACAATGAGTATAACATTTTAGCAACATTACGTTAATAATTTTTTGCTTAAAATACTCAAATATTTTACTTATAAGTAAAGTGGAATAAAATTCAAGTGTTTCAACTGTCTTCCACTCAAAGAAAATAGCAGCAAATGAGTATACAGACCTGTACTCTGTTCCTTTCAGACCACAAAGATGTGTCACAACTTTAACCTGCCTTGACTATCAAAGGAAAATGTGAGCAGAGCTACTAGGACTGTGTGCTGCCAAAAAAACTCTGCTCTCATCAACAAAAAAGGAGACATTAATTTTGAATCTACAAAGTGCAATATATGGACATGAATAAAACAACCCAACATATGTTTCTTTAATGCAAAAATACCTCAATAAACCAACCTCAACCAATTTTGAGAAAAAAAAGCCCTGCCTACTGAAGAAAATAGTCATTACAGCAGAGTGCATTACTTGCCACCTACCTAATCACATGACACTTTTTACAACAACCACGTTGAATCCCATTGACTCAAGGCTGGGTCAGGTATATCACATCATCTTACCTGTAGTCCATCTTGGTATTGAACAGCTGCCTGCATAGCTTCCCCAAGCTTATCCACACGTTCTTTCCATGTTTTGTTTAATGCATCCCAGGCAGAATTCAGCTGCAAGTAAGCACAATTTACTTCAATAGACCAAAGAATTTTACTGCTATATAATGTGTTTTTACCAACATTTCACTGAGCAATAATACAAAAAAACTAAGAATGACCAGTTCACATTTATTCCATACTAATACCCTTGTCCTCCCTATGACTGCATAACTAGCTTCTCCCAGAATTCAGTAGAGGTTCTGGATTATAAAAGCTGTAAACTTCAGTACTGGTTGAATATTTTTATTAACAGAAATATTACAGTTAATTAAGGAAATACTACTAAATCATTTGGAGTTGCATCACCATAATAAAAATAGCTTAAAATAATCATACATTGCTGAACACTGGAGAAATAAAAAGTACTTTATAGTCATCCAAACAGGATAGTCTCAGTTAAGATGTCTCACTTGGCATGAACAATATATATCCAAAATTTATTCTAGCATTACTTTTGCAAGAAAGTCACTTATAATATTATTTTTTTGTAAAAAAACAAAACAAAAATCTGTCTTTTATGAAAGTTTTAAACCATGAATCAATGAAATACCACAGCATATACATTCTAATGTAAGATTCATTCACTCAAAAGGCAAATCTTACTTTACCACAAAGGCTTCAGTGGTGTCTCACTTTTGTCACAAAATTTTTATTTTCAAAATTTGTTAGGGTCGTGGGGAATACACCAATTTCAGCAGAGCAAGTTATCGCATAGCAGACCTAAACATCTCCATTTCCCATACCTCATCTATACTCTTGTTGACAATAGGTTTGTCAGGCTCTCCACAAGCAGCTCTCAGCTCAGAGCCAAGGCTCACAACTGCTTCTAGTTCTTCTTGTAGTCCATCAATTTCTTCTTTAGCAGCCTACAAGGAGAAAAAAAGCCAACACTGCCAATACTAAATTTAATAACATATGTACAACTTGCTTTAAAGATAGAACACAGCAGGATTCCACCTTTGTTTTCTTTCTAGTCACCTGGACTTACAACTGGACACTTAAAAAATAAGCATCCCTTTGCAGCGTCAGATGAAATCAGCTGACATCAGTCTAAATTGTAACAATGGTTTATGATACCATTTTGCATGAGACGGAAAAAACAAACAGGAAGTTTTAAATTAGATTTCTTTAATCAGAGTGCATTCTTTGTCAGAGGTTATCATTCAACCTTCAAACATTTAACTATCAGTATAAATAATTACAGGCTTAGAGGATAATACATTTGTCCACCTTTCATTTAGATGTTACGTACTACTCGAGGAATCTCAAGTATGTATAACTTCTGAAAGTCTTAGTGAGATGGTTATTATATACATATTTACAAACAAATAAGGAAATGTAATGACAAGCACATGTTGCATGCTCATTGCAGTTAAGCACTGATACGTGTTATTAACTGTAGACTCTTGAGATACCATTATTGTACATTTCAACACAATCATCCCTCCTAGTCTTTCCAAAATAATACATTCTCATCTGCATACTGTAAATAAAGTACTTCAAACCAAGAAAATACTTTCTACTGACCTCTGCAGCTTCTTGCTGTTGCTTGACTACAGATGGGTCAACTCCAGGTCCCTCCAGTTCTCGAATGAAGTCCTGAGTATCTTTAATAGTAGCTACAAGAGCCATATGATCACACCAAAACTTCTCAGCTAGTTCCATTACATCCAATAGTTTGGCCTCTCTTTCCTCAGTCAAGGTCTGGATGTCTTCCCAAATTAGGACCATTCGGTCTAGTTTATCTTGAACAGCTGAACAACAAAGGAACTAGATTACTACCTTGGCAAACAATTCTTGGTCATAAATCTCTCTACAGCTCTACAGCAGAAACATATGGGTACATTTTAAAATTTAGACTCTAAAATATTTCTTTGCAGAACTCCTTATAATGTTAAGTGGAAACAAACACAATGGCCTTTAAAATAAAATAAAAGTCATATCCACAATGAATTATTTTAAACAAATTTTTTGTTTTTAAAAATCTTAAGCAGCTTCTCCAGGAGAATATACTCCAGATTAGAGGTCATCCAAAATGAAGAATTTTATATGCTGCAGCTTACTTCATTTCCACTACATGAAAGTTTTCTCAGTCTATTACCTTTAGCAGACATATCCTTATCAGCACCTTCTGAGCGAGCAATCATTTCCTCCCCTCTCTGTTTAAGTGTCTCATACACGGGCTGAAGCTTTTCCAGATCCACTGACACATTCTTATTCTCACTGATCTGCTCTTTTATCTTCTCAACCTCTGCCGAGATGGAAGGTGGCTGCCTCAGACGTTCAACTATGCGTTTCAGACTCTCAAGAGTTGGATCTATCTTGTCATGAAACTAGGAAGGTGGTACAGGACAGAAGGAAATGGCAGACAGATTAGAATAAAATAAAACCTAAAAAATCCAAAAACAATAAACTAAAAAATGCCATCTGAAATTATCTTGGAAAAAGATACTTTACATCTATATACAACATATGTATGTACAAACTGCAATACCTCCCTCTAGGCTGTTCTAATATCTAAATTACAAAAATAACCCTGCAAAATGGTAGGTTCTCTGAAATTCAAGATTTTTCCTGTTAAGTTTGGGTCCAGTCCTAGGACACTCCCTCTGAGGTTAATATACATATGGCAGAACCACTTACACTTAGCTCTGTGAAACCCATGTAGTTTGTAGCTTTAGAGAGCCACGGCTTTCTGACTTCCATCATTTTAGAAAGGTACCTTACTATTAAAAATACACATTTTCCTGTTAGGACCAACATACTGATATCCAACCTCCGATTAAGGCTGTATATGTAAGGCCATGCAAAAAGACATTTGTTAGTGGCCAAGTGGTGCTCACTAGTGCACTAAAGGTGCGTTACTTTCTGCAACTAAAAGCACACAACAGTGTACATACTCTATCCTAAGTTTGGCTGAGCCCAGGCAGGTGCTCAGAAACTCAATTACAGCTGTGTTAAAGGAGTTCAGCCTTTAGGATAGGTCCAAATTTAGCCTTTGCTAACTTATGCTTTTGGATTCATAGAGATTCCTAAATATCTCGCACCACCATGCCCCTTTCAAGTTAAAGAAATCGCTAAATCGTGGGTGCATTTAATGACTCTCCAGGATCTACAAAAAAGCACTCCTGAGAACATTTGGAAAAGATACTAGAAAAAACACAGCAAAACAAGATTACCTTATATGAACAAATAGCTACATCCTTTCTCTTCAAAGGAATGAATATACACGGGCAATATAAATATAATTACTTTTTCCCACCATACAACCCACTTCAAATCTGACTGTGACTAATATTATGGGCGTCAATGTTTTTGTTAGAAGTGTGAAGATCATACAAGCCAATCAAATGTGTAGCCTTCCCACATTTGAGACTTCTGAGAAACTGAATGTAGCAACAAAACCTTATAACAGTGATAAAAACTGAAATTAATTTGGCAATATTTGGGTCTAATTTTAGGACATATATTACATTTTTAAGTTGTCAGTGTATTCAGTGGGTCTCCTTTTACTCAACTTTAAGAAATAGAACAAAGTGTTTTAGAACTTAAAAGGAAGAAAATACAAGTAATTACAACCTCTCATTGCAGCTTCATACATTATGTCCTTCCTTTGATACCCAGTGCAATTTAATATAATTTCAAACCTGAAGAGTTAAATAATTACTCTTCAAGGACTGTCTAGACAAACATTGACATAGACATCATAGTACAGAGATCTGATAATATATATTCACATATCTTCATAAAAAAAGATTATATAAAATTATATTCTATGGGCATTAGAATGTTTTGCTTTGCCATCTGCATATACATTTAGGTATATGAAATGAACCATAAACTATTGCATAAATAATTCAGCTATTTCTCAACATCTGATTATGTTCTAGGTGTTAGCAAAGAATGCATTTCTAATTCTTGCTTTCTGTACTTAGCAGGTACAACATGTTGATGTCTATCACATACAAAACAGGGACTCCAATTCTAAGTAAATATCTTGATTTTTCAAATTGGCAGCTCCACCAATATGGGGAGGACTAAGCATTTATGGAAAAGGAGAGTATCTAAGCAATCAAGCATATTTCAGAGGTGTGAATAAGAAAGGTGGTTAGAATGACTGAAAGTTTATACATGAAATATATATATAATATATAAAGTCTATAACCAGTTCAAAAGCAGGGTAATTTCTGATGTCATTTAGTTTTGCCTCACATTCTTAAACTCAGCTGCAGGAGCTAGGAATATGACATTAATTATAATGACATGACAAAAATTACTTAGAATGTAGAATTGGTAAGGTCTTCAAGGTGTATTTCTTTATTTAGTATTTAAGACCTAAGCAGAATATAGCACTTAATTTCCAGTGAACAGTGGAAAAAAAAGGAATTTCCTATAAAAGCAGCAGTATAGATTTTACTGAGTTCTTTTCTGAATCTGCGGTCGAGGAAAATAATTTCTTTGTAAATTTAATGGCAACTAACCCAATATTTAACATTTGCTAGAACACAACATTTGACAATTCTCTACTGATGTTCATTTCCTAGGCTGATGAAGTTAGAATACACAGCTTTTGTGGACTTGAACTGAATTTTATGCTGATGACATTTTGTGACTCTAAGTTTCCTGATAATACCTTTCTGTAATAGTTTCAGCACATTATGTTCTTTGGAGTCTGCAGCAAAGAGCCAATGCCACTACCACTGCTAAAATACCCACTAGTTCTATTGCTAACTCTGTTAACTACAGTTGCTAATTCCTAGAAATAACTGTACCCAAGTTAATTTGATCAAAATTTGTATTTGTTTACAAATGAAGCATCAGCTAGTAACAGACCAGCAAGAGAAAACAAATGTGAGAATCGAATCCCACATTTTTAGACCACTATAATTTTTACTTCAAAATTAAGAAGCTGTAACATTTTTCAATGTCTGTAAAGTCATAATACTGACCAATATATAAAATTATAACCCCTCAAGATAGAGAAAAATCAATACCATTAGCAGTGATATGAACATTCACAGACAATTAGGTTGAAAAATCCATATGAAACAGTCAGTTAATCTTGATATATCCATGAAAGATGACAATGTGTATTTTTCCATTGAATAAACCCAATTATACTTTAAACCTTAATTGATACCTGGGTACACTGAGAAATGGCTTCATCCAGTGCCAGTGCTCGCTTTTTGACATCTTCCTTAATTTTACTGTAAAGGGTGTCAGCTGCCACATATTTCTCTTGGATAGAAAAGCCTTCTCCTGGGCTCAGCTCCAGCAACTGAGGCCCAGTTTTGTTCATCTTATCTATATGAGGCTTGTGCTCAGCAATCAGCTCACGCAGTTGCTATAACAAATGAAACAACTTATCAGTTTCTTATGCTTGCACCACCACATTACAACTGTCCACACTTCCAACACATCCAGCTGGCAAGAAATTCCAAACAAATACCTTTCGTCTTAATGTAAAGCAGAAATGAAGTTAATGACTGCTTTGCCAGTGACCATTCCCATTCCAACACAGAACTATCCAGGCATAAAACATCAGAACTAGAGACACACTGGAAACACTTTGGTAGGACATATGATTACAAGCAAAATATAAGATGCTAATTATGCATATGATGCTAACAACAGACATTGTCCATCATATTTAGTACCTATAATGACAGAAAGGGCAACGATATTCCAGACATGGGTGTAACACCACCACATATATACTTTTCATGTTGATATTGGTCACTTGCTGCAAAGCCTTTCATTGAAGAACATCACAGAAAGAGATACCAGCATTGCAAGAAAACTAATTCAAATTATCCTTGATTTAAGAAGAGGAAACCCACACAAGGGAGGGTCAAAGAAATCAGTGAAAAGGGCAAAACAACAAGCAAGGGTAATCAACAAAAAGCAAGGGTGAGGCCTATCAGCCTTGTTTATCTGTCTCCCCTTCTGGCCACAAGACCCCACTCTGTCTTTATAACAGCACTATTATAAAACTTACACAATGTTTAACAACTAATTAATAAGTGAATTATATTTGATCTCATCTGTCTATTCCTTCTTATCACCTGTCCCAGAAGCGAAAACTGTGCTGAAGACTGTGCAGAGGCTTGTGGAAGTGAAGTGTCACAAGGTGTCTTCCAAGCTGTATAAGGATTTCAGATTTTTTTGCTTGCACTCATAGAACTGACAAAAGGGAAAGGGTTTGCTTTGTGTGAGTAGCCCCATCCTTCCCTCATTTTATTTACTTGCTCATCTCATCTCATCTCTCTCTTTTCAGAAAAGTCCCCTTCTTGTGAGGCACTGTCCCCCTCAGGGCTGTGAACTTGATGCATTTCTATCCAATAGCTCCAGTACAGGAATATGAGAGGTGCATGCACTGCTCCTCTCAGCTGAGAATTTGTTTAAACTAATGAAGACCCAGAAAAGAATCTATATCAGTCTCAGTGTAAATACGTGCTCCTCTCTTCAACTACAGTCCTTCCCCTAAAAAGGAATCCAGATGCTGGCTTTCTTCCTTGCTCCTCCCCAGAAAAGGAGATGTTGAGGAGACTGGGAAGACAGTGACACAACTCTTCAGTCCCCCAATGACAAAACAGAAATGAAAATAACTCACACCCAACTCTAACCAGTTAGTGTGAATGTAACTCAATTTGTACACCTTGCCACCAGACAAGAAAAATAATGTTGACTAGCTTAGAGGACAAAAAGGAGATTATAAGACCAGTTCAAAAATTTTTAGAAAAAAATTTTCTGTAGTTTACTTTTGAGCACAAAGCGATAACTTGACACAAGGCCACAAGAGTGCACATTTCTGGGTCTAAACCTTATGCTAATACTCTGCCAACAGCTCATTTCAAACCAAACTAACTGCATGTTACTCACATAGAATCAACTCTGTGAATTCTACAATTTGGAACCAAGATAGTCATCAGTAAATACATCAGAACAGAAACATTAGGTTCTCATTCACATTGAGAACTACTTTTTTTTCTTATTCTTCTTTTTAATGGAACAACAAATGATTTGGTCTTCTCCATGATCTACCATTGGGTAAACAATTCTATCAAACAAGCATTTCAGAGTAGATTACGTGTTAAAAGTGCCTGACATTAAACTTCTATTTAACAAACAAATCTCAGCTAATGGCATAGCCCGAGGAAAATGCAAAAATAGAAGCTCATCTGAAAGGCTTCTCATAGAAGCAGCATGATTAAAGTACATGAGGAACAATTCTGCAAGTAAAGCAAGCATGATATGGTTCACGGTGACTAATCAAGGTAGTTTGTAAAGCTTATGTTATATAGCTAGTCTTAACAGAACATGTTTGTTCATTCTGGACATAATAGGAAGACAAATGAGTGAACCTGGTGTTTACCAGTACATAAGAGTGGTACATTTCATTAGCTGGTCTCAAAGTAAACAAGACTTTGAAGCCAGGGCTCATGCTATCTAACTTGAGTCACTTAATTGAGGCAGCTAAAACAAAAAAAAACCCACTAGTTAGTCCATGCTTAGCAGGGAGAAACAGGTATCTCCAGTGGCCACACAGGTTTTGCATCTGCCAAAACATGCAGGTTTTTAACCTTAGTGGGATGGATCTTATTCCATGTGATACTAGCAGTCATCTATGAAACACCTCCATTTTTATCCAAACTAATTATATATCCATGAAAGAGGACCCATACAGTGGCCAGCACTGTCACCTCTATTTTGTGATACTATGGGAAAGAATTATTTATTTAAATTATTACTCAGCTAACATTCTTGACATGACAAATTATTATGGGATTGGTACCCAAGCAATCAATTCTTGGCCCTCTAATTGTTCATCTTCCTTAGCTAAGTTTAGTTTCAATATTACCAACAAAACAAAAGCTAAATTTTTTATACATACATAAGATCAGCATATGTCCATATCTGTATACACAGACTGTACCCCGCTTTTGTTTCTTGCTCCAAAATCCCATATCTGTTCTTTCTGTTCCTGTTTTGGTTTGTTCCAATACTGACATTAATGTGTAATTTTAAATATACTTCTTAACTAATAACTTTTATGTGTTCAGTTCTCTCAATACAATGGCAATTATTACCCTTTAGTCCTCTTTTATGTTTATACATCACTTGCTGCCTCCCCCAGAGACTCTTGCTTACATGCACAATTTGGTAAACAGTAGAGACATGACTGAAAATTAATCTGTATTATTAATTTTTTTTTCTTCAATAGAAGAGTATCTCTCAGTTTTAAGAATTTTGCAGAGTACTCCACAATTCTACGCAAAATGCTTCCTGGTTTTTAACACTCTCTTTTTCAAAACTGGCACAATGCTTACCCTATGTTCTTCTTGTTGTTGCTTTAATGTTTCATATTCAAGGGCTGGTGCAGGAAGCTGAGAGATGATCATTTCTGTTTCAGTTAACCATGGCCAAAGCTCTTCATAAGTCTCCCAGAACTGGTTAACCAGAGACTGAGCCCGTTCCAGCTGGAGATTTCTCTCTGAGTTCATCTGACAGACTGCATCGTACTTCTGTAAGAGGCTTTCAATTTTTTTCTGTAAAATAATATAAATTTTTAAAAAGTATGTTTTTCCATGTGTCTCTTACCTTCATTTCCGAACATTCTTTGATAATTATAGCACCAATTCAATAGAATTTCAGTTTTGATGTTTCCACAGTATCACTTTTTAAGGTACACAGAATCATCAATGAGGGAGATCAGAATTTGGCACAGTACTTGCAAAATAATTAGAATACATTTAACAATACTGAAATTTACAAATAACACTTTATTCATAGAGCTCGTAGTCAATCTGCAAATGATCTGACTGCAGATCTTAGCTCAACTTCCTTACTGCAGACACCTATCTTCAGTGATACTTGGCAGAAAGTTTTCCACAGTATTTCTGAATCAAAGCAAGATGAACAATTCACAAAATCTGTTGGGATGTTTAGTTTGGTTTGGTGGGTTTTTTTGGTGGGGTTTTCTTTTCCACTCTGGCAAGATAATAGCATGTACTGTTGTGACTGTCATTTACAAACTTGCAACAGAAACCACGAAACATTATTTTCCAGGTTAGCATACTTACTTAATGAGAATGTATTACCATTAATAAATAGCTAATAGTGATAGAACTATAGGCTTATTACATTACCAATTTTATGTATTTGGGCATGTGATAATAAACAAAAGTATCAACTTGCTATACTAGCTATATTTTTCCTGTGGAAAACTGCCCATGTTATCATGTTTATGAAATATTATACGTGACAATGCACATAAATCCTAGCCTTGGAAAAACTACATATAAGCAAGACATTGAATGTGAAGAAGCTTTTTGGTTTTTGGCAGAACAAGCTATCCTTTCATTTATTATGTCTTGCATGTAAATTAAGTATAGAGATGCTATCCAGAGGACAGAACATAACCTTAACACACAGATATACAGTATTTTTGACAAATAAAAATATTTAGTAGAGACTCACACAAAACTACTCTGCCTTATGACTACAGTTTCAAAGACAGAACATCTCCTCTCTTTTAAATTTGCTTAAGAGCAAATCAAATTTATTCAGAGACCCTGCATACAGTTACAGTATTGAATACAATTGAATACAATTACTGAAGCATTGTTTTTCATGGACTGAAAGGACTGAATCTACACAATATATCCAGCCTCACCATAATTTAGCCAAAAAATCCCAACCCCACAACTAATCCTTCCTAAATGCCCATGAGAAAACCTATTCCTACGTGTTTCCAGCCCTGACATTGGGCTCTCTGTGTCTGTGTGCAATAAATGGAGTCATAAGAATGCCTTTCATGGGCTATGACAGGATGAAATAATCTTGGCAAGCAAAGTCTGCATGGAAATTACCAGAAATGAAAGTAAAGATTCACACTGAGGTGCAGAACTATTGAATTCGGCACAGAAATGCTCACGCCCAGAGCATCACTGACCCAAACGAACTCCGGAAGATAAACTGCCAGATTCCACACATCGACCCAGATGACTAACACCTCTTCACTCAATCATCTGTAGGCTAAAACACTATTTACTATGGATGAAGATGATAAATGGGGCTCCAAATTAGTGTCAGGCAAAGAAGCAAGTACACAGCGTTTGTTCTTTTAACGTCCTGAAGGAAGGAGAGCAATACACAGCAGCATTTCCTCTAGCATTGTAGTCCTCTGACAGGAAGTGACTGTAATTAATGCTTCTTCATTAGTATTTTCAAAAAGACACCATAGGAGTCCTTCTACTTATACATTGTCTGTATATCTACCACTTTACCTTCATCATCTGTTTCTCTTCTTCAGTGCATGTTTTCATAATCTTATCCCCGGATTTAACAAGTTCATCTATAGCATCTTTGTGCCTTAAAATCTCCATGGTAAAAGCCTTGAAACACAATAAAAACTCGTTAGAATAATAATTTAAAAAAAAAAAAAAAAGTATTTGGAGCAAAAACTGGTTTTGAAGCACATTAATTATGATGGACTGAAAATTAAATCATGCCAGTACATTTTCTAGATGGAGAGTGTGCCGGCCAATAATTAAAATGACAGTTGGAAATGCATTTCTTTTACCTTTTGAACTTGCAGCTGAGCAGTGGTCTGGTCTTGCTCAAGCCTAATATCACCCAGAGACATCAGTTTCTTTTCTGTTTCTGCAATCCAGGCAAATTCAGCATCAGCTGCTTGATCAAACTAAGTGAGGGAGACAAGAATTAGTTCAGCAGTTCTACAGACATGAAATTAGAATAACATTTTCAAAAATTTTAAAGAAGGTTAAACAGTGGTTTTGAATTTTTAGAAAGATAGCAGCTCAATTTCCATTTGAGGTTTTTTATATAAATGAAACACAATGCCCAAAATGGTTCTGAGGGATTGTAATACAAGCAGCTTAATTCATAAACATGACAAAGCAACAGAAGCAAATACTTCTTTCCAGAGCCTACAGCTCTCTATCAGTCGAAACAAAATAAAAAAGGATTATAATCTCAGAGTTTTTAACTGCACTGCCTGTTTTTATTTTATTCTACTTTTTCATCTCTGTGTTTATTATTAACTGCTGGAGTTGCAATTACCCTGAGACACAGTTGTTTGATGTTACCCTACTAATCTGAAGAGCTGCTTTGGTATTAAATGATCAAGGCAAAACAATCACAGTTGAATTAAGTTAGAGCAAAAATCTCACCAAATTTAGAGCAGAATTTCATCCAAATCTAGGCCACAGATTAAATGCAAAAGGGGTTTTTTTGAGCATTTGGATACAGCCAGTCCTTTTCCTAAAAGGACTCATTTCTCACTACAATTATTCAACAGTTAAGTGTTTCAGAAATTTCCTGAAAGCACTAACGTAATGATAGGACCTGTTTCTTGCTAATTGGCAAAGAAAAGCATGAAAAGAAGAATGTGGGATTCTAAGTCTTCTGAAATGTGAGACCAAATTAAAAAACAATATATCATACATTCTCTCTTCTGATCAATTTTATAGGCATGCATCTTAGCACACATGTTGCAATACTCAATCAGGGCAGCTTTGAGCCTAAGCCATAGAAAAATATTACATGGGAGGTATCAGATGCACATTATAGGACCTATTAAGAATTTATTTACTGAATTTGTTAAAAATCTGCCCCTTTTCCAAAATTAACTGAACCTTAATATAGCCATGAGTTATTGTGAAAAATCTGTCAGGTCGTTTTAAGTCAGAACCAGCTACTTGTGTTGTTGATGCCCACACTTTCCTTAGAAATCTTCTGAACACTGTCAGTCCCACTTGCTTTTAAAATATGTTGATCTGTGCCTTTATGGCTGTAGTCCATAACAGCCCTGTTCCTTAATATAACTGGAACTGACTTTAGTCACTAACTCAGACTTTTCTTAGCAGTTAATCACGAGTCCCACAACATGAAAGAAACCGTTTTTCAGCCTTTATAATCCATTTGTTACATGAAAGAGCATAACATTATTTTTCACTATATGTCATTTCTCATTTAAAATAACAGAAAGTAAGACTTGTCCTAAATATTGTGACATCCTACTAGAAAGGTATGTTCTGAAATAATCAGTACTGTAAACATTAGCATGAAGCACATGCACCCGTGGTAGTTAAACCCTGGCTTTAGACACTGCAGTTCACAACCAAGGTTTTCTGAAGGCCCTCTATTTAAGACAGAAATGGAGAAGATGGTTTCAAATGTGTTAGATGTACAAACTAACTGCAGTGTGACTTCCTGATACCAAATATTCATGGGTATGTAAGTAATACTGAGGAAATAGTTAATGGAAATTACAAAATCAAGGCACGGCACTGAAACTTCTAAGTTTAATAGCATCGAGGAAGGGAAGAACTCTAAATTCAATTTGCTGAAAGTATAGGATTTCCAATTTGTGATGCTTAAAAAAAAATTAAGGAATAAAAAGCATAAAATTGGCACTCTCTGCATTCAAAATTTGAAATGTTTTCTTCCCATTATACATGGCAGTTACTTATGAGCCCTGGGCTACACTTTGAGTCGCTATAAAATTGTCTACTTAATCCCCATCCAGTTTAACCAAGCATAGTTCATTGCAGTACATTTTCTTCTGATCAGGAATGATTGACTTCTGAATATGATGATGCTGTGATTTTCTCCATGAATGATTTCTAAAGCACTCTATGGCTGCTTCAGAGTGAAGAACAAGCCCAAAATAGAGTATGACCTTGTGTTTCTACACACTAGAGGACCCCACCAAGGCCTTCAGTCTTGAGAAATGATGACTAAACTATGCATCTGAATTTGCCTCTATTATCAGCCTGAGACCATTTTACCCAGGTAGTTAAAAATCCTGGGCATTGCATTTGTCTATTTTTCTTCCAGCTTCCATTCACAACGTGAAGCTATTCTGCCTAATCATCTGTGTTTCTTGCTGCATTCCTCACCTTGGTCCAGGAACATCTTGCACAAAACCCAAGCTTACTCCTACCAAAGCCTTGTATTCTCAGCAGCTTTGTCCTCCACCCAAAACTTCTTAACACTATAGGCACTTCAACAAGTTGCCACAGAGCAAACTTAAAGAGCACTAATTTCTCCAAAAATGCTTTTTATTTTGCATAGCTAAATGGGAAGTATCTTATCCTTTACTGGAAGCACATAAAGCCACCTGAAACTTATCACAGGACATAGCATATAGGAGTTTATTGTGATGATGTGGGCTGGCCAAAGTGGAGGTTGGGGGTATGCAGGATGAGAGTGCAACAGGCCCTTGCAACATTAGCTACTGGAATAGCAGCTCTGGGCTTTTCATGCCTGGACCTGAAACTGCACAGCTTATGCTAGAGGATGCAACATAGTCATGGAATTCAGAAAATCTGAAAGAGGGCCAATATATAATCTCCTATCTCACCTTATCACTCATTTAAAAAAAAAAAAGAAAATAAAAATCACCCTTCATTTTTGAGGATTAGGTTAACAAGTCAAGAAAATAATTGGCAAACCCCTTAAAAAGAAACCTGTAGTTATTTTTAGGCTCACTTAGAAGAAAATCTGAATTCCTGCCAGTTTCCTTTTAGTCAGTTTTTAGCAAATTTTGAAATTATCACACATGCTTTCTCCTTGTCCTGTTACAACAGTTTGTGGGAACTATACAGCAAAAGGAGAAATCTCCACTAATATATTTATGCCTGAACTGGAAAACTGTATTTCCACACTGCATTTATAAGCTGGCTTAAATATGAGACTACTTAGTAACAAAATTAGAGCCCAGTTCTCAAAGTGCATCCTTATATACTTCTGTGCATGTATAGAAACCTCCACATATTAAATAACTCGGGTTTTGAGCCCCAAGAAGTATTGTCGATACTAATAAAAGCAAGTGTTATTTAAATCCTCCACTACAGCTTGAACAAGGCCATCTAGCTTTTAATTTTCAGTTGTGCAGAGGAGCTGGACAATCAACTGGTGCTAAAAGGTGTGGCCAACCTAGCAATATCAGTGCCACATCCAGAAAAGCTGGCTCAGGATCTTGGAGCATATTTTATTTAACACAATATGATGTACAAGAGATGTGAGCCATTCAGTTCTTAAGCAAACTCTGACTTCAGGAGCCACAGGATAGTAACAGCAATTTTAGCTAAAATATTGCTGTTTGCATCAACAAAAAGGGAGACAACTACAACAGAGTACAGATTAACAGATTTCTGGCATTCATATTTTAATGCTGGAGTCCCATTTCATTCAAATTGGCTTTTTGCTGCTCAAGGACAACAAACTTTTGGCAACATTATTACAGGACAGCTTTTGTTCAAGTACATGTTGCAGAGACTGTTATTTTCCAAAGAACAGTTTTCAGTACCTGCTGGGATCTCAGGATGGCTGCATCAATCTCATCCACCTTCTGAGAGATCGTGTCACTCACTAATCTGTAACGTTCGTTGTCCTCTGTTATCATCTTGTCCAGCCCCTCTCTGGCCCTCCATGGCACCAGCTCCAGGAAGGCACTGCCAACTTCATTTAGAGTGTCCACTAAGCCTTTGTTGTTCTTTGCTTCTTTTTTCAGCTCCTGTAAAAGGCCATTTTAAACAATTAAACCATTTAAATGTAGCAGTATATGAACAGAACATACAAAGTTTGAGGTTTTTTCATTCTTTAAACTAATCCATGAGTCCAGAACTGAATTGTTTTCCACACAAACCAAAGGGCTAAGTTAGAATACTTATTTTCAGCTAAACTGTATTGGCTTTTCAATACTGTAAGTTGTTTGACAGAAAGGTAGGTGATTCTTCAGAGAATTTTCCACAGAATCTAACCTAAATATATTTCTCCATTCAGTATGACTATCTTAAAATCTTCTAAGAATTGTTAGTACTTCATGAAGCATCCAAAGAAAATAAAACTAATGGATGGTTGTGAACTGCAACTCCATAATGAAGTCATCAGCAATGGAAATCAGCATGCAATATAGCAAAATATGATAAATTCAAATGATTCCTGCAATGACTGGATTAAATTTCAAGCACATATTCACACAAAGGAACGAGATTTTACCTGTACAGAATTCCCCATCTATTAAAGAAATTGAATAGAATTTTTTTAAGCTTCCACCCTCAGCATTTTCCATACCATGCAAGCTTACACATTTTTTCTTTTGAAATGAACCTTGTTAAATAAAATTAGTAATTTTAAAGTTTAATTAGTAAGTTTAAAATGCACTTTTAAACATATATTTATATGTTTAAAAGTGCATTTTACAGGATTTTATCCATGCCACAGCTAAAGAACTAAAATAACTTTGTTTGATAGCTTATGAAGTTTCCCAGTCTTAGGTAACTCCACGAACGAAATAAAAATGCTGTGCTTCTCTTGTGCTAAAAACAAAACTCAGCCTAATTTCATAAGTGATTATAACAGATGACTCTGGAAAAAGAGTTTGATTCTTAAGTACTGTTACATTTAGTGAAATTATCTGGATGCAAAATTAGTTATTCAAAAAATTACTTCATATCAAGCATAAATTAACACAAAATGTCACCGAATCACAGAACAGTAAATATATCACAGGTTCTAAAACCTACTTTTTGTCTTTCTTGTACTTGGCTTAATTCTTCACCCTTTGGTATCTGTGTTTCATATGAGAGTAACTCCATCTCTACTTCATCAAGCCATTTGCAGAGTTCTTCATGAGTTGAGTGCAGTTGGCCTGCAAGCTGCAGTGCCTGCTCTAAAGTCTTGGATACATCAGAACTTAATTTTGTAATGTCTTTGTATCTTGCTTTAATGCCTTCCAGTTTATCTTGAACAATTACAACTTCATCACCTAAAATATTAAAGGAATGTTATTTCCCATGATCACAAATATTAAAAATAAAGAAACCAAAACAAAACCACAACAACAAAAAACCTAAATTCCCAAACTCCACATATTACAGAAATCTCAATATCTAATATATAAAATAACCCAAACAAGGTGACAAGACCAATCCTCAACTGATGTAAATTATGCTACCATCTCTAAAGCCCACAGAGCTACGAAGTTTACCTCACTTCAGCATCAGTCCTTCTTTTTTTCTGCTTTACTAAACTATTAGAACGTAAGGAGTTAAATCCAATTTTAAACAGAAATATTCTTATAAAATAAAAAATCCACCCTTAAATTCACAATACTTCTTACAAAGGCCAAATAAAAGTTATAAAAGTGTTACTGAAAATGTAAAGAACAAAAAAAAAATCTACACATTACTAACTAGACCTTCAATTACAGTAGATTTTGACATCACAGTTCACACACATTGTCCATTTCAAACAAGATAAAAGACAAAAACAAAGCATTGAAATTTATTAGCCACAATATTAGAAATGTTCAGATTTCATCATAGAATATGTATAATGTCAAAGTTTGGAACAGAAGAGGATAATGTCACCCTGGACAAACATATGTCAAAGGGTTCAAGAACTTTACAAGTACTGGAAAATTTGGACAGATGTTCTACAGAAGGGACACATTGTATAGAACTGGAATGCAACTTTTCCCACAGTATTAGTTCCCATGGCCAAAGCTTTTCCCTTGCAGTAATAGGTAGGCTAATATCTTGTTCATCTGTGGATGCCTGCAGGGAATTTATTGTGTCCACTGCCAAACAGCCCTCCAGTATGAGTAATGTCCATAACTCGCTATTAGGAATGGAATGCAGGTTCACTAAAATAATTTTCCACTAAAAATAATAAAGGGATTCAAGGGCTAAATTCTCTACAGGCAAAAAAGACCTTTTGCTCACTTACATTAAAAGTAAAATTGGCCCCAAAACATAACCTAGGCTTGACCTTAAACCTTATTAAAATAAACAACTATGATTGCTTTAACCAGTAAATATGAACCATATTTACAAGTTTCACTTTAATTTTCTTAGGCACCTACAAGAAAAAAAGTATGACAAATTATAGTTTTATGTAAGTTCTCACCTGTTGTTTGCTTGAGAAGCTCTAAGCCATTTTGTATAGCCAAATCAACATTTTGTTTTCTAAGAAGAATCTCTTCTTGAAGATCCTATGAATAAAGGTCATTTACATTAGCACAGACCTAAAAAAATGTATTATTTTTATTTAGAATAAGCATACTGACATTTTAAACAAAATATATCAATGAAAATAAATGATGTATGGGAATATAAATCAAATTAAAAACATGAATTAAATAAGAAATGAACAGAAATCAAAATACCAGTAGTTCAGAGTGCTGTTTCTCAAGCAATTCTGTGTTGCAATCTTGGACTGACAATTTGTTCAGCTTATCATGGATTTCATTCAGCCAGTTCATCAATTCAACTTCGTCCTCCCCAAAAATCTGAGCATTGCTGTAAGCTTGCTGGAGAAGTTCAGACCTGCTGTTGCTCCTCTCTTGAATTTCAATGTATCGTGCCTGAGCAGAATCTAGCTTTTCCTGCACCATATCTTTATCTTCCCTGGAGCTCATAGTCTTTAGAGACTGGCCAGCGCTAATGGCCTGATGTAAACTCTTATTGTGAGCTAGGACATCATCTTCTAGGGCCTATATTTTATTTTAAATAATGAAGAATAATGGAAAAGAAAATCAGAAAAACATAAAATAAAATTGAGTAAAACTAAATAAAAGTTGAACAAAAAAGGACATATTGCCAACATAAATATATAAAACTTAAATTACAGGGGGAAAAAAATGAAACAGTATGGTAAAATGAGTACAGTGCAACAGCTTTGCCAGTTGTGTCGTGCTTTACAGAAGCATCCAAAAAGAATAACCACAGCAAGTGAGTGGTTTGTATCTTACTTTATGCTGAGAAATCTGCTGCTGCAGTTTGGAGGCCTGTGTTCCAATAGGTTCTGCATTTGCAAGCCTCTTCTCTGTGGTTGTCAGCCACTCCACCAGTGGCTCCAGAGCCTCGTGGAACTGCTGTGCTACCACCGAGATGCCTTCCAGCTGACGGTTCCTATCAACACACCCAGGGAATGGTTACCTCTCGTGGTGAAGTAAGTGTCAAACACTTTTAATAAAGAAAGAAGTGCCTTGAATCCTTTGAAAAACACCCAGAAATAATTCAATCTCATTGTAGGAACTAGTCACCAAATTAAACATATATCCATGATACTTACTGAAAAAGAAGGTAAAGTAGAAATCAAATAAAATTAAACACAAACACCTCCAAGGCATTTGGCTAATATACCAGTTTTGAAAATAAAAATAATATCACTTTATTAATATATTTTTACTAAAAATAATCTAGCACTCAATTCAGCAAAACATTGTTTTATACCCAGTTAAGATAGTTCTCAAGTTTCCAGCTGTCTTAAAGCATAAAGTTACATTCCCTTGACTATTATACATGTTTTAAAGTTAGGCAAAGGCTTTACACTGTCATGCTTCGTCAGTGTTGTAAAATACCTTTAAACATTTTTTCAATGATGACAACTGAATTATTTGGTACTAAATTTGCATCTCTTGTCCTGGATAAAAGCTCTCAATGAAGTTAGTGAGACAACATTAATAAAGCACGGAGACTTGACCTCCAAACCAGAAAAGCAGTATCTAAAACATTTCTGGTTCAGATCATTACACGTCAGAGAAGACTTTCGATTACAGCAAAGTCTTCTCTACAAGCAGTGCTGAACAAATGTCATCCAAGCAGACTTTTAGGAGAGATTTGTTCTACATGAAAGCACCACAATAACATCTTTCAAATGAGGGTCTTGTTCCAAATAACAGCTATATTTATATGTACTTTCCAAGGCTTATAAACAAGGTAGACTTGACATACTTAGCCATGGAACACTCTGTGGGGTACTCTACATAGTTTACAAAATCACCCTCAAATTCCTTCTTCATTTCTAGAGACCAGCCAAAGGAAAATGGAGACAAGCTTGCAGCTAATGGATGGCTTGGAAAAAGCTGCAATTTCATTTGTAATTAGATATCACCAGACTGGGAGGATATTATTAAATTAAACATGACATTAACATTTACCCCAGCTAATGAGTCAGATTCCTTCAATAAAAAAGAAAACAAAAAAGGAAAAGGAAAAAAAAAAAAGGAAATAATGGTCTATTAGTGGTTGACTAATTAAATAATCCTATTATTACTATGAGGTAACAAAACAGGTTCAGCTAAAGAGAGGCTACCAGAAGGAATAGAAGACAGCAGAGATGAGGTGAGTTCAATGCTACTTTAAGTACCAACACAACCATTTGTTCTTCACTGTAAAGCTTCACTGTGCACTTTAAATTTTTCTTCAGCTTTCCAAGTCCTCTCTTGCTCTCAATTATAGGCCTTTTTCCAAGCTATATCTCATGCACTCTTCTCTCTACTCTAAAAAAGACTTCTTCAATCTCCACCCAGTAAACACGTTCTGTAACCCTATCCACTCAGATTTCTCCAGACACTTTAATAATAACACAGTTAATAATTTTACAGGTATTTTTATATCATTGACAACAACTCATAAATGTAAGTCTGTGTTTACACAGGTACAGTGTGCATGGGTTTTGTTTGATTTTTTTCAATTGGAACTTGAAGTGGACCTCAATGTCATTTAAGAGATAGGGTTTTCTGTGATGCTAGAATACATATATCTATATACATTAAAGGTCCTCTTTTTTCTTGAAAACTAAGCACCTTGCATGCACCTGCAACTGACATTATGATGACCTCTAAGTTGCAGAAACAAATTGTGTAGATGATATATATTTAAAAAAAAAAAAGGAAAATAATTGAGTGCTCCTTCTTTGTAGCAGCAGTCCAGGACTTCGAAGTTCCAACAGAATATCATTACTGTTTGTTAGATGTAAATTTGCACTTGATTCTATTGCAAAACAGGTTCTTGCCTGAATACACTTGCATTCTAATTAATTAACAGAGATTAAATATTCAGAAGATGCATATGTAGTTAATCCTAGAAGATTATCACACCTGAGACTAAACATTTTTTGAAGAGCTTTTGGTCTCCCCTCAGGTCACTTTTCTTCCCTTTTCCCTTGGAGGACCCAGTACATCAAGACACTGAGACATAATGCAATCAAAAGCATGATAATACTTCACAGTATAGAGTTCCACACGCTGCTTCTCAACATCTATCACACTCTATGTCTGCACTTTTCAAAGCCATGAAAGAATTTCAAGTACCTTGTTTCAGCTTTACTGAGCAAGGCATCCCATCGACTATCCAGGAAACTCAGCTGTTTCAGGATTTTCACTCTATCAGCAGGCTCTGCTGACTCCGCAATTTTCTCCCCTTCGCGCTTGATTGCCTCAACAGTAGGCTTGCGGTCATCCAGCAGCCTCTGGAGAAGCTAAAGGGAAAGCAATCAAGCACCAGGTTATCAAGAAATACTGCAATAATGCAAATGTAACAACAGTAGACTTCTTGAAAAGCCATTAAAACAAAACAAAACAAAAACAAACAAAAAAACCCAAAAAAAACCCCCAAAACCTAAACCACAATGCCTATATTGTGATAAGAATTTGAAGAAAGCTAATCAAAGAGACACACATAACACACACATCACAACCCTTTCCCTGACCAACACAGGCTCATTTTAGTTTCTCAGTTGTTTTCCTAAGAACACTGGAGGTTCATGAAGCTCAAACAACAGCCCTGGTTTCTCTGAGGTAACCCAAAAGTGAACACATAGAGGAAAAAGTTCTGCCTAACACTCTTGAAGGAATGCAGCTATTCAGAACTAAGTTACATTTTATAGGAACATTTACGAGCAAACTGCAGGCCCCTCCAGATTTGGCATCACAGAGGTAATTTGGATACATAGAGGGATGGGAAAATAGATACTAAAACTATTGTATAATCAACTCATCACTTATATGAGATACAATTGAGTTCACCAATCTAGTGTAGCACGTTAACTTCTCTGTGAAGAATAAAATGTGCCCCTGTCTACAATGCTCCCTTCCTCCATCCCCTAGGTACCTTTGGTAACATTAACATTTTGCCACAGCAGTATCCCAAGAAAACAACCTGTACTGCCCATAATTTTATATTAAATCCTTGGGTGGCAGTGTACCTCAGTACATAAATGTACCTCAGTTATACCACAGTATAACTGCATTAATTGTATGTTTCATCAGCTACATTACCATTTTTTTTTATATAACCACTATTAAAATATGCCAAAGCTGATGACACTGATAGAGTTCCTACATTAGCACAGGCCACTTTCCCAATGGGATTCCAACTAATTACCAACAATGATCACATGAAAGTCAAGAGCCAAGTATTTAAGTCTGTAATCTGCAATCCTATCTTGGTAGTACAGTACCAGGAAGAGTGAAAAATTACTAAGTTTTATTTCCTACCTTTCAAATGGCCAGATACTGAACTTTATGCTCTTTTTCCAATGGATCTTTAACATCCTTTCCAGATAATGTCAATAATTCTAACCAGAGCTGAGATTGCACAATATCACTCTGTCTTATATCCAAGAAGATGAGCACTTCTCCCCACCCTGGACAAAGTTTTGAGTTTTGAACAGATGGCTCCTTTAAACACCTCAGCACACCCCAGTGTACTATAATACTCTTGAACAGGTATTATGCTTTGCCAAAGACTGAGAATTTGTTCTCACCGATCCAGTGGATGCAGAGATATTCTAAAACCATTTCACTTACCTTCTGTTCTTGTATTTGGGCCTTGACAACTTTGAATTCAGCAGATGGTGGTTTCTGATTAGCCACAAGATCTTCTGTATCAATGAGCCAGCTAAGCAGAGATTCAAGGGCATCCTGAAATCTCCCACAGTGGAGGAGAGCTTCCTGCAATTGTGCAGCACGCTGAGCAACCTGAAAAAACAGCAGAGGATCTCACCTATTCATTTTATTTCTGTGAAATAATTAGTCAAAATCCGTAGAACATCTGTCAATATTGCTAATAAATACTCTTATTTTTGTAACTATTCATAACAGCACTATGTCACAATTCAGCATGAATCTCTTGGGGCTGGAGACATCCAATAAAAAGAACAGACTGCCTCCCAGTAAATCAGCCTGCTCTAGTAATTCCTTACAAGCTACTCCTGATTTATATAGCTACAGTGGTACGAAATATACTGATGGGATGTTTGCATTTCAGATGGTCTTTATTTTACTGACAGAAAGAATGAGCCAGGATCTCAAAGTAGCAGCTCTTAATAAGGCCCAATAATCAATGTCATCAATGACAAATAGGAAAGGAGAAGGCAAATATGTGAACTGCAGGTGCCTCTGGTTCTGCTGCATCACTGTTTCAGGAAGAGCACAGAAGAGGATGAGCACCATTTTTACTCCCCATCCTTTCCATTTTCCAACAGCAGTTACTGCTGAAGGAAGACTTGAAAAGCACAGAAATACAGCTGGTTTTTCAAAGTGGTACTTTCTGATGCCTCAAGCAATACAATCCTTAAGGTGCTCTAAAGGAAACATTCCACAGTCACACAAAGCTGGGCTGTACCATTGCGCTGTGCACTGTGCAGGTACAACAGTGTGGGCATGAGCAAATAAAACAAAGTGAAAAAACATACAAACAATGACTGAAAGTGGAACTGGATCTCCAGGGACCCCTTCCAACCCCAACCCAATTTCATGAGTCTGTGAGGCTTTCTTGAATAAAAATTCAAAGACAGACCTAGGGAAAGTTTGGCAAAACCTTATAAATTACAACAATACCTCTGGCTATTAGCAATATAAATCTTATCCTTAGAATTACAAACAAAGTGATTGTGTAAAGCAAATATAATTCATATTCTTACTGAATATTTAATTTCCTGTGTTTGGAAAGACATCAGTGAGAAAACAATCAAGAGGCAGAACCCAACAAAAGCAGGATAGTATACAAGATAATAACCTTCTTATTAAGAGTCTTCCATCGGGTGTTGACATCTTCAAGGTCGTGTTCAAGGTTCTCTGTGTTGGTACTTTTAGCAGCACTCTGAATAAGGCCCTGACCCAACCAATTTACTTCCTGTTGTTTAACTTGCAAAGGTTCAATTTCTTCTTTCTGGAATACCTGCAGTTGAAACCCAAGACAGACATGAAACATGGTAACTTCTGCCATAAAATGCATCTGGTGTTTACATGACAGTATGCAACAAAAACATTGCTTAAAACTGGTGTATAGAAGAAAGGAAGCCATTCCTTGTCAGGACCTTCCTAAAAAAAGCATTAATAAATCTAAACAGAATAGATTAAATCTAAACAGAGTAAATTCAATACATCATAGAAGGGGAAATGACATACATTTCCATGAGTAGTCTTAGATAGGAAGGAAAGGGACAGAGAAAAAGAGAGGTAGTGGAAGTTTTAGGAGGTGAAAAAAATAAAACTTCTGGAGAAACTCATCTCTTTGATACCTGTCTATAAAATCTAACAAAGAACGGCACTCATCGAGAGTGATATGTCGGTATTTTTTCCAAATTAGCACCAAAGCCAAAGTTTCAAGTCAAAGAAACAGTAAAGGAATAGATATTTTAAAATCGGTTTGGGAGATTACAATGGTAACAAATGAGGAGGAGGCACTACAGATGCTGTTGAAACAGTATCCCGGCAGACACCCAGGAAAATGGGCTTTCATTCAAAGGATACTCTTGCAAATTGCCAAGGCTTTGACCCTACCCAACAGCAGTTTGAGCAGTTGTGTGTTTGCTTTATTTTACTCTTGCAGGTATTTAGGCTTTTTCAGAGCCAGATTATTACCATTAGCAACAGGATTGTAAATCTCCATTTGTATTCAGCAGCATTAAGCTGCACTGACACAAGTGTCAATGAGATCAGAAAATGGCCTGAAGCCCCTGAATTAATTACACAGGCCAGTGAAAAATAACCAATGAATAAACAATGCTAAAGAATGCTCAACTTTTGACCCTAAATCCTTCAATTTCTATAGCAGCATTCAGTAACAGTTTTGGTGTACACTTAGTGCATTCAAAGCAACCTTTCTCAGCATCCTGAAAAGCAGAGATCACTCTGAATGTACCAGCAACTCTCCTCTTTTGCACCAAACACACTGTGGCAAGTGACTGCTTTTAAAGATGCAGACCTCAGGTGGCTGAGCACACTTCCACCAGCTTGACAAGTTAATCTACAAGCTACAGCAAATACACTAAACATGAGAGGTAAAATAAATTTAACATCCCTAAGAGACTTGTTCCTACAGACAAAAAAAAGCCTAAAAACTCTTAGACTGTTAGACTGTGGCAACATGAAAACTGAGAGCATGCAATGAGTTGGCTGCTCCTAGAAGAAGGAAAATGTTTGTGTTTTTGACTGTAGGGTAAGGAGGAGGCAGAATAATATTTCAACACAGAATCAATAACAAATTCTTCTTTTATGTGCCATAAAGTCTCATCTTTTGAGAAAAACGTCCTACCACAGAGGGGACTGATCTCCATAATCTGCCCTTTAAAAATGCACACATTCTTTGTGGAGAGAAGTTTAAAATAAATTACAATTATTGCTGAGGCCAAAGTTTACCAGAACAACTTAGCAACAAAGCTTGAAGTATCTCAGATTTCAACCAGAGTGGGAAGAAAAAAATTACAGACCCAACAAACACCCTTTCCTTATTACAAAGCTTCCCTTACCCTCTTACCTCATCCACCACTCACAAAGCACTGCAAGATCCTGTGCTTGTAAAATACTACCGTAACTTCAGATCTGCCTTGCTGGCACGCAAATGCAAAAGGCATCTTTCAGAAGAGGCGGTGAGCCTTTAATCTGCCTGCTTTGGAAACCACAGCCATCTGATACTGTTGCTTACACCTTGATGAGTAAGGCTGAGCACACGGGCCGTAGCTGCCCTTGAATGGCATCGCCGGCGCAGACACCGGGCACCAACACGGGCACGGAGGAGGCTTTCCACGTCCGGAGTGACAGAGGAACCCAGCTGGGAATGACAACCCAGCTCAAAACAGCCGGAGTAATAATCACCCCCCCTGACTTTGCCCCCAGTTCATTTCCCATACTATTTCACCTATTTTGGACACCCCGTGTGTGCTATGCAAATTATACTGATCACTGCATCTGCCTAATTATTAATTTTTTTTAAGTTACGTTTTTGCAATAATGGCAAAACTTACAAGTTTTAAACAAGTATCTTTACGGATATTACACAACTATTTCACAAATCTATGGATTTTTCTCTTCTAATTACCTTGTCAGACAAGAGGCCATTGCAGACTGTATCCAAGGTGTCTTGGATGCCAGTAGTCCAGATATTGCCTTTATTGCTCTCTGGGAAAACTTTTGGGCAGTTTACAGTACTATCTAAATCAAGTTGTCGAACAGAAAATGCCACTTCGTTTGAGCCTGTACATGCTACACTGCATTCCTCTGTATCAGATAAAATTTCATATTTTGCAAAATCCAAGTCACTATTTACAGCAGCATTAGTGTAATAAACATCTACATGAGGAGATACATCATCCATATAATCTTCCTCTACCATTGTGACTCGTATTTTAGTTTTTTCATGAACTTCATATGCATTTTCCCCTTCATTTTTGTCAGGGGTAATACTTCTTCCATCACCTTGAAGGGGATCTTCATGTGACAGAATTTTCTCTTTGAAACCCTGTAAGTGAGAGTTCCCCTCCATCTCTTCCTGATCGCTCTCACATGTCTGGGCATTGTTTTGTTTTACTTTTCCAGAGGGTAAAATGTCATGCAAAGCCAGTCTGCAGTTTTCTTTGACAGGGACACTCATGCTTGCAAGCAGTGGGGTTTGCTGCTCTCTGCAAATTGCTGGGATATATGGTCTGAACTGACCTACTACTTGGATATCTTCTGCAGAAGACAGACTTTGTATTTGAGTTTGCTCCCCTGCTAACGGTGTGTCTTGTTTATCTTCCCTTTCTGTTGGAGGGCTGCATAAACCAGAATCGTCCTCTTCCGAGGTAAGAGAATTTGTACCCCATTTGCATTTGCCTAGTGTAGCTGCCTCTGACAGATCAGCAGTTTCATTAAAGGAGCTTTCACTTCTATTAGTGTAATCTGGAAAGCTGGGTGGAACAAGCATTCTCCACGATCGTCTGTGCTCCTTCTTTTCGGTGTGAGACTTTGCTTTGGGTAACCCAGCTGTTCGAATTATATCACTGTTTAGTTTAAGAGCATCAAAGATCATTTTTTCATCTAACTTGTTAGCTTCACGGCTTCGGAGCTCAAAAACACTGGAAGAAGTAAGGGCACCATTGGAGCACAAAGTACTGATGTCCAGTGTTCTGTGACTGTAGGGTAGGGTCCGGTCTGTGAAATGCCTCGAAGAGAGGCTGCCCTTGGAGCCTGAGTCAATCTGTTCGTTCAGCCGCACAGTGTCATAGATAGACCTCTGGGGAACGTAGCAGTCTTCAATATTTAGATCTTCATCTTCTTCCCCTTTGCCAACACATGGAGGATTCTGACGTAGACAGTCTGGCCTGCTAAGTGGCTTCCCCATGTTGAAAGTATCCACACAAGTATACCTCTGTTTTCACAGATTCAGGGCAAACATTTGAAAAACACTAGCAATCTGAAGAAATAGTAAACTTGCCCTTAGCATAAGATGCATAGATACAAAAATATACATCGTAAGATATGAAGTGGCTGAGGTCATTAATAATCAGTGCATCTCTAAAAATTTTACTTTACCTGGATATGAGGTTTCCCACCCCCAAAATATAAAGTGCTTCAGTAAGAAAGTAACAGAAATGTCCCAATGTCCCAGAAAAACAAATTATAGCAGAAACCAGCAGTAGCCAAATATGTCAAACATTCAGAGGAAGGCTTCATTTATTCCTCCAGGTCAGAATCTGTATCTCCCAAATAAGCCTTCACATGGACAAGTGTTACAGAAGGCAGTACATTATCTTCTGTACATGACTGCTTAACTGTAATCCATTTAGCTGGCTTGCAGGGTCCCATCTCCTTTATAAATAAAACATGCTGTGGCAGCTTAAAAAGACAGAATCCACAGGATAGTTGTATGGTCCTGACCAAGGCACGGAGAAAATCCTGGGGTGTGGGGGGAAATAAGTTAAATCCAGAACAGTAAGAATCATAAAACAGCCCTTTACTTTTTTGGCAGTAGCTATAAATAACCTTGATCTGAAAGGCAGCTTATCCTCCTCTTGTAACAGGCTCTTTCGTGGTGCCTCCACCAGTCCCACAGGAAAACATCACTTTCTAGCAGCCAAGCCAAGGCGTCCTTTGAGCAGACGGTCGGAAGACGAATGTTTCAGACCGATTCTCCCGATGCCATCCTGGAGAGCTCTTGAAGGCAGCTGCAGAGCCGAGCGAGCGTGGCGCGTTCCCCGAAGGCACGGCAGGTTTACATTCGGCAGGTCCCGACTACAAGCTGCAGCTAGCGGGCTGCGCTCGCCTCCTCCTCATTTCTGAGGCGCAGCTGCCGAGGAGCCGAGGGAGGGAGGCAGGGAGGGAGGGAGGCAGGGAAACCCCCGCCGTGCAGCGCCGGCGCGTCCCGCCCGGCGCCCCGGCTCGCCCCGCTCCAGNCCGTGACATCACTGCCGCCCCAGCCCGCTGCTGAGCGCGGGGAGCGGCCGGCACCTTCCCCGGCACTGCAGCCTTCCTTGCCAAAGTCACGCCGAAACTTTACCTCTGTATTACTTTAAAGGAAAAAAACAAAACATCCGCCAAACTCGCCTAGTGTTTAGATTAGCTGCTGGAGTAGTCGCACATTGCTCCACCTGACATGCAAAGTGAGATGTTCAGTCAGTTTTGATTATTTTCAGTCTGGTCACCGGCTCTGAGGCAAGAGCTTAGGGTGGTGTTGGCTGACAGGGGAGCCAGTCCTGAAGAACCCAGCTCCCACTGAAAGAAACATTAAAATACTGGGAAAAAAACTAACTATATCTGAAAGACTTTTTTTTTTTTTTCTTTTCTTTCCCCCCCCAGTGGGATTTATTGGAGCACCAAACCAGCCTATCAGGACAAAGATTCCGGTTTTGGAAATTGGCATCTTCTAAATACAGTTCAAGACTAGCTCCTAACCGCGGAGGGGAAGGGATGGGGAGACTCGCAGGTAATTTGCCACAGCACAGGAGGAGCTGCCGTGACCAAGAAGCTCCGCTCCAGTAGAAGCCAAACCCCCAGTGACCTCAGCTGCTGGTGTGACAGCAGCCATCAGTTACAGGGACAATTCAGATCGCAGTTTAAGGACAGCATAAGGCACTTAGTGCTAAAACTTAACACAGTGCGTTCACTACAATCAGCTGGAGCTTTCTGCATTCAGCAGCAAGCAGGATACACTGCATGCAACAAACACAAACACACCACACTTCATGTTTATTGATTTACTTAGTAAACAGCTACATATCAAAACACTAAGGGCTTGCAAAACAAATTCTCTCTTCCTCCTCTCTGCTGAGCTGCCATATAACATTTGGATTATGCCAAACAGATAATCACCTCTGGATTCTCTAGCAGATAAATGCTAAAGATGCAGAAAGAATTTTAGATGCTTTGGATGAAAGGTCATATCACCCATGGTTATTTTCACCCAGAACAACCAAAACATGCTGAATTCAGAAAGTGATGCATGATTTTATAGGGGAAGTATATAGCTGAAATTGGTCTGTATTTGTTCAATAGCAAAATTATGTTAACAGTTTAAAGATAGTTTACCATTTTTAATTGTTTCTGTTGAAGACTTTTGTATGACAGATAAGTCACTTTAAAATGCAACTCTAAAAAAAATTACTATTTGCTTATATTACCTTTGCTTTTCAATACAGACCTTAACTGTAGTAAAACCCATAAAGATTTTAGTATCTTATTCTAGGGTTTGTAAACAGCGTGTGGGATATGCAACATTTAGCTCAAAGAGAAAATTCTCATTATGTTTTCAACATTATCTGCCTTCAAAGCAAAAATCAGAGGACTGACACATTCTACATAACTAACAAGATATGTAGATGTGGCATTTATGGACACTATTAATGGTGGACTTGGCAGGGCTGAATTAACATTGGACTCGATGTTCTTAAAGGTCTTTTCCAACCTAAACAATTCTGTGGTTCTGTAACATAAGCTAATTAAAATCTTAGTTCAAGCTCATTGGCAGGACTACTCAGACTACCTAAAAATTCCCATAAAGTCCAATTAGAAGGCAACCTCTAATGACTATATCTACTTTAATCCAAAAGTAAAAGCAAAAATCAAATGAACCATATGCTCATGAAAGCTGTAACAGTGACATATTGGTTTTACTAAGAAGAATGACAGTACAAAGAATTGTAAAAAAGTTTGGAAAAGTAAAATAATTCAACTTCGTGTTCTTTCTCTGTTTTGGGGAGAAACTAGCTGCAAATGTTTCTCCAACTGCAAACATTCTAGCACTGTGCAGCTACTCAAAACCAGAGTGTTTGGTTCAGTCCATTTGCACAATTCTTTTTTGTTTTGATTTTGAAGAATGGTGGCAGACTCAGTGTACCTTAACAAACCTAATTTACTGAAATTTCCTTTCAGGACTAATCTACACATTGCATACAGACTTTGGAGTAAAAAGTGTCTTACTAAGCCAAGTTAACTAGTAATTTTTTGTGTGTGTTTCATATTAATTGAGATAAATTATTAATTTGATTATACTATTCCTGAAGAGAAATAACAGTTGTGGTTCTACTTTGAAATGAACTGCTCTGAAGATTTTCATTTACAGAAAGTAAATTTTATAACTGCCTTGTAAATAAAATATATAAATATGTATAAATATAAAATATTTCTAAAAAGATATATATATATAATATCTATAAAATATAGAAATATGTAAATAAATATAGTTTAACACTGATGGCAACTACCTACAATTTAACATTCTTTACTGACTGGAATAAGTACATTACAAAGAAGAAATATAAATTAAACAAATATGCATATGCATTTTAAATATATATATATATATATCAAATACTACTCAAAGTGAGTTTATTTTTTAAAAAAACATTAGGCATTTTAATGTCATGCCAAGAAGATGCACGCAGCTGTAACTCTTTATGTACATAAAAATTGGTTAAACCACAAAAAACCACCTCTGGCCCATTACGTGAGATCCTTCCCTGAAGAGCATGAAGATTTCATGTTAATAGATCTATACCAAAGAACAACTCTTTTGCCTTACTCTTGAGGAATTTAAGTTGACTGTAGCTGCCCACAGAAGCTAAAGACATAAGGAGCCAGACAGTGGTTTTGTGGCCACATTTTCAGGTTGTATGTGTTTGCGTACGTGCACAAACATGTGAGCAAACACAAACACACCACAAGTGGAGCAGGATCTGTGGGATCCAGTCTCCCTGCAGTTTGCTGCCTCAGGTAGAACTGCTCTCTGGAAAGGCAGAGTATAAACTGATAGATTACTTACTGTAATTTTTTATATGCCCCAGTAGCACTGACACTAAACATTAGGAGAGTTGATCCCTATCCTTCTGCTATCAGTATCCCTTCACTAACTACACTCTCACAGAGCAAAATTTCCCATTCTGGTCTCTCAATTTCCCTTCTTCAAAGGCTCCTCACTCTGCTGTTTTATTTCTGCATTTGCTTTTCACTTATTTAAACAACCCCTTCACTTTTTCATCATTCTTCACCTCCTGTTTAATGGCATTGTGTTTTTAATCATAAGCAAAAGCATGGCCTAAAATAGTTGCTTCAAGCAAAACACATTTCTAAGCTTATAAATATCTAATATAAATACAGTCCCAGAGTAGACTTCTGGATATAAACATGCTGCTATCACTGTTCTCCTTTATGTCTCTCCAGATTTTTTTCAGTCTTCTTACCACATAAGCTCTTGTGTTTCAGGGATGCTGTCACCCTACTGGTCTGCACAGGTCTCTCATCACCAAACTGCTCAATTGCTGTGCTGTGTCCAATGCCCTGATGAACTACAACACCAGGACAACACACGGGGAACTGGATTTTCCCACCATGTGCTCATCAGGTTGTAACAATCCAGAAACATTTTTCTCTATAATAAAATACATATCTGTACATACACAATTCATTGTATAAAATACGTATTAACAAAGACCTGAAGCCGTACCTAATGTTTGAAAATGTAAGAAATGTGGTGAAATCAGAGATCCCAAACTGGTTACAACTGAAGTCGTGTATAGCCAATGTAAGCAACAGCATTCACAGCAGAAGCTGTTGCTGTTTTCCAATATCCAAAATGTTTTACTAACCATATACAAAGAAAAGCCATTTGTTTCTCTTTTAAATTGAAATAGACTTGTTAGGATAGACTGGCATACAATTTTAATCCTCCCAGTCTAATGGAATCTCCTCATAATGCAACCATTTGCTCAAGGTTTCTGTCTGTATTTATGTATTCTCAAAGATCATCAAAACTCACAGTAACTTCCACTTGAATTCCCCAGATGAAAGTGTTCTGGTTTAATTTTCTTTTCCAATATGGCTTAAACAAGTGAAATGCACCCTCTGTTGGGCTAGCTGTGCAATGACTCTTTTCCAAGGTCATCAAATTTTTAACAGCATAGCTTATCAAATCCTAATGAAGGTTTGGTTTTATCATTAAGTGTCAACTAATGTACAAGTCATACAAACATTTGAATCAATATTATACTGGAATGAAACCAAAGAAGTGCAGAATATTCATTGCTACTACATAGCCATTACGAGATTTATGATCTTTCCCAAACACTGCTTACATCTATAAATCTTTCTGGTGAGCACTGGAAATTCATTTCTTGTAACCTAACCCAAGCAAATATCTCTACTTATTTCAGCAGCAAAGCTCAATTAATACTCATCTCCACTGAAATGCAATTTTTTATTTTTTTTTTTTGAGCTGGACATGGATTGCTAGCTGGTGTATTAAAAAAGCTACACACAGAAGCTCTGGAGTGAATTTTGGATAAGGATGCTACAGAAAAACCCCAATATGATAGGGGAATTATTTTGCCTGTTTTCTTTTATTAGGACGTTTCTAGGTAAGGATGGAATTCAGTGAGGTAAAACTGGCCAGTGTATCAGAACAGAAAATGGCAAAAGGTAACTTCTTAAACCTAAATATGCTGAAATCTATACCCAGGTGAAAAAACCTAAACTGCTCAGATGAGCAAAGTCAATGTGGGCTGGTAGGTGAACAGGAGGAGTAGGTAGGTAGGAGTCTAAAACTCACACCACTGTGAAGATGAAAGTTGTGTAATAAATGGACATCAAATAGGGACAGTATGCAGTTTCTCAAAAACAGAAAGGCATATGGATTACAGAAGGTAACAAGATAGTGAAGAGAGGTGAAGAGGGAACTGGGGTGCAGGAACTGGGAGCTGAGATGCAAAATTCCCAACGTTTGCAAGCTGAAGAAAAGGAAAGCTTCTCTGAGCATAAGATCCCCATTTAAAACAGATAAAACAGATAAAATAGAGGCAGAACAGAATGCTGTGAAACAAGCCTCCTCTAAGGTCTGCACTTAACCAGTCTCTTTCACTACGATGTTTAATAAAACGGCATTGTGGTAAAATACTTTATAATAGAAGGAAAGCAATCTTCCTACCTTGAATGTATTCAGCTGCTGATTAATAGCCTCTGTTTCCATTCCAACAGGACCTTGTGACTCTTCATGTTCTTCAGCTCTCCCAAGCAGAGTGGAAAATTCTTTTAGTTTACTGTAAAACTCCTCAACACGGCAAATGGTACCCTCCACCTGATCTTCCCTGGCTTTTGCTCTGTCTAGTAGCTTGTTGCACTGTTTATTTAGAGCTTCCAAGTCTCTCTTTATACCAACAAGATCAGGAGAAGCTTCAGCTTCTGTGGCTAGCATAATTTTACAGTTTTTATTAGCGTTTTCATTATTCACTATAAGATCCTCCAACTTTTTCATGAAACATTTTATGTCCTCTCTCTGAGATTGCAGTACCTTGAGATCTCTCCCCACTGGAGCCATGCTATCAAGCTCATCATCAAACTCTGCAAACTGAGAGAACATCTCTCGGATGCTGTTTTGGAAATGGCCAATTCCCTGAAGTTTGGTCTCCAGGAATGAGCACCTATCCTCAACTTGCTGCTTCACTGCAGTGTATTCTTGCTCCAAAGATTCGGCTTGGAGTAAGAGGTCAGAAACGCCTGCTGAATCAGAAGCCTCTACCACCAGGTCTTGGGCAAGCTTTTTTGCTAGATCAACGTGAGGCTTTAAAGCTTGCAAGGCTTTCTGCTGGGCCTGCATCATTGTCAGGTGTTTGTTACTGAATGACTGAGGTCCAAGTGAGTCATGAGCTTCCAGATGCTCTTTGGCACTTTTAAGCTGTCTTTCAGTTTCTCTGGATGAGTCCTGAAACTCTTTCAGTCTTTGTGCCATGTTTTCCAAGCACTCTCTCTTTTTATGTAACTGTTCTGTAACCACTTTCACATTCTGATTCAGCACCTTAGTTTGTTCTTGTACAATTTCTTTATCTGTTTGACTTGCACTGAGCAAACTTTCAGCAGAATTATTTAAGAGTTCCACCATCCCATGGTGTTTATCCAGGTCCTTCTGCCACGCCCTTACCTGAACAATAGAATCCTCTATTTCAACTGGGTTTATGCCAACTTTTAATTCACACAGGTTGCTTTGGCATTTCTCTATCCATGGCTGCAGATTTTCTACATGGTGCTTATATTTGAGGGCTTTCTCCAGACAATCTGCCAGTTTATCTTCCCTTTCTTTTACCTGTTTATTCATTTCATCCCAGTTACTCCTGAGTGTGGCAATTTGGGATTGTAATTCTGCTTTGTCATCTCCTTGAGTCTTCTGTAAAATACTTTCTCCTTCTGCAACAATTCTTTCATATGAACCAATCTGATCAGTCATTGTCTTCTTAAAATCTTTCTGTTCTTCAATTAGTGATTGCAAGGCATCAAGTTTGGCTGACACAGGACGAGCCTGGTTCAGCTCTTCTTTCTTTTTGCTTAGCCAGGCCTGAAAGTCCTTAGACATTTGTTGGAACTGATGAGAAGAGGCATATGCTGACTGAAGCTGCTGAACATGGTTATCTACAAAGAAAAAGGCAGCACGGAGGTTCATTAGCACAACCTGCTAGTATTCAGTGAAAAAAAAATAATAACTAATATTGATTCTATTATACATGATCATTAATTTAAGGAAAGCCAGTCCTTAGTAGGTGGAGTTTGACTGGCAGGCAGCCAGGTTTCTTGCAAGGGGCAGACTCATTCCTGTAATACAGAAGAGCAGTGAAGGCATTAGGATATGAATCAAATGAGATGAGCTTATCCAGTCTAGTTCCTCATGACCAGAGGAAATTAAAAACCCAAAACTGAGGCTGCTAGGGAGAACAAAGTATAATATCACTTGCAATGTGTTATTCGCTCAGTTCTGTTGTTCACAAGGTAAGGAAAGGCTGCAGACTGCCAGCCCCCTTCTGTCACAGGCAGTTTTATACAATTACCACTGTGTTTCACCAAGCCATTAACTAGTATTTGCCTAGAAATTATCATTTTGACTTATACTCTGCCCTTATGAAGTTGAGTAAATCCATGAATAGCATCCTCTTTTGGAATTCTAATTCAGTCAAGATGCACCTGAAGGAACACATGACAAAACAGCCTTGCTATTTTACTCCAGGTTCTCTCCTAAACTATTCACTAGAAATCCCAAGCATTGTTCTTACCTTTTCAAGACATGGGGATTCTTCTAAATTCTAATGTACAACTGCTTGGGGTTGGACTGGATTGAGAGCCGGCACTAGGCTCACTTCACTCAACACCTCTATCACAAACTTTTGCCTTACTTTATGCTTTGGTTACTGTTTTTCTTTAAATAAATACCAACCTGATTTTTGCTCAATATCCTTAAACGATTTTAAGATGCCGTCTAACTGTCTTGTAAGTTCTGCTTTCAAATACTCTTCCCCAACCAGTGTTGACAGCTCTTCACAAAGAGCTTGTGCTGCATTTATATTCTTCTTTTCCCGTTCTATTTCCTCCTTCATTTCTTTAGCAATTTCCAGCTGTTGTTTCACAGCATCAGGTTGTGTACTCACAGCCAGGCTGCTGCTGAGTTTACTATCCAAGGCACTTAGCTTATCAGACAGACTTCTGAGTAAGCTTTGATACTCTGTGCTTTTCACAATGGCTTGGTCAATTCGGTCACATCTCTTCTTCAGCTGGCTGGTGAGACTGTCCCACTTCTGTGCCACAGCTGCCAGTTGCTCTTTCACAGTTTCATGTGAGGGTGGATGTTCACCAGGTCTCTCCAGAATCCCCTGCCCAGCCATAGTTAACTGCTCATATTGTGGCTTTCTGGTGTCAAACTCTTTGAGCAGAATCTAGGAAAAAAAAAAGAATGTTAAAAATAATTTACTTCACGAGAAGAAAAGACTGCTTCTGACAAAAAAAAAGTCATGTAGAATTTGTTGTTCTATTATTGAGTGTATCCAAGTTTGAAAGGCAGTGAAATAAATGTGCCTTGTACATAAACTGTGTTGTTTCCAAGTATTTACATCAAAGAAACAGAAAAAAAAGTGGTGAATTTACACATCATCTAATAGAAATTCAACCAGGAGATACAAGTAAACAATGAATTCTGTTAATATCATAGTAATTGAGTCCACCAAGCAAAATAAGTGCTGTTTAGTTTAAAGTAACGTCTTCTTTCCTAGACAGATTTGATATTTGTCTTAAGAAAGAATTTCAAAGAAGATGTATTCTGACATAATATTTCAATGTTTTATTATAGAACAGAGACTATTTGGTTAATTCACAAAATGACTGAACGTGTAGTGTAAGACCTTTTAAATTAATATCACTGGTTATCAATATTTTTTTTTTTTTACAGTAAGTCACAGTTCTTGCAAAAGAAGGGACAATTATAATGGTTTTACTTTACAGAACATTCCAAACCCTTTCTAAGTCAATTAGGTTGAACTTTTAAGGACTGTGAAGTGATACATGATAGTCTTATGCCATCTGTCTAGACTTCTGAAGCACTTAGAAACCAATATTGAGTCATAGTACTTGAGATAGTATTAGAACATAGTTCATGGTTTGAACACTTTGTTTTAAACAATACTGATATTATAGCTTTAATAACACTTTTTTTCAAAAACAAAATAATTTCCCATCAGTTTAGAATAACTGTCAGCAATAGAAATGTTTGAAATTAAATTTTCTACCTTCTGAAGCCTGATCTGATTTCACATTTACTTTCTTTTGTCTGAAGTTTGCTGTGCTGCTGTCACTAAATTACTCCACTTTTTCATTATACTTTTTTTTCCTGTCTTTGACACTCTTGGCCCCATATCTATCCACAGTACTGCATTTCTCTTGCCTTCATATTTTTGTTAGCTACTGGCACAGTTAAGGGAATAAAATCTCAAAAAACTAGTTCTAACCACAGACTATACATGAGGAATGACAGTAAAATATCAAATTAATAAAATTCAAATGGACATTTTCATTCCACTAGAGAGAAACCACAGTAAGGTCAAAACAGAAAGACATATCAAAGGATCAATGTCTCCTTGACATTTTTCTTTGCCTATTCTGATCTCTTTTCACTCTTATGATAATTTTTTCTTGTAATTACTGTTGTCAAGTATGGCGTAAGCTGATACATAAATAAATCTAATGGCTTATACTAGCCATGCTCTGCTCTAGATGCAAAATAGTACTTTGCTAATAGCAAAAAGGCAGAAGAAACTTAAAGCAATAATGTGTGTTGGCACTACTCACCTGAACCTGCTGCTTTTGTGTATTCAGCATATTAGGATCAATTGATAATGGTCCCAGCACACTGACCATTAGCTCCTTTTCTACAAGCCAGTGCTTTAGCTGAGCTTCTGCTGTCTGGAACTGGATCAGGTAATTTGAAGACTCCTCCAGTTTTTGTTGTCTCTCAGATGTAACTTTATTGAGTTCTTTCCATTTGGAATCTAACAATGATAATGTTAGCATATTGCAAGCATGTTCTAGCAGATGGATTGTGAGACAGCAGACCATATATGAAACATAAACAGCGCCCTCTCATAAGCCTCCATGCTGATTAACTCCAGATACCTTATTGCAGTGACTTTGCAAATAACATCTTTTAAAAGTCAGACAATGTACACTTTGATGACAGCCAGCCACATGTGGAATTTTTAGAGCAATGGATATTCAACACGTAATAAAATTATATTAGAATATTACTAAATGAAATACCCCCAAGTTTAGGCTTTGGTCTCAAATGATATAGAAGGCAAAGGGTTCTACTCAGTTATAACTCAGGTTATATATCAGGTGCCTGATTTAAATAGACAAATCTCCCTGCTTATTTAGTAATAAAGCCCCATAAGATCTCAAGAGTGACCAGAAGCCTGAAATTATGCTTCAACTCTGAACAGCCCTCTGAAAAAGCCTAGCTCTTTCAAATGCCTGTAACATCCATCTGAAACCATTCATCTAAAACATCTAAACCAGGTACCTAATGATGAGCAATGAGAATACTTCTGCTTATAGCTATTTCAAAAGCACTGGGTGAGCTTAGGTTCACACCTTGCCAGTCTGTGGTCCTTTCCACTATGGCAAGTGGCTTCCAGAGCAGCCTTTGAGTCTTAGTCTTGTATCTTCCCCCTGCCCCTCTGTGATATTGTCAGTGCTTGCTCAGTCAGCTCTGGTATTTTTCTAACTCTCCCTGGCCCTGATTTTCATCCTTGTTTTTTACAGTTCCTTTTGCTGCATCACAGTGCTCTGCTCATTCTGTATTAATCCCCTTTCAACACAACAAGAGGTCTGTTGGAGACCTTACCTGCTACTTAAGCTTTTCAGAGTTTCACTTACAAGAAGGACAGACTGGAAAAACTCTCAGCTTCAAAATTACTGTTGGTGTAGCAATGGAAATGCCTATCACTATGAAACAAGATTGACATGCAATGCTATTGATCTATAATTCACTTTAAAATATGACTAACATAAAAAGGATTTTTAAAAACTCACGACAGTTAGGTACTGCAATATCTCAAAATCTATTGACTAAACATGGTCATTTTCTTTTTTTTCCATTGGATTTTTTTGAAAATTTTTAGCAAAATTTATACAGTTTTAGAAGACAGCAAAAAACCACCAAACCCACAAAAAGCCAAAAGCCACTAGTTCATGAGAAAATACATGTAGAAGAGCACTACCAACAACTGAAACCATTCTCTACATGAAATTAGAATCACCTTAATTTGTTATATTTTGTAAAAAGAACAAAATATATATGTTGCTTGTAACTGGCCAGTCAAGTTTTAGCTGCCCACCATTTAAAAAAAGATAAAGCCTCTCAAACAGGGAGTCAAGATATAGCCTGTGCAAAAATACAAATTCAAAGCCCATGGACATCACTGGAATTACTTCAGTTCTACATGCAAATGCAGTCATTTCCACAGAATTTAAGAGGTAAGAGGAAACAAGTTATTGAAAGTAATTGTTATTGCTAATAAATTTAAAAACTCATAATAAAACAACTTCCAAATCAGTCTGAGCTATAATATAGCTTTATTGAAGTACCTATTTTATCCAATGTTTGTCTCCACTTAGGTGCCTCAGGAGAGTCAGGGTTCTTCTCCAACAGCTCTGTAACTTTGTCCTTTAATTCCTGCACCTTATTTGCACTTTGCTTTAATTCAGTTTCAAAAAGCTGAAAATTTAGGTGATAAAATAAATAAATAAGAGACTAAAGAAGAATGATAAAGTTTGCAGTCCATAATACTGAGGTACCAAACATGAAGACAAAAGAATAAATATCTAGCCTGTATATACTACTTTTTTGCTATGAATCCCAAAACACGTTATAGTGACATAATGTTGTAGTCAATCTTTTTGGAAGAGAGAACCTGACAGATATAAACTATATTAATAATTATTGCTTAATTTGAACAGGTGACAGAACTAGAAGAATTCAGATAAATAAGATTCACTAGGTCCCATCATATTCACACATATTTGGAATCTATTTGTGTACAGAAACCAAACTGACTAATGCAAAGTACAGCTCACAGCAAAAATAACCCAGCTAGCTCTGACAGAGAGGAGTGTGGTGTGGCATCAGTAGAAGTCCTGCTATCAGAGACAGGCTATTTTGTGTAGATCTCCTAAACCCATAGTTTCAAGAGAATCATTTTTAAGTGTAAATCTAACAGAAGACTGAGATACACCAGCAAATCTTAATTAATGCTGTTCTTGCAGACAGAATGTTTCTTACATGCCTGGCAAAGGGCTCTTTTATGAATGTTCTTAAGTAACAAGGCTTGCCTCATGGAGCTGCTTTTCAATTATCCAAACCCCACAAAAATAAACACTGAACAAACTGTACTTGATTTAGAACTTCTAGTAAAAGGTCCAATGCATCAGATGACTCTTGCCTGAGCACTTGCTCAGTTTTCCAACTATTTGTGAATACTTTTCTATTACTATACTGCAGGTTAGATGACCATGATAGCTTTGCACATTCTCTGTTAAGAAAAAAGAGCTGGTTTTCTTTCACACCTAGTCTGAATTTTATGACTGAATGTTATCCAACTCTAAGGAAGTTGGTAGATGGTCAGGTTAATTTTTAAGGGTGACCCGCCAAATATAGAAGAAACTCAGTTAAATCTAATTTTGTCTTTGTTTATATACAATCACAAGCAAGAAAAGAATTTTTGCTATCCGCTTCATTTCCCTTTACAGATGAACCTTACATGTGTAAATATTGTCCTTCATTGCTAGGGGAGCATATGTCTCCTATGCTGAAACAGGACAGAAGCTTACTGCTGATTCAGTGGTTTTCTCATATCAATTATAAAGGGGGGAAGGAGGCTGTTGTGCAGCTATATAACTTAACAAGCATGACAGGGCTGCTGAAGAGAAACACTGCCTTGGAAGACACATAAGCCGCTGCAGCTGCAGGGAGCGGGAGGTCTGTGGAGCGTCAGTGAGCCAGCAGCTGCAGAAACAGCTTTTGGACTGATACAGACCTTCAGATATTACAAGTAATCTATTATATACCTCTAAACCACTAAGATCAAAAACGTTTATTGCATAATCAGTATATTCAAACTGTCCACCATAATTATTATTTTCTGACCTGCAAAACTCATTCTCTCTGACACAGTGCTCCTTTACTCCACTGACACAGTTTTCCAGATTTGCTCTAAGCCTGACTAATATGCTTAGTAGGATCATTTAAATACTCTCTGCAACATTAAACTAGGCTGAGTTATCAATTATTTCATAGCATCTGCCTAATAACTACAAGAAAAAGTATTTGTTTGAAGGCACGAAGTACCTTATGTTGCTCGACTTGGGCTTTAACTGCTTCACTGTCTGTTGGAGCAGCTTCCCAGTCTGATGCAGTTTTGTCCATTTTTTGCAACCAATGCATCATTGAGGCTGATTCTTCCTGAATATTTTGCATTTTTGAAAGCATACTTTCTAGTTCTGAAATCTTTTCATTCAATAAAACTCCCAAATCTTCATAGCTGTGATTTATATTAGACATAGCTTGTTGAACAGTTGTCAGTTCTGTAAAGAGAGGTGCACAAAGACTGTGTTAGAAATTACAAGCCTTTGAAACAATACTGAATGTACTGAAACAGTATTGAACGGTATTCTGAGCTACAGTAGCTAATAGTCCCCCAAATAAGAAGTCACTGAATATGTTGGAGTTACTTCCAAAACATTCTAAGTGTGGCAACACTACACCTGAATAAGCTAATATTAGTTCCTATTTGCAGGAACTTCTTATTTCACAGAAATCATTATTTCAATACATACAAGTGCACAGACATGTTTCAATCTTTCTACCCAGATTGAAAGATCTTTCAATCTTTCTTTTCTGTATTTTAAGTAACAATTCCATGACCAAAAGTTGCATGTACCTGGCTACAATTCAGATACTATAAAGCCCTTATATAAAAGTTCCTTTGTTTCTAGTTGGTCACAGTGATACAAATGTATATCAAATGGGTGTCTTTGTATACAAATATTTCTATATACACATGTTGTCAATGCTGATGAGTGTTAAAGTTTCAATTCCATTGCAAGGTATTTCTCAAAAGTCATGCCTTATATTAAAATAGCCACCCCTGCATACATTTATAAAAGTACATATTGATTCAGAAAACAAGGCCAGATTTGGTTGGTCCTCAAAGAAAATAATGAGACAGGTATTGCTATAATTACTTACAATAGTCAATGCCCTAGTCAATGTAGTTGTCTTATGTGATGGTGATGTGAAATTTCAGTCTAATAATGACTGCTACAAGCAGATTTATGTATAACATTTAAAAAATACTTTCATGTTTAATAGTAATTGCCAAGCAACATTTCTTTATCGCATGCTGAAATTTTTACTGACCTTTATTTTTCAAGAAGTCCTGAGTTCCTGGAGCTCCTCCTTCACCATTTAAAATTGTGCCACCTGTGGATCAATAGATATTAAGCCTCTTGCTTATCTGAGCCTTTTCCCACCAAAACCCCAGCACTTCATTTCCTCTTCAAAGCAGCATGATCCATAGCTGTCATTACATCAAGAATGAAGCTCCAACTAGCCAGTACCATCAGTGGTCTCACACAGGCAGAGCATGTGCATATGGGTGGGGTGTACATGCATGCACTTAGAAGGGTGCACATATCTATGATTTATCAGCAGTCCTACTGCTTGCAGTTCTGGACTAAACAACTCACCAGGGCCAAGGGTTTATTCCCTACCTGTGAGGCCTATTCACATCCAGGTTGCTAATATCACTTCCTTCCTCTCTCCCAAAGGATCCTGTTCCCTACTAAGAACACGGTTTTACCCAGCTGTGACGGGTGTAGCCTGGGAGATGACAAGCTGGCAAATGCTGCCACTAAGGAGAGCACTAAACATTAAACAGCAAAGAGTCCCAGAGTCCTTATTTCAGACACCCCAACCAAAGACACTGCTTACTTAGGGCACCTGTACCCACCAGGGAAGCAGTCAAGATACCATTCCTGGAGGTATTTGAAAAACATGTATATGTGCTGCTTGGGGGCATGGCTTAGTGCTGGACTCGGCAGTGCTGAGTTAATATTTGGACCTTAAGGGTCTTTTCCAACATAAAAAGATTCTATGTGCATTGTAACTCCGCACAGAAAGTTCTTGAAACCAGCTGGATTAATCCCTCCCTATCTTGTCATAAGCAAGATTCAAGCATGTGCTCCGTGACAGGAATTTCAATGTGGCACTCTTACACCCGAAGTTCTTACTGTCACTTGGAGGCAGCCACTCACTGAGGCTGCCCTGCTAATTAACCATAATATCAGAGCCTCTGAAACCAGAGCTAATGGGCTTTGTAAAGTAAAGTCAGACCAAAGAGCAGGGCCATATGACCACACTGCAGAGAACTGTAAGGATAATCACTCCCTGCTCTCCTGCACATATGTAATCCCAGAAGAGCAATTAGCAGAGGAAGATTAATGGTTGCCTTGGAAAAGGCTGTGCATCCACCCCCCCAGTACCAGCTGGACAGTGAGGACCACATTAGTGGCAGCTGGAGGATGGCAAGAGAAAACAAACCAGATAAGAGAAGTTACAGGCTCCAACCAGGGCCCTGTAGATCTTCACGCTCTTTTAGCTGGACTCTGGTATTTGTAACTGTGATAAAGTGATACACAGTACAGCTCTTGTCAAGAAGGGTAGATATTCTGGTCTGGAGCTGCTCTTATGTGTTAGGTATTTAACTAGATTTTCTATCTGTATGCATAGGAGTGGAAAAGAGGCAGAGGAATGAGCCCAAATAGATCATGGAAGATTCCAAAAAGTTCTTTGGAAGATTGTTATTGAAAGTTAAAAAGAAAAAAAACAAACCAAAAACAGAGGCAGCTATTATATTATACAAGAAAGAAAGTGTTCTGCTTTTGCCCAATAGGTATCTTCTGGCAGTCCCCAACCTCCCAGTCATTTGCAGATGACCAATGAAGGCCAAAACACTTGAATTTATTTCCAGACCTAGTCAGTTCAAGAACTGACTGAAAATGTGCTTACTGCCATTAAAACACCCCATGTCCTTGAACTATGCCTGGAATGATACTTGGCTTCTTTTGGTTTCTGTAAAACAAATTAGTATTTAGCACTAGAGTAAAAAAACATAATGGAAATAGATTTGCTATCTTTAAAGTATGATTATCAGTAGAATTTAGCCGAAGATCTAGACAGAAAACACACTTTGGCCCAGAAAAATCACGCTGAGATGCAAAGTTGATTCCCTTCTGTGCTGTTGTTCCAACTAAAACACTGACTAATACTAATTATGTTATCATATTAGGATGAGTAAGTTTACCTAGGCTCATTTTTTATATAAACCATCTCCTCACTACCCTTCTAACAAAAACTCCACGACTCCACAAAACTTTCTGTGTTTGCTTGGTGTCACAGAATAGCCTGTTGGCCATTAAATAGGTATCTCTGTGCAGGTACATCAGAGTTTGTAAAACAAAGCTTGTATTTCTCCTACTTGCAGATTGGATGGATATGTGAAGCACAAAACACTGACCAGAAAAATTCAATTTCTCATTCTCAGAAGCTTTCTGGGATGAGGTGAAGGCAACTGCGACAGTGTAATTTTATTCACTATCTGGGAATTACAAAACAGCTCTAGGACATGTTAAACCTTTGCATCAGTGTACTTTTACATTATCATGGCAGAATAAAACAATGAGAATGTGTGCTGAATTACTGCAGCAGCTAGGCAGTTTAAACAGAATCACAGCAAACAATGGTCAGAAGAGACATGGGTAAATGTTTTCTCACGAGCCATAATATTCAGAATGCTAAACCAAGGCTGAAACAATATTAATTTTTGTCTTAAAGGTTTTAAAAATTCTTGTAATGTTAGGCTTACCTGATTATACAAAAGCATACCTGATTTGGCAACTGCTCTCAGTTTTGCAGGAGAAGTCACAGCAGTGATTAAGTTACACAGCAAAGTTCCTCTGCTATTCATTTTCTGCAGTTCAGGTGCCTTTAATGTCCATTCATCTTTTAAATTCTGGTTAATAAAGATAGTAATTTGTTCATTACTAAACTGACTTCAGACTTTAGAGAATTAGCGTTCAGAAAGGAACAACTTTACTGCTTGAGAATCTCTTGCGAAACATACAAAACAAATGGGAATGTAAATGCAGACTGCAAGCCCCCTACTCCCAATACTGTGACTGCTTACACTTTAAATCTGTATTTCAATATTAGTAATAGGTGCCTTATTTCCTTCAGCTAGATTTCACTTCTCCTACAAAGGCTTACCAATGTATCTTCCAAAGGTTTCTTTAACTCCTCTGTATTCAGAGAGGGCTGTGCTGCTGGAATTCGTTCTGACGTCTCCTTTATCCATTTCTTTAATGATTCTACTAGGAGCTCAAAAGCATCCATTTGTTTCTGACAAGATGATACATCCTCTTCTCTAGACAATTAAAGACAAAGGAATGACAGTATTCCTTCTAATATTTAAACCAACAAATATTATTAATCTGATATTACTATTCCTAAATTCAAAGTATCAAAAGGCTAATTTTATGGATACAAGCAGAATGTGCAAAACCTAGTCTTACTGCAAATGTAACTTCTGTGGAATTTCTCCAGCTTTCCTTTGCAGATTGATGCCAAATAATGCTCTAAAGCAATATACACAACCAGCAATTTATGTTCTGTCATGGAAGGAGAGAAGTAGGGTTTTCTTAAAATTGCCAAGAATCCTGTAAATGTCACAAAATTTGAACAATTACTTATCTTTATGGCCTTTTTTAGAGCTCTTGGGCCAGACAGGCTAACTAAAACACTTTTATTATTCAACTTACTTTTCTTTTATTGTCTCCTCTACCTCTTTGAATTTCTTTGACAAAGCATTTACTTTCTCTAATACCAGTGCTTTATCTCCAGGAAGAGCATGGAACGAAAGTTCTTCAAGGAGCTGCTTCAAAACTTCCAGATCCCTCTTGTGTTGTGCCAACTCTACACCAGCTTCCTGCGAAATAGGATTACATTCAACATATTAGACTCTACAATCACTTGTTCAAAATTAAACACTTCACTTTAGCTAACCAACCAGTGTTGTGAAAAAAGACATGCCTTGTTTCTTGTTCAATCACTTAGATGAGTTAGACTAAGAACACACAACACATACCAATGGAATGCTACAGTACCTGCATGTATTGAGACACTTCACTAACATCCTTTCTCAGTGCCTCCGTCTCACTGAGTGCCTGGTTTTTCTCATCTAGAAATGATTGAAGTTTTGTTGACAGACCTTCGAATAACTCCACTTTAGTCTTCAATTCCTCCATTTTCATAAGCTTCTCCCTATGCTTGTTACTTGCTTCAGAAAACCGTCCTGCAAGTTCACTCATTTTAGCTTGCAGTGTGGATGCAGTGGACGGATCTGCTGTTTCCATGAACTTCTTCACTTTTTCATTCATAGTGTTTATACTACTTTGGCGACCAGCAATGTCTTGTTCTAGCATCTGAAACATACAATAACAACTTTGTATTACTTGCAATTAAATTTAAGAAGTGAAATTCATCTACCATATAAAGCAACAAATCACTACAGCTAGACCAGTGTGATCTATTTCAGCTACAAAATCCTTATGAACAGTTTCACTTCACACAACAGTCCTCTTCAGTATTTTGAATCCATAAAAAGTGCCAACCTAAGATTTTAATTCTTTCTTTAAATCTGAATTATCAAACAAATGTTTATTTTTTCAAAGAATGCTACTTACGATGCTTTTACTAATAATGTCCTGAATAGCAGCAGAATTCAAAGGCACTTGATCTTGCTCTTTAAGGCTCTTTTCAACTCCTTCCATCCAATCCAGCATTTCATCCAAACCATCCTGCACACTTAGGGATCGTGTCAGAGTTACTTGAAGCTTCTCATTCCTTTCATTCACAGATTTAGACAAATTGTCATATCTTTCCACAATATCATCTGATAAAGAGAAGATATATTTCAATTTTTATCTCTAGCCAAACTAAGCTTTTAGCTTACTTCACCAGCACTCGCCAGTTGAGTCAAAAATTGCTACGTTAGAATGAAGAAAATAGAAGTAAGCTTTAGTCAGTAAAAACATGGAAACAAAGACCAACAACTTCAAACAGAGTCAAGAAACACACTGGACAAGGGAAATGAGGGAGTAGCATATAGCTGTAGTGCCCAGTGTTAGAAACTGGTTTCAATGTAGCTTTAGCTTAAGGCATCTGTTGACTGTACCCAAGAAATAAAACAGCAGAGTATTAAGACAGCTCTTCTATAATTATGTCTCTTATGTTATTGTGAGATCTGAGAGGTTCTTCATTAGACATCCAACACAAATAACTCTCCGAAAGTTACAAGCTCCATGTACCTCCCATAGAGTTTTATCACCAACTCCAAAGAGTCAAGCCACAGTTGTTTTATTTTGTTCTGCAACTTATTTATGGGATTCCATGAACAGATAGCTGTGTGACACACAGAAAGTGTCTTCAAACTTCAGACAGTGGTGAATGCTGTGCTACTTCCCACAACTGATAGGAAAGAGGTGTAGGTGCTAAAGTTTTGGTGGTGGTAAGGGTTTGCTAGTGACAAATTTTGGCTCATGTGAGAGGAGGTCAAGGACTGCCCCATGGAAGACACAGATGGTTACAGCCAACTCCAGCTGACCCATCACAGGGCACACCAGGTGCTGGAGCAGAGATTCCCCTGAAGCCTGTGGAGGATGGATATTTCCTGAAGGAAACACAGCCTATATCCACACTAGAATAATATTAGCCCAAGAGACTTCAGTCTGCAGAGAGGTCCCTCACCAGAGCAGGGCAAACATGTGAGGAGGAAGCAGCAGCAGAGAAATTATGGACTGACCACAAGCATCCATTTCCCATCCACACTGCACTGTTTGGCAGGGAGGAAGGGGGACCAGTTAGGAAGGAAGGAGTATTAGTAAGCCTGAAAAAAACAATGGGGTGGAGGAAAGTGTTGCTGTAATTTGTCTTTGTTTCGCATTTCCCAAACCTATTTCATTTAGCAATAACTGAAAGTTAATTTTTGCCAAGTCAAATTTATTTTCCCCATGACAGTAAAATGTGAGTGATCTCCCCATCTTTATCTCAACCCATGGGCTTCTCTATCTTAATTTCTACTCCTGTCCACTTGAGCAACGGGAGCGAGAGAGAAGGTGGGTGAGCATCTGGCACACTGCCAAAGTCAACCCCTTCATAGACAGTTCCTTAAAGTTAGAAGGAAGTAATTCCTAAGCTAAGAAAACTTCAAATAACTGCTTGTAAACAGATTCTTTGGAGTCATGTTTCTCTGGAGAATTTATGATCCCCAGCAAATCACTACCTCTGCGCAAGCAATCCCTATTTCTGTAAAAAGAAAAAAAATGAAATGTCAGTGAAAAGCATATGGATCCATGCAGGAGAGAGACCAACAATAAAATTACTGTGTTGTAATGACTTATGACTCAACAAAACATGGATTTAAACAGTGACATAAGAATGTGGAAGCTCTGCAATTTTTCTCTTCCAGAACCTGTGTGCAGACACAAGTGATAAAAAGAGGTATTAAGAAAAGCAAATATTTTACCCAGTGTTTTCTGAATCTCATCTTTGTCTGGTGTCAACTCTCCCCTTGTGTCCAATAATACTTCAGCAGCTTTTTTCAGTTTTTCTACAGCAATTTGGTGATTAGACACTTGTCCCTGAAGAACCTGTAAAATTCCACTATTATCAGTTATACTTTTCAGTACAGTTGATATTTACATAAGTCAGACTTGAGATACATCACAGAACCTAAACTTAGTGCTGGGAATAAACTAACTCAATTTGTGACCTCTCCTTAAGAAAAATCCTGACCTGTGATTATGGCTGCTGTTAACCTTCTGGCCCTTGTTTTAGTTCATTCACCATCTTTTTTACCCTACATTTTAGAACACTTGTCTGACACAACTTATTTTTACACGTAACTTCAAACATGTCTTTTGATTAATTGTTTCTAAAGACCCTTTGTACAGACGATTATAAACACATTTTTCAGTTCAGCACCTAAGAACAATTCAGAGGGAAAAGCATACAGTCAACAGCAGCAGTTACACATTCATCAGCAGTGGTATCGACAAAGGATCAGGCTGATATTGTAGCACAAACAGGAACAGCTTCAAACAAGATGATTGCCTTCACAGCCAGGTACCCCTGTGTGGCTGAATTTGGCCTAGGTTTGTCCATCTAACCAAGGAACACATGTTCAGAGACTAGCCCAGCCATGATTTTCTCCAGACTCAACAAAGACAGTAAGGCTAAATCAACATCTAGTGGCTTCACCTCTCTAGTGTGTACGAGTACTTTAGGGTAAATAATCTTTAAATTATTTCAGGGCTCTGTGCTAGTGTTTGTTTTGATTCACTTGAACCTTATACAAGTCCAAAATGAAGGGACATCTCATTTATTTTTTGAATATTCATTGATACTCAATGAATATATGAATCAAAAGGTGCCCTGCCAGCACAAAGTGTTGTCAGTGCATTCATCACTGGTACCCAGAGCATAAGAGTGTGACAGAGCACAGTACATCATCTTGCTGACCCATTTGACACAATGAGTCTCCAAGAGGCTTAGGCTAGTGTTTGTGCAGAAAGGAAAAACAAAAAGGAAAGGAAAAGAAAAAAAACAAAGAAAAAGAAGATGTACCAGAAAACTTTGTATGCTAACAGAAGGCAAGCAAGCTGATGCCAGAGGCAGTGAAGAATATTCTGAAGAACAGTTAATCCCCATAAAAAGATTAGACCTCACCATGCTGCCAAGGTCTGTGTCTAGCTGGATTATCAGCTGCCTGTGTTGGCTACAAGGGACAGCTTTAACTTTCAACACCTGACTTCCTCAAAATACTCTTTGTTTTGCTTTCATTAATTGGCTTGCTTTCTTCAGCCTCCTGCTTTTTCTATTCCTTTCAATCTTTTGACATTTTGTACCCTCTCCTTTCTCAGCTCATAGTCATTGAGTGCTCTTTTGTATGGCAAGTAATCCATGTAGACATTTCATAAAAAGAATCCTAGTACTCACTCCTTTTGTATTACATCCATGAAAATTTGCCTTATAGAGAATTTAATTCATTTTGGCATAAGGAACAAAAATTTTAAATTATGCTTCAAATTGTAATTAGTTTTATTCCTAGTCTTCTAGTGCTTGGAAGCACAAATATACCTAAACATTCAATTGTTAGGAGTCCACAATTTACACTTTTAATTTTCTTGTCTTAAACATGGTTGTGATTTGTCTCCTTTTCCTGTCATGCAAAAAAGTGCTGGGCATTTCCAGTGGCCAGTTTGAAAGATACCATAGATAAAGGTAACTACTGCTCAGGTTGTTGAAAGGGAAATGCATAAATCATGTACTTTCCAAAGGCCATTGACGATCATTTTCCAATAGTAAATGTGTCTGACCTGCACTGATACTTCATTGAGCACAGACAAAACAGTGAGGAAGTGCCTGACCATTAGCCTTGCTCACTAAAAAACAAATAATCTTGCACTTTATTTATATTATAGGTGATTGAATGTGTTTATGAAAATATAACAGTCAGTTCAAAGATGACAGACTGTATAAAATTTTATATAGCTCACCATATACTTGGGCTCTAAAGACTTCTCCAAACCTACACTTTGTATAGGTATCCAGAGTTTAACTTTCATAAGCTCTATCACTAACTTGTCTTGCCTGTACTAGGATTTACATGAAGTCATGAGTTACATCCTCAGTGGCAAAAAACCAAAAAATACCATTTTTCTGTGCAACACCAATTATGTTAGATTCACTCTCTGCAGGGTATGTAGCACTGGGAGAAATTGAAACAGGCAGACTACTCACATCACACTGTTCACCTGGTATGATCCCTTTCATAATGAAGTAACACACAAATGTGAACAGAAAAAAAAAAAATAAACAGTCACAGACAACAATCAAATGTAATTCTCTATCTGGAACCCTATCCAAGCCTTATTCTGATAGCAAACCATCATCACTAAATCCTTTTGTAGTTCAAAAACTTTCCAGATTTCACCCTATCATTTGCTAAGTGATCGAAAACACATCTTGCTTTCACCACTGCATCTTGGTACCCCATTTTTTTTCACCCAGTGTTTTCAGATATTGCTCTGGACAGCCAAATTTCAGAACCACATGTATGCCCACATGCAAGGCAAGAATTTGGCCTGTGGCCACTTGGATTACATTAGATCAACCCGTTTTTCAGACAAAAAGTAGTTCCTTTTAGGACAAAAGTGCTGCTGTACTCTAAAGCTTTTTACCTTAGTTTCTTCAAGTTGTCTTTGGAGATTTTTGGGATCTACTGCAATTGGCTCTGATAATTGTTTGCTCACAGCTATTTCAGAGGCCTGGAGACCTGACAAAAGTCCAGATGAGGCATCTTCATAATGCTGGTATTTATCCACCAGGTCTTTAAGGTTATTTCCAAGGATGCTACACTAAAAGAGTAAAAAAGAAACAAGCAAATAAGCAAGTATTAAACTGTGTGCTGCATTTCATACCAATCTGAAAGTTATACATTCCTTCCTGTAATACTGCATCATTTATTCCTACCATCATTTCACTGACTAACTGATTTCTGAACTAAGACATGACAGCTGGACAGACTATGCAGGGCTTACCAGTTTGTGCTCCTAAACAATGATTTAGGATAAAACCACTGATGAAGATGGGAAATTTGGATCTTACTTGCTGTATTAGAATAGGAAAAACTTCAGGAATTATTTCTTATTCACTGATATAAATATTCTTTATCAGAACTCTGGCACCAAAAATGTAGAAAGCAAGTGGAAAGTAGAAATGTAGAAAGCCACTGGAAGCTATAATTTTTTTTAAAGAATCAGGAGAGATATGTATGTTCATTAAAATACAGCCTGTTCTCATAACTACCTTACCTGCATAGTGAATCCAAAGTGATATGGTTGGGTATTGTACTTATGCTTTGTTTTATACACTTAAAAATATCACCTGAACAAGGTCCTATTAGTCCTATATGTTAGCATGCCTCCAAATGTTTACAGGGAATTGTCACATAAAGAAAGTCAGTGAAACTCTTTCATTGAGATGAAGATGGTTGCACAAGAAAAATCTGATTGTATCAAGTCATAATATTTATAACCAGTTACATTAAATATTTGTATTCTGAACCTTCCAGAGACTGTATTTTAATATTTACAAATGATACTTGGTCGCCACCTGGCGGGCAAACATAGAACATGCTTATTTATATAATCAGTTAACCAAGAACTGACTTTAGGATTCCTTCAACATATAAACCTATAAAATCATGTCTCACACATGTGCAAATACATATATATAAAAGCGAAAGCAATCTAAATATTTATTGAAAGCAAGAAACCTTTACAAAAGGCAAAAAAGGTTACCAGCAATTCATTTACAGTTTGGAAAATCTCACTAATTGTGAACAATCTCCCTTTTAAGAATTCTGTCTTTAAAGACACAAAATGTCTACTTTGTTCTGCATATTTATTGTCAAATATTTAAAACATGTCAATTATAACCCTGCTAAATGTATGTATGGAAAGGACAGAATTTGGAAAATTGATGAATCAAGCTGCTGGCATGGGATTTTTATGTGCATAAAAATAAAAGATCTGATTTTTTTTTATTAAATCTTTACATTCACATTCAAAGTAATTCAATAACCAACCAGAGGAAATCTGTCAACAGAACTGTCAATTTAGCTTCCCTGTTCATACCAGTTAAGCACAAAAAGGAAAATTCATACCAGTTAAGCACAAAAAGGAAAATATAAATGAACTATAAATATAAATGCTTCTATAAATGAACAGCTGTCTCGAAAAACTGAGAAAACATGTTTTACCCTGCTTTTTTTAACCATGCAATCAAACACATGCCTTTATAGAATTTACATATCTGAGCATGAAAACCTGAAAGAAATAAAAATGTCCAAACACAGATGGTCACAATTATGGACCAACACTATACCAGTGGACATTGAAGTTTGAACCTATGGCCTTATATTTGTTTAGTTCTATCAGGCAGATTCCATATGCAACCCTGGCAAAAAGAGCTAGGTTATCTTCCCTCTCTAAGGTACATGGAGGATTTTGCACTGCTAATTACTCATTAGTTAGACACTAATCTGGTATTCTTAAGGATAAAATGTTCACTTGGCAGAGCAGTGGAAAATAATTGCTGTCCTTAAATCACTAAGTTCTTTCATGCCTAGTGCTAACAACAAAGGTCACTCTGGGACAAACTCTTTCAGGATACAAATTAAATCTTTACTGCTATTTTTGGCATAGTCTCTTTTTACACTCATTTTATTAGTCGGGAGCACAGTAAATAAATAGCTGGGAAAATATTGCAAGCAACATAAAGTAACATTATACATCTGAAAGTATTACAATTTCTTTTCCCCCCAAAACATTACTCAAGGCATTCTTAGCTGCCACAATCTTAGAAGCTGTTTGAGGCTGGAAAGAACAATGAAGAACTCTGGTCTCATTTCTTCCTTGTAACACAAAGTAGAAAGCATGATCTATTCAGACTTTTAACAGTCTGACACTTGACTAAAGTAGATCTGCCAGAAAAGCATCTTGTTCTGATATCTTTGAGAAACAAAGAATTTACAGCTTCTCATGGTATTTGTTTCATCAACTAGCTCCTGTCTACACAAATTGCTAAATCAATTACAGTAGTCATTCCTATTCAGTATAAATAAAACTTACCTTAGTATAGAGAGATTTGAAGCGATCTGAAGCTCTATCCAGTTTATTTTGCACTTCAGCATATGTAGCCGAAGTATCTATACCATCTTTGTCAACCTTCACACCATCTCTTTTGCTACATGACCTTGCAGCATCCAAAACTCTTTGTCCAGAAATTGTGATATAGCGTAAATCACCTTTGTGAGAGATAACATCTTCTGAAAAACTCTTCTGCCTTTTCAGTTTGACCATGATACCACTGAAGTCAGAAGCACCTGCCTCCAAATTGTCAAGTTCTTGTTCTGCCTGCTGCAGCCACATTTCAAATTCACTATAGTCTGCATCGAATTTCTCCAATTCCTCCCTTAGAGAATGGGTCAATTTCATTTTTCGTTCTGATTCAGCCAAAGCAGTCTCATACTGAGCCTTCAGCTCTTTCATGTTCCTTTGCATCTTGTCTTTTTCTTCAGGGGTAAGGTAGTGCCCTTGTTTCTCAAGCAGTGTCTGAGCAGACTGAGTTGCTACTATGATAGCCTGCTGCTGTGAAATAATTTTCTCATGTTGAGCCTACAAATAAAAGAATAAATTACAATCAGCACCTTCTCACATGGTTTCTTAGAAAAGGACATTTAAAACAAAATGACAAAAGGCTTTTCTAATTTTCTTATCTTTTTATTATAAACCCCACATTTTTTTCAGCAATTTAAGTGAAAGTGTGACTCTTGGCCATGATTTTTCTGTGCAGTTAAAAATTTTTTAACATTTAACATTTTGAATGAAAAACATTCAATGGTAATTTTTGCCAGATGTACAGGCCATGACTATATGGCAATGTTCAAGTATCATTGCACTGCAGCAATATGTGGATGTATATATCACAAATATTTTCCTCTGTACTTCCAAAACACAACTCTGTAGAGCAAAACTAGACATTATCAATCTCTTTTATTTTTTTTTCCTAACAAAATCAATTTGCTTATTATTTAGCACTTATGGTAGTGTACCTAGTGTAATCAAAATTTCCCTAATTCTCATAGTTTCGAAACAGGATTTAACAAATAAAACATTCAAATGTAACTTGGCAACTTCCCAAATCAAAACTCTCCATGTCCCATTACTTATATTGTAGCTACCATTACAGACAAGCAGACCCAAAGGAGTAAAAGCATCAAACATCGTAGAGTTATTTTCTTCTTACATTCAGTGAACAGAAATTATTACTTGGGTTTTGAAATTTCAAAATCAAGAGCCATGATTCTTATTAAACATAATTAATTAAAAAACTATAGGTCCAGTTGACATTAAAAATCAACACACAATCTATGCATGCTTTCAATCCCACAAAAATATTTAAGTCCAGGAACTAGTACTATATTCCAAATGAAAAACATATTTCAAATATATTCTTTCAAAAAATCCTTCATTCTTGAAGGTCCCCCATGAAAAATAAGTATGTTTTTCTTCCATGAGTACACTGGCCAATTATTCCGTAGGCAGTTGGTGCAGAAATTAACTGACAAAAAAGTAGAAGTAAAAATATCATGTGCACAAAACCCAATAATCCTATTAGTTTAGGTTGCATTTGGGGTTTATTTTTTAGGTTTTCTAATAAAACAGGAAATCCAAAATACTATCAGCTACAAGCTCAATAATTTTCTTTAAGGTGCCAATCAACTCATACCTAAAGTTTCTTGGCTTCTCAGCTGTAAGTCAGCAAACACCATAAAACTGAACTCGTATTATTTTAAACGCTTCCAACTTACCAGGAAAATCTATTTTTAGAATGCTGCACTGTAATTTTATGTAATTCACTCTTCTGAAGCCTTCAAACACTGCTTTGTCCATGTGTTAAAGTTGTAGGAAATGAAAACTATAATTTCAGTAAACTATTATTTGCAGCAATTTGCAATCAGTATTCACAGGGGATTAAAATGGGATGAATCATCTGGGTATCACAAAGATTTTTGAAAAAGTCACATAAAGGGTATGAATTTATATTGCTACTTTTTGAATTTTATTTGCTTGTGTCAATTCCTCACTACAAAAAATAACAGACTCACCACAAAGATTCTTTACATTTACCTTGCAGAATATGTCCTATCTCTTATTTTGCAGGAAAAAACTATAGTGGCAGCAAAAAAGTGACAAATGTGCAATACATTCTAACTACTGAAATTCCTGTGTATTACTGTGACAAAACCCTATCTTTCTAGAGTTTGCTCCAAAGCCTACAACAGACAGGATGAGATTGAGTTCACTTATGCTGAATAAGGAGTGATACACCTAAATGTTTAATAAACTCAGTAACAATACCTTGACTTTCTGATACTGCTGGTTCAGATTATCATCTATGCTTTTTACTAGTCCATCCACCTGAGTTTCAATGTCTTCCAGCAAATTACCATTGACATCATCCTCCTCTCCTTCCAAAACTTTCACATCTCCTTCTTCAAAGTGTGTTCCATTCTGTTCTATCACTTGCTTAAACTTCCGGCCATGCTCTGCTTCTTTATCCACATTTGATAACCAATCCAAAAGATTTTCTATTGTATTTTTGCTTTCTTCCAGCTGTTCTATGGCTGCAACCTACATTGAAATTTCACAGTTTCAATTTAGAAATCTTCTTTAAAGATCACAAAATATCAAATAAATACACAAATAAACGATTTAAAATACATTAACGTCAAAGAATTTTTTTATTAATAAAGAGGTTGCTGTTTATTTTATAAGAGAATAAACCAACAGATTATTTATTACCCAAATTAAATATGATATTAGCTTCTCCACAGTTTATCAATACGTATTGGGTATGTATTTGCCTGGCCAGGTTTTGGAATTGGAGGGGCTGCAGGGGTGGCTTCTCTGAGAAGCTTCCTTCATGTCCAACAGACCCAATGCCAACTGGCTCCAGCATAGCACAACTTGCTAAGGCCAAGCCCATCAGCAATGGTGGTAGCAACTCTGTAGTAAAAAAAATGTATAAAAAACATCAGCCTGAAGAGGGGGGTGAGAAGATGTGAGAGGAACAGCTCTACAGGCACCAAGGTCAGTTCAGAGGGAGGGCCAGGAGGTGCTCCAGGTGCCAAAGCTGAGATTCCCCTGCAGCCCCTGGTGCAGCCCATGGTGAGGCAGCTGTGCCCCTGCAGCCCATGGAGGGACACAGGGGTGCAGAGATCCTGGGAAGACCCCACTGCAGAGCACATGGATGATCAAAGGAAGCTGTGACCCTGTGGGAAGCCCACACTTGAGCTGGCCTGTGGCACAACTAGTGTCCCCATGGGGTCATTCCACATACTGGAACAGTGTGCCTGAAGGACTGCACCCCATGGAAGGGACCACACTGGAACCATTGGGAAGGACTCATGTTGGAGAAGTTCACGAAGGACTGTCTCCTGTGTGAGGGACCCCACACTAGAGCACAGGAAGAGTGTGAGGTCTCCTCCCCTTGAGGGAGGGAGCAGTAGAGATAATGTGTGATGAATTCACCACAGCTCACATTCTCCATCCCCCTGGCATCAGTGGTGGGAATGAGGGAGAGAACTCCGGAGCTGAGCTCAGGAACAAGGGAGAAGTGGAGGGAAGGTATCTTTAAGATTTATTTTTTATTTCTCATTGTCCTATTCTGATTTGATTGGTAATAAATTAATTTCCCCAAGTCAAACCTGCTCTGCCTGTGACTACAACTGTGAGTGATGTCTCCCTGCCCTTATCTCAACCCACAAGCTTTTCATTACGTTTTTTCTTCCATGTTCAGCTGAGGAAGGAAGTGATGGAATGGCTTTTTGGCATCCAGACAAGGTCAACCCACCACACAATAAGTTGCACAACTAGTATCATAAGACATGAAAAAGGTTTGAATAAAGGTATGAAATGGTTGCCTAAAAACCTTTTCTGTTTCCTGCTTAATTGCTGTTGTCATAGCTTTATCCAGTTCTTTTTTGGACTCTTCTGCCTTCTGGCTAAGGAGCAAACACTTTGTCTTAGCTTCATTTAGTTTCTGCTCCAGAATTGTCAAATTATTCATGAGATCTTCCCAATTAACTTCATTGGAACTCTCTCTCTTCTAGGGGTAAGCACCACACTGGTCCTTCCTAGCTGCACATGATACATTACTAAATTGCAGACAATTATTAAAATCAAAGGCATCAATATCTGACAGTGTTGTTACAGTTCAATCTGTCTTTCACAACTTTTTTTTTAGAACTGCAAATCTGTTTTCTTACAGTGCTATTCAGACTGAGGCCTTTTTTTTTAAGTTCAAATATTGTGTTTCCACATATGTGGAAGAACATGTATCTTATTTTTTTAGAAATCAAGACTTAAGTAAATCTGCTACACTGCAGTTAGTAAGTGAGTATCCTCACAAATTCTGGTCCTTTACTATCCTAACAGAAAGCTGCTGAAAATAAGCTAACTGAATAGAAGTCAGAAAATTATAATCATCTTTCCTGGGTGAAAGCTGTCCAATATTTCTTGGGTTTGTCCAGGCCAGAAATGGCATAATTTTTTTTTTTCCTTCTTCTATTGTAATCAATCATAATATTTCAGTCTCTCAAGAATGTTTACTTTCACTGAATTTTATAGAGGACAGATCTTCAGTTTTAATTTACCCAAAACAGTTTTCTTAGTCTGCCTTCCCAATTATCTGAGAGGAGCTTTAATTGTAAGGATTGCACTGTTGAATACATTCCCACAGTTACTGAAACAATGACATTTTTCACCTTTTTATGCAGTGTAACAATCTTGGAGATGCAAGACAGAACATTTGATCCTCATTCTAGACTACAGATTTTGCAGCAATTATAGAATGTAGCAGTTAAAACTGCAGCTCATTTTAACACTTCAGCAAGTACATTAGCAAGATTTTCCTGGGGACCCTGTATCAACAACACTTTCTCCTGTGACCAAGTTCTCTGTGCTCCCTTTCAAACAGTGCACTGAGGATAAAAGCTTGACTTGACATAAAAAAGACTGGGTTTTAACCCCCAATCCCTCCTAAGACGCATTTTTTGAATGGTCATTCCAAGAAATCAGTCAGAAAACAACTAGTCTGTTAGACAGTCACAAACAGCTGATGAAAAAAAAAAAAAAAGAGGCATATGCTGTATCAGTTCTTCCCTCCCCATGAGTACCCCATTTATGCCACAAATCCTTAATACAGGAAAGAGATATTAAAAGCTACCCCAGGGGTGACTGACTATAAGAACAACTTTGACAAACTAGATGCATTACTTCAAAGACAAGTAAAGCAAGGCAAGATGAATAAGGAAATTTCTCTTTACAGAGAGTTGGAGCTCTACAGTATAGTAAACTACTACTAGGAGGAGGAACAAGAAGATTACCAAATCCTTCAGTCCTTTAACTATCATAAACTCAATATCTATTAGGACAGAGTAAAAGCTTATAGATGACTGGATACAGCTGAAGAGCAAGGAAAGCAAACAAACTGAATTTTGCTACATGAGGACACCAAAGAGATTGCAAGAAACACTAATAAGAACCAGAATTCAGAATAAAACAGGACTGAAGCAATGGAAAGCCTCAGGCAAGAGAAAACATTGCAGTAAAATTTTTCAAATTACTCCGAACGGGAATAAACACTTCCTGATACCAGTTAAAAAGCTGGCTAAATTATTTTAGCATAATAAGCATGTATGATTTTTATCACATTCAACAGGAGCAATCTTAAGCTAATATATTAACAAAATTTATGCCTGCTTCAAGAGTGCTTCTTGAAATGTGTAGCACATATTCCCTATTCTAGTGTCTCCTCATTTGGGAGTTTGTCTTCTCTCACTGGCACGTACTGGAGTGTATTCACAGGCAGCAGTTTAAATGCATGCCACTGAGCCTTTACTTTTGGTAGGTCAAACAAATCTATTTTATTCTCCTCTCACATGGTGAGCCTTGTTACTCAACAAAAGAGTCGAGTCACTCTGTTCTGCACTCAGCCTTCTTTCACTTCTCTGACTAGAGCTGTGCATACCTCCTGTTTGGTCTGGTATTGTTCCAGCTCAGCCTTGCTGTCTCCAATAACAAGAGACTGTCGCTGTCCGATGAGTCGATTTTCAGTCTGTGTAAGCAAATCACAGATTTCCTGCAGTTTCTCTTTGCATTCCTGCTGCCGTTCAGCCACATCCTATATTAGAGCCAAGTACAATTGAACAGTAAGGCTAAAAATCCTCACTCCAGGAACCAACACTCTAACAGACATTAGAAATCTTTGAACATCAATATTGCAAAGCAGTAATTTTAAAAGTATGCTGTAAACATGATAGCAGTGGTACAAAGAGCAAGATGAACATACAGAAGTTATGGATAAACCTCAAAAATGTTGTAAGTAAAAGAGACCATGTTTGATGGAATTGCCCAATAGAAGTCTGGCCATGCACATATGTGAAGGATGAAATCTCCAAACAACAGGAGTGAAAATCCAGTCTCTTAACCACTTGAAACCTGTGATAAACACTATTAATTCTGAAAAAAAGGACATCAAAACAGAGGTTAGTTGTCAATGTGAGTTAGCTCTTGTTGGTATGCATAATGTGTTACCTGAATAGAAACTGTGGACTTTTTAAGCAGTAGAGAAGAACAAAACATGCAAGCTCATTATTGATACAAAGTCCTAGAAAACTTATCTGTGCCTTTCCTATAGTCAATTTTATGTTTTTTTCACAAAATATAGTAGAAAGAAATGTTATTTTGTTTCTATGGCAAAATAATAGGAAGTCTTCAGAATACTAAAGCACTTTTAATTACACATAAACTGGGGGCTGAGGTAATGATTCTGAGTCCTAACAGTGCTGCTATGGGAGAAGAGGAGGTGCTGTTATGCTGCAGCATCTTATCAGCCTCTTCTGGCCCTACAAAGGCTGCTTACACTTGCCAACTGCAGCTGTGCCAGCTGAAGACATAACTGGCCTAACCTCACTCACAGTTCTCCCAGTGCCCAGGCCTAGAACTGCAAGAATCTTGGCTGATTTACTCATATGTTGTCCCTCTAACCCATCTCAGTCAAAACAATCCATGGCACACAGATTTTTAAAGTGGTTCTTGGGCTATGAAGATCTAGAGAAAAGATCACATAAGCAGATGACCTAGCAAATTAATAAAGGGAAAGAAAATCTTCAGCAAGACCAAAGTGTTATGCAATGGTGCGAGAGCAAATTCAGTGATCAATATAGCTCAGATCAATTACTGATATAGCTGCTGAAGAAACAACACTTGTGAGAAACGTTAATTTCTCTCCTTGCTAGAAAGAACAGACCTGTTCTTAATTTAATATGCTGTTTCTGTAAGTATACTACCAAGGAAAGACAAAAGTGATGATTCACCAAATTTCATCAATACAGTCTTTGTAGAACTACAAATACATCTGTAGTAAAAAGGGAAAAAACAGAAATACACTCAATATTCCATGCTGGTATTAAAATTCCTCATCCACAGGCAAAAACATTCAGCCCACATTTACACAGAAAGGCAAACCTTCTGATCACCCAGCTCTTGCACTGCCTGTAACTGAGTCTCTAAACTTTCCACTTGAGAAGTTATTGCTTCCTGTGCTTCCTGAAAAGATTTCTGGGTGGTATTTAAGAGCCTCAACAGCTGTTTGCTCTGATTAGGAGAAAGATCTTCAGCATGTTCAGAAATGAAGAACTGAACATCAAATGCAGTGGACTCCAGTTGCATTTTTTTACAGCTGAGCTCTGCAGCACTGTTCTGTAAATGAAGCAAAGCAAATTACTAGCAATGAAGGAAAATTGAGTACAAATAAGCCACAAGTATCCCTGCCAGCTCTTCTTAGTCCCTATTCCAAAATGCTTTTAGTAGACAATTTAGCAATGGAGAATCAAAACTCAGAATCATGCTGACACATTCAGGTATGACACTAGAACTTGTGCATGGTTTGTCTCAGCTTGTGTCAAAGTAATAAAAAATGTGATCTTGTACATCTCTATTTCTTTGCTCTCTCATGGATGTTTGAAAACTGACTGACCTTCAACTCTAAAAGATTTATGGCAGGTTAGATATAACATTTCTAAGTTCTAGGTCTAAAGATCCAGAAATTTTAAAATATGTACTTGATATCATTTCTATTCTTAACTCTATAGCAACAATGTCAACATTTCTAGCAATGTGGCAAATTCTTCCAATAGCTACATACCATGGAGCCCCTGTGACCATACCCTTTCTCTTGAACTCTTTTTAAACACATTAAAACATCAAAAATATTTTTTATAATTGATACATACAGAAATACAAGAACTTTCACTAAAAATTTGATCTGCTTTGTTTTCCATTACTCATTCTATGGAGTGTGTAATAAAGACACCTTATTATTTTTTTTATTTTATTATCTAGATTTCTAAAAGGTTCAGATTTATTGCAATGAATGGAAATAGAACCAGAGAATAGAAGTTTTCTCAGTTAGGATTACTGAGAAACTTCTCTTGCAAGTGAAAAAGCAAATCAACAAGATTTTATTACTGGATTGTCAAATTGCTGTCTTCTTAAGTAATTACTTCTAGTCATCTCTTTATTCAATAGAGGTTTGGAAGGCATTAAAAACCTAGCTAATAATTAATAATAAGGAGAAACTTTTGCCAGAATCATCAATACCTGCCGTAAAGAGCACTTACTTTAAATAGCTGTAAACTTTTCTTCATCTCTTCTATATCATGAGTATTCATCGTGAAGTTATTCATGATTTTATTGTTCTCTGTGATCCAGTCTGAAAATCTCTGCAGTTGGTTTAAAAGTTGCTGATGCAATCCAGCAAGCTTAGACTAGAAAGGGAAGTTGTATATTTATTTATGCTCCTGGAGTCTAGTTATATTTTCTACCATATTAAATTGAATCATACATGTATCATTATACTAAGATAAAATAAAGAAAAGCCAAATTCTTTTATTTTAGCCCAATTACCTTGAAGAAAATCAAGGTAAAAACATACACTGATAAAAACATACCATTTCTAAGTCAACAGCGCTGACTATTTGTTTTGCTCGTTTTGAAGATCTATCACAGACCACCAAAAATGTGTCCTGCAAAGTGTCATAGCTTTTCTTTAGCTCTTTAAGTTTCTCTTCTGGAATATCCCTGTTACAAGACTTTAAGAATTCTTCTGCCAACTTCATGTCCTTTTTTAGGATAATTGCAAAGGTAGCCAGTCCTGATTCAAATGACTACAAAGAGAATATATAAAAAATGCATTAAGTTACTAGGAAAAACATTTATATCTGAATTGCTTTAATTACATTTTACATCTTTCTTTTTAAACCTAAGGGCTATTTCTAGCATCCATCATTAAAGCAAGAGCATAAAGAACACTTACCTCTAGCTGTTCCAATTCAGCTTTTAGTATTTCCAGGCTGTTAGTAATAGGCTGCTGCTTATCTAGGTGGTTTTTCATATCCTGAAGCACTGCCAAATGTTCTTGCATTTTCTCTGTCAACTTTAAACATTGCTGTACTCCATCAAACTGAAAATGAGTTTAAAAATAAGAAAAGATTTTCCAAACTGACTTGAAAATGAGTGATTCAATTCCTTGGGTTTATTATGATTTATTTTAAATTTATAATCTAATTTTTCAACCATTTTTCCAGTTCAGTTTTTCCCTCCAGCACTCAGAAAGATCCATGCAATTCCATTAACACAGGACACTGAGCACATATTCTTGTTACTTACCATGCTAGTGGGGGTGTCTCCCACAACTGCTTCTCTTGTTTTCGAAACAGGCTCAATAAAACCTTTGGACAGGTTTTCTGTCTTCCCATGCTCCTGATCACTTTTCCAAGTAGTGGCTGTGTTATCTGCCAATGTTTTCTCTTCATCAACTTCTGATCCAAGCTCTGATTGTTCTGTTGAGGAAAGAGAATGAAGCCCATCTCCTTTGCCTTTACCCTCATACTCCGTGGTGGTACCAGTAACCTGTGAGCTCATAAGCAAACCATTTATCAGCTCCTCTAATTTGCTTGTACTTTCATCTCCAAGTGAGACTTGAAAAATTTCCAGAAGTTCAGTGGTAGCAAGCTTGGGCACAGGAGCTTTCACGTCTGTTTCACACTTCCTTTCATCTGGATCAGCTGTCTTTTGCCTGCAGGATTCCTGCTTCAGAATGTCATGAAGAAGATCAGGACTTCTGCAATCAGGCCAAAGCAGTGAAGGAGCATCACTGTCCTTGGGCTCTGTACACAGCGTGGTGACCCTTAATGCAGTTCTAACAGCATTGCTTATTTGCTTCAGATTTGACCCACTAGACATCTCACTAGCAAGTTGGGTGCTTCCAACCATTTTAAGTAAATTTTGCATTAAAGTTCTGGTATCAGAGTAACTTAGAGGTTCACCTTCCTGCTTGCAGTAAACATGCCCCATTTTCAATTTCCTTTGTAATATATTCTGTAAGTCTTCCATCAGTGTATCAGATACATCTGCTGACTGTGAAATACCTTCCTTTACTTGAAAATCTTTGCAGGGTCCCATTTCTTTTTGCAATGGCTCCATGGACATTTGTTTTTTGAAACCATTTCCAGGGGAGGAAGCCTCACTGACCAGGACATTTTCTCCCTTTGTGTCTTTCAGCATCTCACATTCATTCTGGGCACTGTAATTCCACTTAGTCCCTATGCTACTCAGAACTGAAGAAACACCAGTGACATGGGTATGTCTCCCAATAGGTAGCACTTCACCTCCATCCCCTAATTCTTTGGTATCCTCAATAGTCCCTAAAGCATCTGGTTTTGTGGGGAACATTTCACTATCATTGCTGCTTTTGTTTTCTGGAACATCTTTAAGAACATTGTTGGTATTTTGACAGCTAAGTCTCCCTGTTTCTTTAGTTATGCTAATCTCCTCTCCTTTCACTGTATCAGGTTGGGGGAAAGAGTAAGTGTTAAATTCACTTGAATGTATTTCTTCCATATTTAGCAGAAAATCTTTTTCCTTCCTTATACCCTTTTCCCCTCTTTCCATGTCTTCAAAACAAAATTCAGTTTTATTGAGTTCTGAATGGACGCCTTCTTTTATGCATGTTGTATGTTGTTTTAAAGAAGCAGAAATGCTAACATCTCTCTTAAATTCATCTGATCTTGTACCCTGAATGTCAAGAAAAGCTTGATCAACATTTTCTTTACTTGCAAC